ATTTAAACATCACTTTCATCTTGTTTGATCCAAGAAAAGTTTAAGTAGGTTGGATGATGTCGATTCGAGTCGTGGTGAGACGTCTACTGAGGTGTAATGTTGGATGTTGACCCCAAAGGTCACAATCTCTTTGTCCATGTAGAGAGTCTATCAAGTTCACTCGCAACGACGTCAGTCCCCTAGATGTGGCCATCCCAATCTCTCTAGCTAAGCCAAAGATGGCTAGAGCACAAGCAATGGCTTGGAGAGTGTACTATGGGGCCATCCCAACAAAGGCGACTATCAGAGTGGTGACGGCACAACTAGGGGTGGTGATCTTCTATAGCATCGGCACTCTATTCGTTCATGATCTTTATTGTTGTTCAGTTCATCCTTCTCAATTTGGTTCTATCCTTCTTGATCTTGTGCACTTAATGTATGACATGCCCGAGCACTCTAAATTATATATGCCTCTCCCTTCCCAAGGTAGATCTTACACACATTTGTAGATTTTCTCCTCTTCCTACAATAAACTCACATTAGCTAGACTATCAATTAGTTGGTTTCTTGTGCGATAAACATGTGTGAGGGACTTGATTCTATGTCTTTGTGTTTCAATTTTTTCTAGGTTCTTTATAATTTCCATAAATAACATTTATTTTTCCTAAATATATTTGTATGTCATTGAGTTAGTTTATATTGCAATGTTATATATCTTTAATTTTTCAAATAATCTTAATCCATCGGCTAATGTTTTACATTCCACTTCCATATTAATTAGTATTTTATATTGGGTTGAGAATACTTCTATTAATTTTTTAAAATTATCTCGAATTACTCCTCCTCCCATTTTTTCAGGGTTCCTCTTAGATGCCTCATTAGTGTTTAGTTTCATTCACCCCTTGGAGGGGGAACTCATTTGATGATCTTTGTGAAGGAAATCCCTTGACTTCGAGCCCAGTTGAACAAAGAAAAGTAGGCCTATCAAGAAAAGAAGAAACACTCTCAAGCTCAAACTATATCTCCTTCCTTTACCAGGTTATAAATAATCTCTATTTCCCATGTTTGTAGAATTAATTCTTCTTTGTCAGCTTTTTGGTTCTTGTGTACTACTATTCATCCTAGGCTTTTCATCCATGTTTTACATTTGTGCATAATTAGTGGTATGAGGATTTTGTCACCATTCATTCATATTTTGTTCTTTCCTATCCATAGTTCCCACAATAAACACAAGATGTATATTTTGTGCATTGATTTGTTGTTCTCTCTCTTGTTCTTATCTTCTTAAGCATTATGTGTTCAAAGTACTTTCTACAATTAGTACCTTGGACTCTTCATAGTTTTTATTTTTGAACTAACCACTTCCAATATTTTACGGCCCATTCATTTTTGAAAAAACATGATATGTATTTTCTTCATGTGGGTTCTACATACATCATATACAATTTGATAGAAATTAGAATCCCAATTTGCGAATATATATGTCTAGTGGCAAGTGGTTTAAAAGGAGTTTTCACATAAAGAAAGAGATTTTTGTTAGTAGTATTATGCTCTAAATAATATTTCCCCAATCAATTTTTGACCATTTATTTCTGAAGTATTCTTAAGCTGATCTTACACTAAATTCTCCATTCACAATTAATGACCATATGCATAGATCTTCTCCTGGGTTTGTAATATGGAATATTTTTTCAAGTTATTTTATGAGGTTCATGTTCACTTCTACCATGTATAATATTTCTTGCTAATTTTTTACCATTAATTGGGATACTATCATTTTTGGTCTATTAGTATGGATCATTTTCATTTGGTTTAGATTCTCATTCTAGACCAATTGTCATTTCATACATTAATATTTTCTTTTTCCACATCCCATCTTACTACATATTTCATGTCTATTCATGTTTCTCACATTCTTTTCTACCTTGCTTGGCCTTTAATTTTAGCTTTTTCTATTGCCCATTCTTTAAATTTTATTTTAATCAATTCAAACCATTGAGATGTTTTTGTTTTGCATCTTCATACCATTTTCATTTTAAGACATCTCAATTAGTCTTTTATCCTTTTAATTCCTAGTCATCCTTTTGTCAATTGGTTGACAAATGTTTTTCTATAAAATCTAGTGTTGTTTCGCCTTATTTTCTATATCTCTCCATAAGAATTTTATCATCATTTTTTCTAATTTTTTAATAATGTCATTAGGGATATCGTATACAGCAAGAGTAGGTATGGGGATGCTGCGAGGTAGGTGATGGTATATTTTCTTTGTTGAAATCAATTAGGTTTTTTATTCTTTTATCTCTCCTCTTTAGACTTTTTTGGCATTGAAGAATGCAAATATATTTTTAATCTTTTGCCTTGATATTTTTTTGTATTCAGTTAGAAATTACATCAACTTTTTATGGAATTTATTTTTTTATTAGTAAATATTATTGAATCATTTGTAAATATTTTTTTAATATTTTCTTCCTGAAATAATATTGTTAACCCTCTACTCGTTACTTCTTCTACTATTATGAACAAGGCAAAGGATAGTAGATTGTCTTATCTCAATTTTCTACTTGCAGTGAAAAAAGGTATAGATTTACCATTAATGATGACTAAAAAGTGATTGTTCTCTATGCATACTTTGATCCATTCTATCCATTTTTTACTAAATCTAAATTTTTCTAATACTTTTATAATGAATCATCATTCAATTCTATCATATGTTTTAGCTATGTCAAGTTTTAATATGGTGTTACCTCCTAGTGTCTTCTTGCTAATGAATTAGGTCATTTTTTGAACTAATGTAATATTCTCAATGATTGATCTTCCTTCCACAAAGGCCCCTTGTTCAGATGATATAGTTTTGGATAAGATTTTCTTAAGTATTTGGCATAGTATTTTGGCAACTATTTTGTAGCAAACATTGCATAGACCAATTGGTATGAATTCAAAGAATTTTTTCAGTCATTCTTATTTGGGTATTAGAACAATGAATATAGCTTTCCATGAATGTGGTAAGAAATTTGATGACATAAATTCTTTGATTGCTTTACATATATCTTCACTTATTATATCTCAACATTCGGTATAAAATGTCACACCTATTTCATCTAGACCTTGTGTGTTATCCTTCCTCATGTTGAATACTATTTTCTTAATTTCATTGTCATCTGACAATTTATTTAATACTTCATTATCGTCCTCATCTATATATTTGGGGATTACATCAAGTAGTTTGTGAATATGGTTTTACATTTCTATTGTAGTAAGCTTGAGAAGTGTTTGATCCCTTCTCTCTATATGTCATTCTAGTTATTGTTAGCTTCTTTTAGTTTATGGCAAAAGGGATTATTTTCTATTTTTTGTTGTTTTAGCATAGGTTTGATTATGCTGACTAGCTTGATTTTGTGCTCATGTATTAGTCTCCTAATATGTTTATTCATTTGAAAATATATTGAAAATTAAGAAAAAATATAAATTACACTACATATTCATTGCATTAGGATCCATATTGTATACATAATATTAGTTTATTTTTGGATAATCATTCCAAGTGCTTGATAAAAATAAGTTGATAATCCTTTATTGTAGTTTCTAACTATTAGTAGTGAATGTTAAGGGACCATGATCACCATGAATTAGATGTCATAGGCATTTTGATGACAATCACAACATATTAGGTGGATTAGTCATTTAATTCAGTATTGATTTAGATAATTTATTAATATGAATAGTTTTAGTATTTCTTAGTAAGTTCAAGGTGATAAAATATTTTTGGCATCTAGATCTATATATTTTAAATTTTAAACATATATTGATTTATACTAATTTATTTCAGTTTTTTTAAAAAATAAAATAGATTTAATTATTGGGCCTGAATTTAACTTTATATTGATTTTTTATTAGGCACCATTTAAAAGTCTTAACGAATCAAGTTAGTGGGCTCAATATAAATACCATAAATACTTAAATTGTCTTTTTCAATATTATTTTTAATATTAAATTCTCTCTCTTATTAATTGTGGTCTATCTCATCGCTATTGAAAATAGTAAAATTTGATAGGAGATCATCTAGGATTTGACATAAACACTAGTGAAAGACAAATTAATATAAAAACTATTTTGTCTCTCATAGTTACACAATGAGAAGGAGAGAGATCAGAGTGAGCTTTTGGTGAAAAGAAAATTAACTTAGGTGAATCTGCACATACATCAATGAGACTATGTGAGAATGTGTTAACGTATAAAGATGCAGATAAAACAATACAATAATATATATATATATATATATATATATATAGGAAACAAATTCACCCCTTCCCCCTCTTCATACTTCACTTATCCACATCGAACCCAACACATTCACACTATGTTTGGTTCAGCAGACTTGGACTATTCAAGACTCGCATGTCACATCCAAGAGAGCAAAAATGATTATAAGTTGTGACAAGATAGTGTAGTCCTAAGAACAATAATTAAGAAGTCTTCTACAATTCCACATGAACTAGAATATTTATTCCTTCTTAATTGGAGGGGCCAATTCAATGAGGATGAGACATGGGAGTGCAACATCTAACTTGTGGTAGTTGACTATCTTACTAACAAGTGCTTCAAAAAATATCCTTCTAACTAGGACATGATTGTCAACGTGGAGAAAAATGTGTTGCCAACTTAGTAGAACTTGTATTGGAGCACTAAACCTCACCACTAATATAAGAACATCTAGTGGTACGTGCATGCATGCACAACATAGTGGAGACACTTCACTTGCCTCACTCTTCTCTTATAAATAGAGGGGCCATAATGCAATCAGAGTATTGAACAAAGATTCTCAGTCTTTTCCCTCTCTTTTACTTTTTATTGTGATTTTTCCTTGCATTTCTGCACTTTCCACAGACTACACACATAAATAGTATGCTTGACATTGAAGAAACGATCAAAACAACACGTTGTCATCATTTTAGAAGTAATCACAGACAGCACATTCCCTCTATCTTACACTTCTCATAAACTCACAGTACATTACCCTTGGTCTATTGCGTATCAGACGGTGAATATCTGTTATCGTCCGGCGGCGTGGTGCCGAGAACGGTGGCTAGGAAGTTGTCCAGGGCAGCGATAGAGGAGCCCTTCTCCTCTCCCTCCTCGCTCGCCGCCCTCATCGTCTTCGCCGCCGATGCCGCCTTTCTCCTCATGTCCTCCCCCTTCTCGCCGCCCAACACCAGGCCGACCACCCTCTCCACCTCCACGCTGGAGACTCGCTGCTCCACCCCCCTGCCCAGCTCCGCGCACACGCCCAGCTCCTCCAGCATATTCGAGTTGTAGAACTGCTCCGCCGCCATGGGCCATCCGATGAGCGGCACGCCCCTGCTCAGGCTCTCCAGCACCGAGTTCCACCCGCAATGGGACAGGAATCCTCCCACCGACGGGTGGGACAGGATCTCCAGCTGCGGCGCCCAATTCCGGACCAGGAGGCCCCGTCCGCTCCTCCCCGTGCGATCCTCGAATCCCTCCGGTAGCCACTCGTCCTTGAACTCACCCTTTATGTCGAAGCCTAAGGGCGGGCGGACGACCCAGATGAACGGCCGGCGGGTCGCCTCAAGGCCCGCCGCCAGAGCCATCATCTGCGGGGCAGAGACACTGTTCTGAGAACCGAAGGAGACGTAGAGAACGGAGCGGGGGGGATGAGCATCCAACCACCGGAGGCAGGTCTCTGGGTCGACGCCGGCCATCCTCCCGGCTCGCCTGCCGGAAGAGTTGGTGGTCTCCAGGGGGACCACGGCCCCGACGGACCAGACGCGGAGGCCGGCGATCTTCCGGAGCAGCGCCATCGCCACCGGTTCCAACCCTTCCACGGTGTTGCAGAGCATCGCCTTGGAAGACATGGACAGCGTTATGTGTTCGGTCATGAAGGCGATCCCAAAACTTCCGTCTTCCAGGCTTGTTAACGATCTCGGCAGCTGCGACCGGCGGAACCGAAACCCTTCTGGGAAACCCGGCACCCAGAACTCCTCGGCGGTCGTGTGCCTGTGCGGCCGGTGCAGCCACATGGAGAAGTACATGGCGGTGCCGAAGGCGCCGCAGGTGGTGAAGACGGCGTGGAACACGCCGAGCTTCTCGGCTATCTGGACTGTCCACCCGAAGAAGACGTCGGCTATGATGCACAGCGGGGGGCGACCGTCCTCTCGGGTGATCTCCTCGGCGATCAGCCGCTCGAACTGGGGCCGAAGGGAGGCTGAGGCCCCGAGCAGCTTCTCCAGGCCCTCGCCGGTGACGGAATCGGTGTTCTCGGTGTCGGGCGGCAAGCCGTGGTCGGCGCTGCGGAAGGGGATCTCTCTGAGGAGGACGCCGGACTCGGGAGGGAGGGACTGCCGGAGGCTCCGGACGTTGAGAGGCGTGCTGACGATGGTGACGGTGAAGCGGCCAGAGTATCGCCGGGCAATCAGCTTGGCTAGCGCAAGGAAGGCGATGATGTGCCCCTGCGCCAGGAGTGGGAACAAGACGATGTGCGGCTGCCGCGCCATCCCTCCCGCTACGAGGCAGGAAGAGCGTCCTCTGTCTTACCCCTAGGCTTCTCAAGCAGCGACCGTGGACATATTCCAAAGCAGAATAGACGCTGACACTGTAGCATGAGACCATGACTCTCTCTCTCTCTCTCTCTCTTCAGCCGGAGACGAACAAGTGGTGGGCCCAATAATGTCAGATGGTGGAGGGTGATAGAGGAAACCTTGTCTCCCTCCAGTCCAGTGGAGACGGGGCAGAAGAACTGGCGTTATCTCTCTGTCACTGCACCCGTTCTAGGACAAAGACGCTTTTGAATGGTTCAACAACCGACGACCTCTGCTGGTATCGGGGTTGGAATCATCCGACTCGAAAGATCAATGATTGCAAATATCATCAAAGACAGCTGAATCAGATCAGATTGGCCAACATCCGTGTCTAGAAAAATGGATCAGTCGGGCCAGAAAAAATGGTGAAAATGGGCCAGAACATACTAAGATTTCTCAAGAATATACTAAGAATGGATAATTGACAGGAAATGGTCTTCTTAATTACAGTTAGCGCAAACATGATCATACGAACATGATCTTAGACATCGACTAGCATGATCAGAAACCCAATAGGAGCAGGGGAGGCATACCTAAATCACAGAGAGGAGATCAAGAACGGGGGATCAGTCTTGCTCCAGAATCCTGTCGACCTCTCCGTTGACATTGTATGCCTCCACAATCTTCTTTGCATAGGAGGGCATGTGCCGGTCAGCTCTGCATCGAAATCAAGAGGAATGAGAGAGGAATTTGCCCAATAGAGGTCACCCTGAAACTTTGATCGCACCGAGCGTACCTTTGTTTGCCCCAGAAACGGTATACGTGCAAGTAATTCCTTATCGTGTGATAATCCAAGGAGTACCGAGCGAATTCCAGACCTTTCGGACCAATCTGTGAGGAACCAGCGAGAATCAGTAAACTTCCCAATACCCTTCAGACAGAAAGAGAGAACGAGCATATTTCTTTATGGACCAGATAAGCACAGTTATTTCGTGAGGGGAGGGGAGGAGTGAGCAGAGAGAGCGAACGAGAGAGAGAGAGAGAGAGAGAGAGAGAGAGAGAGAGAGAGAGAGAGAGATCATAAAACTCATCACCTACCAAGTTTAGGAGGAAAGCAATAATATTGCCAACAAACTTAGGAGCAGGCTGAGCAGGACCTTTCCCTGAGAAGAGGAATCACACGTTAGCCAGAGTACAGAACATTAAGTCCCTGCTGATTCAGAAATTCTTATCTTCATCAATCAACCATCTAACTAAAGCTAGCTAAATCAATGGCAATGACAGACATTCGAACAAGATACATCAGCAAACATATTACTTATTACATTTGAGTATTAATATGTAGCACATTAGTATCTTGGGAAACATTCAAGATAATCAACCTTTATGCTTCATTTACTGGATATTCTCTTTTCCTGATAAGGATACGGATTTCCTCATTTCTCCTCTCCTACAGCTCCTCGCTGACATTTTCATTTTCGGTTTCCATGCTCCCATTCTCAGACTAGGTTTTCATCATCCCTCTTGCAGCAGGAGGCAAGATCTTTGGCATGATAATAGGGGGGATGGATATCAACTAAATCGTCCATCAAAGCTCAAGGAATTCTACACAAACCCTTGTCGACCCAGGTTTACAGGAGCAGGCTTAGGCGGTGGCAGCAAGAGATCATTTCTTGAGGGATACATATCAGTCAAGATAACTCAACAAGACAAAAATTGTCATCAAGAAATTTAAGACCAAGATCTTATTGGAGACGTTTAGGGTCCGACATCATAATTTATAAAAATGAAACATGGTACCTGACTTAGCTTGATCATCAGCTTTAACAGTCTCCATCACCAATGTTCTGCGGTTTCCCTGCAAAAAAGATAAGAACCATGCCTTGGTTAGCTGACCTTTCAGATGACTTCATTATTAAGCCTTGCAGGGTTCATTCCCCATACTCTGCTTATCGTTGGTGTCACCTCCAAGAGATCCTTCACCAGGTTAAGCATCTCCCGTCCGCGTTCATTTCTGCCATTTAAACGGCTCCGTAGCATGACAAATTTACCACAGAAAGTGGTGGAAAGCCAGGCAACCAACGCCTATTTGACGAGGGTAGGTCATGGTACAACCGTATAAAGAGAAAAGACCAATTCACCGGTAATTCGAGTGTTGAATGGTTAGTATTATTACCTGACAGTAACATACTGTGGATGCTCAGTCATGCTCAACCCAGGGTATTTTGGCACACCCATATATCCAACTACAAGGTCCTGCAAATGTATAGGAAAAAAATGGTAAAAATGGGTGTACGCCAATAAAAAGATGAACCACAAAGTTATGAACGATTAAGCCAAGCTTTGGGCCAAGATAATGCCATCTTAGTACAGGGTGGCTATAAAAAAAAAAATGAAAAAAAAATTTAGGAGTTAACTGTTTAGGTGAGACCTGCAAAGGAAAGTGGAAGTTCTCTACGGATTCTTCATTGACAGAAAAATAGAAGATAAAAAAAAACGAGAATCTGTGACACAATTTCTGAGCACTTTAAATAGATTCACAGGTTTCTTTTCTGATCTAGGCTTCGGGAGATTCTTCAAATGTGCAACTTCCTTGATAACAGCACAGAAGCTGACATCCATTTTTGGTTATAGAGAGGGTTTTTGATCATTGTCTTTACTTAAAGTCAAAGTTATTGCATACTTTTCTGATTTCTTTTATTTTTTTATATTTCAGCTGAGGTTCAACTTATCCAAAATCAATAAGTTGTAACCTAGTCTGACAGGGATTTCCTTAAATCAAAATTTTCAAATTCCTTCCATGTCCATAAGTACATGCCTCCACATTGTGTCATCTCAAACTTGAAAAAACTGGTTCGTTCTACGAGATGGGTGTTACCATAATTATCTATACCAGTGTTTGATAACTTGCAAGAATAAGACATCTGAACTACAGGAAGAGGCCAAGGTCAGGCCATCAAGCTGGACTTTGGCATACAATGTTATCAGTCCCTCTAGGCCATGAAAATCCTGATAGTTAATTGGGATCAGGTTAGGTGGCAATAAACCAGTTCAACATAGCTCAAGATTAGACATGAGATTGAGTTATCACAAGAAAAGAAACTAAATTGTCTAGCAACATGGTTAGAAGTATCTTGTACGAAGTCATAAAAAATGCCAAGCATCAGGGCTTCTAGAAATTGAACATGGGCATGGATCAATCATTCCATCTGAGTTTCATGAGAGAAAATGCCTCATAAAAGAAACCTTAAAAAGCTATAAAGAAAGTATACCTGAAAACACGGATAAGGACAAGACAAAATAATTAAAGAAGAAAAACTCACCGCCAGTGCATTTGTGTAGTCGAAGCAACTGCAAATTGTATCAAAAGAAGAAAATGGAGTTAGCCTTTTAAATACCTTAAGATAAAGTCATGAAGCACAAAATCACAGTTTCATTTGACAGTGTAGGATAAATTTAGCTGGTGAAATTCATCAGGAAGAGGCTTCACTATGAGCCACATTGTAGAAGCAGCAAGGTTTCTAGGCAGTCAGAATTTCAGATAATAGCAGAGAAAAAAGGGCAGCCCACATTTCCAAGGTAACTTTTGAAGAAATATATGAACGTTTTTCATGTGAACGGCTAGTTACAGTGTATATTTCGAAAAAGTCCACGCAAATTTATAAAAAAAAACAGTATGATCTTCAGCATTTTTTCCGAGCAGAAGGAAACATTACCAAGACATGTTACTTATGAAACAGAACAACTGACAGTATCTGCTGAGTAGCCGAGATTCACAAGAACAAGGTCTGTAGATGAGGTTGTTACAAAATGTAACGACTGGCCTTCGTTTTGTAAAATTTCCTATAGATTGTAGTTGAAGGTGATCTTTATACAGTCATAATCCTCTTCTCATTAAGAGCTCGTATTTAATGAATTATGGGGGGATATTGAGAAAGATTTCCACAAAGAATGGTCACCTTCAGATCTTGAAGTGGTTTAGGAGGTTTTTTTACACAACCATTAGGTGATTTATAGTGGCTGCATCGGGCCATCCAAGTCATAAACACCAAAATAAACACCCAAGAGGCCAATAAGTGGAATCGGACTTGAAAATGTTGTTGAGATGGCACGGTAACTGAGGAAAGGTGAACTAATAAAGAAGATAATTAAATAAAACAGACGTATAATTTCAGAATGAACAGAAATATAACAAAAATTATTTCTTGAAGGTGATGTCTCCACACTTCAATTCTTTGTAAAATTGTTGTTACAAAAGCTCTAACAGCCGTTACCTATAGCAGGATGGCGCAATTACATCTACTAAATCATTTGCTGGAAGGGAGAAATATGGGACCTGCTTGAAAGGAGTTTATAATTAATAGAAAAAGAGCCATTTGATAAGAAATAATTATATTCCTGGAAAAAATTACCACCCAATTTACCTCTTCAATATGGCCATCCAAATGCTTCAATTGGACCTGATATAAAATAATAACTCATCAAGTAAAACAAAGCTAAATAAAACATGACACAAAATTATAGGGCAAAAGCAAGAAGATAAGTCGTCATCTAATAGTGTGGAAGTATAATAGCTAAGGAAAAGAACTTTCAAAATAAACACTAAAATAAATATCGATTATTAAGCAAGTTAGAACCTGCTCAGAAGCAAGGATAGTGAGGAACCAACAGGTTTGGATACAATAACCTCAATCAACGCTACTAGATGAAGAAAACTTAGGGAAGGAGAGGGTGAGTTGGGGAGCAAATATTCAATCCCAGAGGAAAATGAATAGAACTATTCCAAAGAAAGCAAAGGAATAAGATCATGGTTGCACTTGGGTCATGTACAGCCCTTATCGAAACACTTGACAAGAAAACAAAGATTATAAGGAATTACAAACCTTGTAATCTTGCATAAACTCATAATGTAAAACTGTATCTGGATCACGGCTAGCCGCCTTCAGAAACTTGTCCAGCCCCTCACGTGTTCCATTATCAACTGGGCGTTAAAGCAGAGAGAAATCCAACTTAGCAAACAAGAGACTATGTTAAGTTGATAAATGCAAAACACTCCAGGATAACCAACTTGAACCAATGAGCACAATTTGAAACTATTAATTACCACAATTTGTGCCAAGGACATAAAGCTTTTCTAAACCCAAGTGTTTCTCAACAGATCTTAGTGCTGCAGTTCAAGAAATCACTCTGCATTAAAAAATGAAAGTCATAATGAATAAAAACTAAAACATGTTTGAGATAGGAAGATATGATATTTTAATTACCTTGCACTTGACATCCCACCCCACAAAAGAGAAGTCGCTTTACTCCAGCTGCCTACCAACAAGGATGAAGAAAGGTCACAACAAATGAAAAGTACTTTGTGATATTTTCAGGTAAAAACGTGCTGAAAGTACTTAAAAGTGGAGATAACTCGTATACTACACATTTCTGACACTTAATGCCACTACATGAAGTATACTGTAAGTGTATTGATGCTTCAGCATCTCGTGAAACATTCAGTTAAAAAAGGAGCGTGATAACCTACATTGGCACACTTATGGATAGCTTTAAAGTAAAAACCTAGCAACTTCTCTAATACCACTACTTGCATGACAAACAACGTTAACACAAAAATTGTCTGGAAGCCGCGTAAATAAAGGATGGGAGAAAAGGGTTCAACTTATAGTTCATGTCAATAAAAAAGAAATGTGGAGTTACCTCAACCAAAGCAAGGGTGTTAAGATTGGGAGATAATGTTGGTTTAACACCTCTGGCAGCAAAAACTTCTTCGGGTGTCCTGGCATAAAATAATGTCAGAGATTCAAAAACTCTAAACACGCAAAGAAGATTAATTCTCCAGCCTCTCCAGAAACAAGTAAAAATATCTGTAAATCAAAACATTTTTAAGATAAAGTTTTGCAAACCATTTCTCAGGCAACGTATAAACACACACAGATGTGTAATCATATGTCTACTTACACATATTTATACACACGTCACTTTTGAAACTAAATTGCAAGAATATCACAAACCTGGCCAAAACAGGTTTTGGAGCAAGTCTATCATCTGGATTGCTGCAAGAACGCAACTCAACCATTAGTTTGTCAAATCAATCGGTGACTGAGAAGGTATACATTTTTCAACAATTAGTTATTTGCCTTTGCACACAAATCACAGCATCCACTAGGTTTTTCTTCAGCATTTCCACTGCAACGGTTGTTACGATGCCAGTCCACTGTGCTCCTATATTTGGACAGAATCCACACGATACAACATTAATCAACGCATATATTTATGCCATGCAAATGCATTCAAGACAATGAAACAAAGGAGATATCTAGTGATTTTAATTACGATAAAGTACTCAAAGAAAAACAGGAAGCTAAATCATACAAGGAAGCAAACTCAAATTTATAGAACCAATATTCTGCCTTTGGGTTCACATGCTATTAGAGAAGCCTAATGTCCTCAGGATTTTCAATTATTTGGACTTCAAGACAATGAAAACTATGCTGCCCAAGCAACAGTTGTCCAAGACTGTATATATCACCCTCAAAATTTCCTTCTTTGATGCTACATTTTTCCAACATTTCCTATCTGACGAGTGTACAAGCTACCGTTTTGAGTTGATGACACCTGTCTCAGAGTATCTAACCGCCATTATTTATAATTACCATTGGAAGCAACAGAGATGCACTCGGCAGCCCATAATTCAGAAGACTGCTGCATAACTGACGAAGGATAATGAATATCGTAAGTAGTTTTATTCGTAGCAAAATACAGTATCAGATTAAGAAAAATTGTCATCAGTATATGCGGGGAGAAGGCAGTGAAGGTGTATCTGTAGCACACATGTTCATCATATTTTATGAGGTAAAATCTTTGCCCCTGTGCTAAACAGAGTAAATGTTTGACAGTTATTAAAGATTATGAATGAGGCTCTTCAAAAGATTGAGAAAGTAAATTCCTGGTATCATTACCTTCTACTGGTTTAGTTTTGCGGGCATAGAGCAATTCTTCATGTACACCAAAATGCAATTCATCAGTTCCCGCATTTCTACCTCTTCCATGAACCTTTGATTCCAGATCCTACTAACAATAAAACAAGGGAAATATATGTTTTAAGGGCATTTAAATGTCTATCATGACAATGGTTCTTTGTTGAGCGAATAAGACCAAAAAAATAAACAATTAATCTGAAAAGCAATGAATATCCTTTTATTGGCTTGATAAGTGAATTGGATTTGATTCAGCTAAAAGTTCAAATTTTGACATGGGTGTATTCAACTTTCCAGTTGAACAAAACCCAAAAGTCCTAAAAGAAAATTTAGGCTCATGCAAAGGTGGATCTCACATTAAGATTAAAAGAATATTGATTATCAAAACTGAACTTGAGACCAACTTTACACCACTTTGATAAATTCAGCCTGAAGTTAAGTGGAAACATATGCACTATCAACTCAAAATTAAGGTAGGATTGGTGAACCAAAATTGATAATTTTGTGTAATGCAGATTTTGAATTACTTTCACTTGAGAATCAACCATATAGAATGAAAGATGGGCAGCGATAGATTGTCAACAAGTCAGTGTTAATGGATTAATTGAATGGCCTCAAACCCAAGTCTAAAAGGATATTTATCTGCTCTAGGACCAAAAAAGCTCTGAAAAATTTATATCATTTTTAATATTAAAGTTCATATTTTAAAAGCATTGGTTTTCCATCGTTCACTATTAAAAAAGCAATTAGACTATTTGACTCCTAACTGGCTATTTTCTATGCCAAATGGAGTTTTGTATAAAAGCGAGCTCCTAGTTGTGGTCATGGAGAAATTTGGAAGATTTAAATTGGCAATTAAATTAGTACACATGATTGCCCACTTCCCAAGGCCAAATCATGTTGCATCCTGGAATCATACTCAAGATGAAAATCATGTTGCAGAAGATGGTATCATATTAGTCTAATGACTTAGAACAAGTCACATGATATTACAGAAGAAATTAGAATGACATTATTTCAAAGATAAAGAGACTACGTTCTAACTAACTTAAGTGCAACCTTCCAATGCCACTTGGCACAAGATTTTCCAGAAAGTGCATGCCAGATGGGGGACACTAAAAAGCTTAATTGGAATTGGAGTTATCCAATAGAGGATGATTGCAAGGAGTGGTATCCACTTCCCCAATTACATTAAGGGCGGTTAGAGGAGAAAGTAACTATAGTGTATTGAAGAATTAGTTGGATTCTGTATAGTTTCTTCTCTCTGAGCCAAGGCCAATGGGATTTTGTGGAGGAAACATGCACCTTTTGTATGATCAGTGTATTAGGCGCAGAATAAGAATAGACAGTATGAGCGTGGGGTTTCCAATTTATATGAAACAATCAATTGATTTGGTACGGTCCATTTCTCCTCGATAGAAAAGAGAGAGAGACAGACAGAAATAACTTTCGATGTATACGTTCAGATGACCAGGAAGAAACATAAAATTTTCCAACATCTTTCGCGTTCATTTAATAGCAAACGAGCTACTTGCCAAATTTTGACAATAACACATCAAAGACTCACTTCTATTCTTGACATCCCATCGCCCAAGAAGGCGCAAGCATTCTTCACATGTGCGATGTAGTACGTGTCACATAAACCACATTGGCTGCAGGAGAGACAAAGCATGTGCCACATAAACCGCACTGTTCGTCGTTATAACGAACCAGGAAAGAAGCATCACTGGTAATTAAAAGAGAGTGAAATGAAGAAACAGAATGATCTTTATTTTTCTTTCCATTCATCTTAAACAATACCTGCAGTGATCTTTGGCAGGGTAGACACCGCCGGGAGGAATAGGCCGCGATCGGTTCCTCCAATCGTCCCTCAGTTTCACCGTATCCGATCTCCTATCTGCCAAAATAAAAAAAGATAAATCATAACTCGAGGCTTCCCAAACCAGTAGCTCCGGCGAGAGGAACGGAGATACGAGCGCAGAAAGCAAATTCACCAGCTGAGATGGATAGGATTGGACTCCCCACCCCACAGTGGTCAGCCATACCTTTCGAAGAGGACGAAGAAGAAGAAGAAGAAGAAGCCGAGGAAGAGGCGCACGCCTTGACCATGGGATACGAGCCTCGAAATGAATAACAGCCCGCCATGAGAGCCATGTCCGCTGCCGGTGCAAGACTGTCGAAGACGAAGGTGAAGGATATGATATTTTCTCGAGGGGAGCATTTTAATTAATAATCCCTAATAAGTTTAAATTAAGTAATTAATAATGCTCGATAAATTTTCGCACGTGCCAGCCAGAACTGGACACGCGTGATAATAAAATGGTCGCGCTCGTGCCGGATTTTGGGCTCAACCTAGCTACTACAGGGGCAAAGATCGGACGCCACGTGTCAAGGAGAGATTGACGAGTCATACGGGTCTGACGGATCTGAATCGAAATCTCAGGATCCGAATTCCTTCCCCTGGTTTTCTGTCGTTTAAATATCTCCGCGGGTGGAGGGCGGGAAAAAGGGGACTGCGACAGGGGTGGGGTGAGGAGAGATGGAAGACGAACGAAAGAGGAACGAGGTCAAGACCCTACTGGATGCCATCAAGTCCTCAGAAGTGACTTCTCTCCCTGATGTTTTGCTCTCTATGCATCATGATTCCTTCTGTTTGGGTTGCGTTAACTGTTCTCTCAAGAAATGAGCGATGTGATGGCTGGTTTTCAGGTTTTTTAAGTGCTAGCTGAAGCAGTTCAAATCCGTGTTTTTCTTCAATGAAGTCTCTTACTATAGCTTTGGTCCTCTCTTCCGTTGTCCTAGTTGATGAAATGATGTTTCAGCTTTAGTTACCTGCTTATTGTACGTATTGGGCATGTACTGTTACTGTTCGGAGTTGAATCAGCAATTACAGCCACAACATTCGGTACAATTTGACTCTTTTTTTCGATCTTCCACGTATTTTTTTATGCCAGGAGCGCAACCTTGGTAGTGATTGCCATGTAATGTAGATGCTTGCCTTCATCCCTGGGGTTTCGTCTTCCAGTTTTTGGCCGAGTAGTAATCCTTCCTCAGAGTCAATGGCTTGAGATAATTGGGTTGACAGGATCGTATGAAATTCGCCTCATAAACACTTCAATGTGTCCTTGCAATTCCGATTCCGTTGCTCACTTATCGTGTACGTCTTAATAACTTTTATGGCATTTGGTATTTGACGGTGAATATTCGTGTTACCTTCCTTCTTTATCTCGTTCTTGCAGGTCTGGGAGGCTCGTATCTCACTTGTGAACCAACTTGAAGATTTGCGTAATTCTGACGCATCTAACTTGGTTCTTATAATCGAATGCCTTCCAGTATCCTCTAAATTATTCCCTTTACTGCTGCACTACGGAATGAGCGTACGTTTGAGTGATTTTTGATATGCGCCTTAAATGAACCTAACTTTTTTTTGTCATTCCTTTATGTTTCGTTCATTCTCTTGGCACTTGTGCTTATGTGCCTTATGAGATAGCACCTTGATTGTTCGTCCAGTGGAATTGTACGAACGTATGGATTTTAGGTTACATGGAAGTTTCCAGGCATGGGAGGTCTAAAAAGACCGCATTTGAGGACACAAGTTCTCACTAGTATTTCATATCCATATTTTTCACTATTAGTGCTTGCATGGAGAACACTGAGACTTCTTTCAGATCCGATGAGGTATGAAATGATCTTGTCTAAATAAATAAGATCTAGAACTGGAACGATTAAAATTGTCCATGGATGGAGTGCCTATCATATGTCTGAGGCAGTCACTCAACTTGAACAAAGTTACTTTGTTCCGCGTATTCAGTTCACCTGTTAGTCCTAAATGTAAATGGGGGGTAATCGCGTCAGCATCCTCTCCTGCTTTCAACTAATAGAGAGAATGTTGTAACAAGCAACCTCCTCAAGGTAAACTGAGCTACAAGGCCATGGATGTTTGTTGTCATTATTTGGTGGATTGACGTGGCCTTGGGTCTATGAGGATATCCATCTGCTAATTTTCCTTCCATATTACATTCTGTTGTTACCATTTGGCTACCTTGATAAGATTTTGGACACTTTGGGAGGATTCCATATGTTTGGGAATTTCACATTGTACGTTGAACAGAAAAATATTGAGTGTTGCTTCAAAATGCTTGGAGATAAATACATCTACTTGCCTAAGCCATTTCCTCATTCTTGGAACAAAGGTACTCGTATGTTTCAAAGTTAAATATTTAACGAATAATACCTGTCAATTGTATCATTCGTCCCTTTTTCTGCGATTATGTCATAGATGATTGCTTATGTTTTAGGCAAGCATGTGGTGCAGGAAGCATCTGCAAGTAACATTAGTGTCAGATGAGCAGACTCTGGAAGAAGAGCATTTCATAACTCTTTTGCAGGTATGTAGCAATAATCTGGAAGATATAATTATATAGCATTAATTGAAGACAAGTCCATAGAATTACAAGAGACATCAGATAAGATGAAAAAAAATTGGAATATGTCAGTCTGTGTAAGTAATATTTATCGCCAGAAGCATCCCAGAAATTGCTGCATGACTTCACTATGCGTCAGTGTTTGATTTTATTTGGGTACATAGCATGATAATGATGTATCGGATACTTTTATGCCGCCCTTTGGGAATATCTCAGGGGCATTTTGTTATAGGCAAGGTGGTTTTTGTAGTATTTTAGATTATTTCTGCGCTGATCATTTATCCTTGTTAATTGTCAACGTTGTGAATCTTCAAGATTGTCAACATAACATTCTTAACCCTCATTCTTAATTAGTATCCACCTCCACGCACATTCTGCCACTGATAGAAAGCTTGTTCGGAGTCTTCTCTGTAATCAAGCCTAAATCTGGTTCATTAATTTCTTTCCATTTATATGGCATGGTCTGATTTTCTCCTTTGTGTTGTTTTATGATTGCAGCATAAGTTGGCGCTTTCTTTTTTCCCAGACTTATTTTATTTCAATCTTCTACTTTGCAGTTACTGTTGGATTCCCTTAGGTTCTCGTCTGCTACAATTGTAGCCTTAACGAGACCTCCTTATATTGAAGAAAAGACCAGGATGCTTATGGTTGAGAATTTTATTTTGGAACAGTTGAACCTGACGAGGACCTCGATTTCAGAGATAAAGGTACCTTGCAACTGGTGACCATTTATGTGGATTTAGGTGCCTGTTCTTTACCATTTCCTTATTCACGTTCTTCGTTACTGTCAATTTCCCAGTCTTTGAATCTTGATTATTTAGCACTGAAAACTACAAAGCAGTTTACTTCCATAACGTGCTTGAAGCTTTTCTATCGAACAGAAATTTCAACACGTTTCTTCGGAATTGGTCAAAGCGGTACAAGTCATTTTGGATGCTGCTGTTAAGCTCTGCAGAAGTTATTTCGAATCCATAAACTTGGACGCCAGTGAGGTGACGGTCGAAGCGACGAAGAGCTTTGAGGACGACATACCTATGGATTTTCCCTCTCACGTTGCTAATGTGACTGCATTCACGATAGAAAATCTACATGAATTGGGAATCCTTGCAGCCGCGGGTGGGGGAAGCCTGGTGACAGTATTAAACGTATCATGGAAAGGTGTCGTTTCTCTTCTGCAACTTGGCAAAAAGGTCTTGGCTGGCAAGGTGAAGATAGGGAATATTATTTTGACACTAGTTTCACTAGCCAGTGAGTCTCTGAGGCATGCTGCAGAGGCATGGTTTTCATCCCACAAAGGCGAGCTTACTCTGCCTGAGGCTAAGAGAACATTTCTTCCCATTAAGTTTTACCTCATCAATGCCGTCCGGATTTCGTCAGACCATCCACATGAGGCCATGAATGGTTCTGGGGATATAACTAAATGCGTCTTGCTGATATCATACTTCGGTGTTTTATTTGCCAAAGAAGTTGAGATGAGAGCCGCAAGTGAGGCATTAGCAGATCTTTTAGAGCCAACATCTTTTCTTCTGCTTTATGCCATCTTAAGCTCAACTGACATCTCGTCTGAGTCCAAATCGCAGATTTTGGACTGCTTGTTCACGGATCAAAATGATTTTAGTTCTTTATTCCCAGAAAAGAATGGTTCTATCATGCATCAACCCTCCTTTGATGGATCGCTAGCAGCAGATCACGATGATCTCCCAAGAGCTGGAACACTAGCACTCGGCCGAGTCATGCTTCTCCTGAATCTTTTGAAGAGCTCTGCTTCCTTCAAAGAGGAAGTAACCTCCATGATCTCTAAGAAGCTTGGATATCTTCTGAACCTTTTAGTGACCGAGGATGTCTACCCTTTTATTCTCGTTTCGCACATTCCTGTATTATATGTGTATGGATCAAACAAGGGAATAGCATGGAAGCCCATGCTTCATTTCCTCTTACATTCACTGAAAATCTTCATGATCGCAGCGTCTTCTTCAAGCATGGTTTCCAAAGAGGTGGAGGACTTCCTGCACCAAAATCTCTTTCATCCTCACTGTCTCTGCCTCGAGATTGTTGTGGAGCTGTGGTGCTTCTTCATGCGCCATGCTGAGCCCGAGGTATCGAATCAGGTTTTCGACCACTGGATCTCTCTTTTACAGGTGCTGGGATCATCAGAAGCAGCACTGGACCCGCTTTCTCCTCTTCGAAGGTTGGCAAGATCCCTGTGCTCGGTCCTCACTCATGCAGCACAACCCACTATAGATCATGTCTACTCTTCTATCTTTGATGATGGCAAATCCTCTGTGTCCTCCACCATTCGCATCGCCGTGCTGACAGAGGGGTTCCCCCTGAATTCCCTATCTGGTAATCTCAAGAGCCTTTCTGCTCAGAGCATTCTTGGGAATTTCCAAAGATTCACTGCAGATTATGGAAAGTGTCTTGACCACGGGTCTTCTGCAACGTTAAGTTCTACGCTACTCGCCTTATCATGTGCCATACGCTCTTCGTGAGTCCTTCCCCGAGTCCATCTCTTCTTAATTCGGTTCCCCAGCAAGCACACTTTGCTAACACTTTCCCCCATTTTTCAGGCAGATCGCCGACTGCGACATCGCCGACGACTCGGCCATCTCCCAGTTCTTAAGGCTCTCTCTTCGTCTGATCCGCGAGTACAAGAATGCAGACCGTGGGAGCCTCCTCGCTGCAGCATTGGACCTCATTTCAAGCATGAAACAGTCATATTCACTTGATGAGATGAGAGACATCGTCCGGGAGCTGCAGACCCTGTCCTCGACCCCTCTCCCCTATCGGCTCAAGCCCCCCCTGGCCGCTTTCATGGCGGACCTCTGCCACATGGAGATCACAGAGCGCGAAGAGGACCCGACAAGCGCGGCCGCGTGGGGCCTGTCCCATATGCTCCTCAGAGAACGGCACTGGGCATTTCTTCATCTGTCACTGGCCGGCTTCGGGTACTTCGCTGCGAGAACATCCTGCACCCAGCTGTGGAGGTTCGTCCCCCACGACGCAGCTCTTTCGTATGACACAGATACAGGGAATGAGCCCAGTGAGGAGAGATTCATGGCTCAGCTCAAGGCGTTTCTAGAGAGAGAGGCGACCCCCGTTGACCAGCTGGATGATCTCCGTAAAGAAGCCGCCTTGCTGAGGACCATGGCGGAAGTCAACGAGAAGAGGAGCGAGAGGAAGAGGAAGAGGAGGATTTCGGAGGAGATTTCGAGTGGGATCTCGATGCTACAGAGAGGGTTGGAGCTTCTGAAGCGGGGGCTCTCCCGTGATGACGGCGTGGGCTTCAAGGAGCACCTCTCTGGCCAGCTTTCTTCCCTTCAGGGCCTGATACTCGGCCTCTCGGCCCTCTCCGATTAATTGGGGGGGGATCGGACGCTCCCCCGACCGTTGATTCCAAGATCCTGCTGCTGGCGGCGTGTGTAAATGATCTACTCCCCGTCTGTTTCTCGCCCTAGATTGATTTCCCTTTTAGGCAAATTGAGACTCGGGCTCTGCCACATCGGCCTGCCCAGGAGGTGGCACCTGGGCCGGTCAAAGCCATAAATAGGAATTTGGCTGCGCCCGCATGACGCGGCGGACCCACGTGGATGTTCGAAACCCGGCCGCGCCACGTGAGAAATAGCTGGCGGGAGCAGCCGACCATGACAGGTGTGTGTATTTTTTTTCGTTTAATAGTTAGTTCATTAGCTGCCCATCATAAGTGCATTTATGTGCTAACGGACGGGCATGATGACCCACACTGCTGCGTTAATATTATTTCATTTTCTTAATTTTGCATGGTTTTAATGGCGTATCCGTTACATCGCTGACTTCCCTCCTTCCCCTCTATCACAATTATTAAATTCTATTTATAAAGTCCGAAATGCCACGTATTTTTTCTACCAACTTTTATAATTTTTCAAGCGAAAATTGTGACGTCATAATTGGTGTCGTGGGTCAGACCACTCACTCTACTAGAGGACAAAAAAGGGGAACCTCATGGCTCGCCAGTTCAGCAACGGCGAAGTATTTTATATTATCAACCCCTGATTAACAAACAATAACAGACGGTCCCCGGCTGTTTTGGTATTCGAACCCTCCCACCTCCTGTAGAGTGGGCGCAAAGTGTCGGATCACAATCGCGGCAAGATCCGACGGCCAGCGCTTCATCTGACGGGGGAGGTGAGGGTGGTCCCCCGGCCTACGCTCCAATTGGTCGGAACCCGTTTGACCGGCTGTGTTGGAAGTCAACGCCATTCCCGAGGCACCGGACAAATCGGACGCTGAGAGCGTTTGTGGGGGACGACGGGCGATGCAGCGGACGGCGATGCCTCCCGGCGGGACAACGCCGCCCTTCCTGCACCTGCGGAGCAACAAAACGTTAAGGTTCGTCGCAACGTCTCGATCCCGCCCTTTCCTCTCCCTGCCGTCCTATTGGCCGCTCTTCAATTCTGGCAGCTGAGTGTGGTTCACCGGCGCATAGAGTGGTCCCATCACCGTCGTAGTGAGACAAGAAAAGCCCTCTCTCTCTCCTCTTTCTCTCTCTGGACCTACCCTTTATAGTGACGAAAGTAAAGAAGAAATTCCGTTTCCCTCAACATCTCTTTCTCTTTCTCTCGCTCTCTCTAGTCTTATGTTCTACGTGCGTTCTGTACTTCGAACCTACTGCTGAGAATCGTCTTCGTCTTCAACAGTGGGAAGGGAAAGAAGGCAGCGGAGAGCACGGAAGAGTAGAGGGAGAGAGGGGAAGACGCCCCGTGGAGGATAAAGCAGGTGAGTTTCTTCTGTTCTTTCTTTCTCTGTCTCTCCCTTTCTCTCTCTCTCTCTCTCTCTCTCCCTCTCTCTCTCTCTCTCTCTCTCTCTCTTTCCGTTCCGCGTGAAGTGTGATTTTCTTGCATTCCAGGCACTATTGTTTTCCACAATCTGAAGAACGATCGTCTGCGTCTTTCCTTGTAGTGCGAGGATTGCTTCCACTGGATCTTCGAGTCTCCCCCGCTAGGTGTCATAAAATTCGTCCCTCCCTGCGTTGGGTCACGGAGATCCCTGTTCCGTGTGATCATTGGAGTAGTAGGGAACTCGCATTCATGGAATGCCGCATGGTCGAGTTCTGCCGAGCGGTATCCCCTGGACGAGTCTGAGCGCTGGTCTTCTGAATATCTGCTTGTTCCCGGAGAAGAGCTCTTAATAGGACTGATTTTGGGAGGGCGTGTTAGCGCCAGAGGGATTTTTTCTAGGTCACAATTTGAAGAGAAGACTGTCTACCGATTTCGGTCCTTTTTCTCCTCCCCGAAAATCTTCGAAATTCAGGGGGATCATTTGTGGTGGATGATTGTCCGTCGTCGCTGAGTGGATCCTTGCTTATTTGCTCCTGGAATGGCCGGAATCGACATCTATAAGTACGCCCATAGTCCTGTCCACAAGGCTGTCCTGACCAGAGATTATGCCGGTCTGAAACGTATATTATCATCTCTTCCACGCTTATCTGACCCATCAGAGATCCAATCGGAGGCAATTTCAATTGCCGAGGAGGAGAAGGCTGATGCAATCTCTGCCGTGATTGACCGCCGAGATGTCCCACAGAGGGTGACCCCCCTTCATCTCGCTGTCAAGATGGCGGATGCCACTGCAACTGAGATGCTCATGGTCGCAGGTGCGGACTGGAGTCTGCAGAATGAGCAAGGATGGAGCGCCCTCCAGGAAGCAATATGCTCTAGAGAAGTGAACATTGCGAAGATTATAGTGCGCCATTATCAACCTCTGGCCTGGGCCAAATGGTGCCGGAGGCTGCCCCGTGTCGTTGCAACAATGAGGAGGATGAGGGACTTCTACATGGAGATCACGTTTCACTTTGAGAGTTCCGTGATCCCATTCATATCAAGAATTGCTCCTTCGGACACATACAGGATTTGGAAGAGGGGCTCGAATCTGAGGGCAGACATGACTTTGGCAGGTTTCGATGGCTTCAGGATCCAGCGCTCTGATCAGAGCGTCCTGTTCCTTGGTGAGGGATCAGCGGATGGAAAGGTCCCGCCTGGGTCTCTATGCATGATCTCACACAAGGACAAGGAGGTGATGAATGCTCTAGAGGGCGCAGGTGCTCCGGCCACCGAGGCAGAGATTGAGCAAGAAGTATCAGCAATGTCTCAAACAAATATTTTCCGGCCTGGGATTGATGTGACTCAAGCAGTGCTCTTCCCACAGCTAACTTGGAGGAAGCAGGAGAAGTCAGAGATGGTGGGCCAATGGAAGGCTAGGGTTTATGATATGCATCATGTGGTTGTCAGTGTGAAATCTCGACGGGTGCCTGGGGCTATGACAGACGATGAGCTTTTCTCTTCTTCCAAGGATAATGACACTGAAAGCGAAGAGTATGATGACATATTGACAGAGGATGAGAGAAGACAACTGGAGGTTGCCCTGAAAATGGATTCCTCAGATGTTACTGATTTTTCAGGGCCCCGACACAGTTGTTATGAGCAAAGAGAAATACCAATTGAGGATGTGAGTGCATCCAGCAATGCTGAGCCCAAGCAGGAACGGAAAGGATGGTTCAGCACCTGGGGAAGAAAGGGTAATCAGAAACAAGGCGGCCAGAAAATGGTAGCTCCTAGAAGTTCACTTTGTGGTGATGAGAAGGTGAGCGATTTGCTAGGGGATTCTCCATCCACATGCCAAAGTACGACAGGAAGGCAGTCTGTTGAGATGGCTTCCTCTAGGGGTGAGTATCTGCAGAGAGGAAAGCCCAAGGATTTCAGAAAGACAGCTGCAGGTGCAGAAACTGGAAACCGCCGGAAAGAGAGCGCCCGTGAGAGTGAATACAAGAAAGGCTTGAGGCCTATTTTGTGGCTTTCTCCCGATTTCCCCCTCCAGACAGAAGAATTTCTTCCCCTACTTGACATTCTTGCCAACAAGGTCAAGGCTATCCGTCGCTTAAGGGAGCTGCTAACGACAAAACTTCCCCAGGGAACCTTCCCGGTCAAGGTATGCAACTGTGTGGGTCGTATAAGTTGTCCTTTTAACAAATGTCTGGTGTCTTTCATATACCCGTTAACCTTCACTATGCCTCCCTCGATTTGATGGGATTATATTTGGCAAAAAACTATGAGAAGTTACTTCATGTGCTTTTACTTTTGCATTATCGAAAACATACAGTATATCATTTATTTCAGAGTGTTCTATGGTATCCTGCTGTAGCTAATAGTTTTCTGTCCATTACAAACACTGAAAATTTATGAGCATGTGTGTCTGCTTTGAATTATAGAGCATATGTCCTTACAAACACTTGCATTGGTATACTTCTAGTATCAAGTGGCTAATTTGATGCGTTCGTGACAGTAGTTACAGGAGTCGATTTATGATGGCCAGCTTATGGTCCATTTGTTTTTCAGTTATAATATCATACTGTTTCTCCCTAGCAACGTCAGATATCATGTCAATTTTTCTCATGACCAGTGGGTTAAGATTTCTAGAGAAAGACATGTATTCTCTCAAAACAGATAGATCGTAGAGATTGTAGGCTCAAGTTGCTATAGTCCATGGATGCAATGGGAGATGTTATATGGAATACCCTTTTTACCCTTTTAAAATACATATTTATTTATTTCTCTCTTGGGTGTTTGACTGCTTACTAAATGGGTAAAAATTATCCGGCATTTCTGTTCAGGTTGCCATTCCAGTAGTCCCCACGATCAGAGTATTGGTCACGTTTACGAAATTTGAAGAGCTACAGCCAACCGAGGAGTTCTCCACACCTCCTTCAAGCCCAGTTGGGGACCCGAGCCCTCCCTCCGTGAAGCAGCCATTGCGCTCGTGGCTTCAGTGGATCAAGACGCCGTACCACCAGACTTTCAACGCATCCGGGCCAAGCAGCCACCGGGTCGAGGACATCCAGGACCCCTTCCTAATCCCCTCGGATTACACTTGGACGACCCCAGAGGCCAGGAAGCAGAGGCTGCAGGAGAGCAAGAACAAGCCCCGGAAGGGAAGATCTCAAAACCAATGAAGAAGAACTTCTCGTGGGCGGAATGTTTTGACCCAGCTGGATTTAACTGGAATCCCCCATCTGGGTTGTGTCCAATTTACCGTTTTCGGAAGGTTTTAGCTGTCAGCAGCAGACATGGCCGCCGCCGCCGGCGGTTTCTGTGTGTGGCGGGTGGGGAGGTCTGAGTCCCTCGCTCGTCATTCTAATGCATGTTTAAATCTCGGATCATTCTGGGCATGCTTGGCTGTTTCTAATTGTTCTTCCGAATCGTATTCGTGACTAATAAAATATTGGTTAGAGATTTCTGCATGGAAGGGGATTCAGACGATTTTCTCGGGGTTCACTTGATGGTAATTTCCAGCATAGGAAACCCACGAGAGCCCACATGAGGAGGAGCGCGGCGGGGAGGTACGGGCGCCAGAGATGTCTCGCAGCGCGCCGGTGTCGCGGCCGTCTGGTGCACAGCGCGCCTCCTCCCCCGCCGCGGCGGAGGAACCGGCATCTTGCCCCGGCGTCCTTCACGACGACGGTGCACCCGACCAGCACGGAGTTGGTGACGCCTTGGACGTTGCTGTTCACGTACACGTCGCTGCCGCTGCCGCCGCAGTAGCTGCAGGTCTCCCCACGCGAAGCGGCGGGTTGGACGGACATGGCTGCTCCAACGCTGGCGCCATCCAGGCCGATGCCATCGCTCTGGGACTGACCGGAGCAGTCATGGGCCATAGACACAGATAGATAAAGAGAGAGAGAGGATTGCAAGAGGTAGATGAGATGAGATGGGGTGGCATGGCTTCCCTGAAGGGCGTTTATCCAGAGATTCCGCTGGGGTTGCTTCGTCCACACTCTCGGAATCTGGAGGACTTGCAGCGGCAGCGAAGAACCAGGGGAGCCCTCAGCCCTCTTCCCGCTCTTCCTGCCTGCTCCTCTGCTCTCTCTCTCTCTCTCTCTCTCTCTCGCTACTGCAGCAGATTCCCCGGGGAGGGAGACAACACCGGGAAGGAGACAGACTGCTGTCGGCACGTGCCATTGCCGCTCTGTTCATCCACGTGACGACGCTTACTAGGTCTCTCTATCTCTCTCTCTCTCTCTCTCTCTCTCTCTCTCTCTCTCTCTCTCTCTCTCTCTGTGGATGCGCATGATTGACCCTGGGTTCCTTTTACACCTACGTTAATGAGCAATGATTTGAACTAAATACAAGTCTTCAATGTAACTTTGGTGCACTCCACTTAGCCCTTCTCTCTCTACGAGTCTACCAATCATTATGTGGGAAATCTCGAAGATGTCCCACTTTTATATCTAGCTCGTCAAATTATGAATACGGTACCGTTTTATGAAGATTGGACCCGATATAATTAAAAAATATTTTTGATTGAAAAGAATGAGATTAAGGTTAGAGAGAGAGAGAGGATGATGATTTTCTTGCGAATAATTACGGGTAGAACCATGTAACATGAAGAATCAGAGATAGATGCATATAGATTGTGATGTTAAACTAAGAAGAGAGATAAATTAGTCCGACTCATGTTTTATATTTTATACATTTCTTACCACTCAACAATAATTTATTTTTATAGTAAAGAATATTTTCACATATAATTTCAAACTGTCATATATTTTATTATAAATATATATAATGTAATGTTTATATCTTTCTCTTATTCACTTTGAACTGTATATATGAAAAAATCCCGAAAATATATGGGACTAGAATATAATAACGGGTTCAATATAATTTATAAATATTATCACGGATATCAAATAATGAGCATTAAATATTATATTTATGCTCTCATCTGGACACCTTAAATAGGATAAATATGTTTTCAAATATTTCATAATAATTACTTCAAATATGAGTGTCCAAATAGTTTATCGACACATATTTAATAAAAATAATAATGGTATGATTATCCATATGTGGGTTGCTCATAGTCAATATTTCAGGGCAATCAGAAGCTAATATTAAAATAAATAAATAAATAAATTCTGGGCCGAGCTCTAGAAATCAGAAGTGGACGGTAATAATGAGATTGAAGGGGATGGAGAAGAGATTGCAAAGAAAATGAGGGGTTGAAATGAAAAAGTCCTAAGATTGCTACGGCCCCGTAAATGAACTGTCGGAGGGACTTTCCTTAAAAGGGCTGGATATATACCAACGAAAAGATACCAATAAAATAAGGGCCGTGCAGCCAGCCAGCCCCCTGGATCATCATCATCTTCATCGTCACGCTCTGTGGGTCGTCCTCTTCCGCTGAGTCCCGGCTTCGCCCCTTCCTCCGGTGGGAGATCACGACCCTTTTGCGACGGGAATATACCGAGGGCTTGCTTGAGGAGCTGCTTCTCTCGGGGAGGTTCTCAGAGAGGGAATATGCGTCCCCCTGTCTGCAGGAGCTGCCTTGGGGCTCTCCTGAAATTTCTGAATTTCCTGCAGGCTTTCATCGGGGTCTCCATAATTGTGTACTCCGTGTGGATGCTCACCAAGTGGAGCGGGCACGATTCGGCCCTCCTCGGCGGGACACTCGGCGATTCCAACTCGCTTCCTGAGCCATGGTACGGAGGACCTTGGTCCCACTGATCCTGCGCCGTTCTTGATCTCCGTCGCTGTGTAGATCCTCGCTCACCCGGCGGCGTGACTTTGGTTTGTCTCTCAGGTTTATTTACCTCTTCATGGCCATCGGAGTGTCGGTGTGCGCAATCACCTCCACGGGGCACATTGCTGCGGAATCAATTAACGGCTGCTGTCTATGTTTCGTATCCTCGATTGCGTCAACGCTCGCCAGTCTTCTCTTGATTTCGCTCTGTCATTATTTTATGGTACATTTTAGGGTTTTGGAGATCATTTCCCATGGAAGGGTGGGTTATGGGGACGAGGTTTCTTCAAGATCTGCCCATCTTTTCCCCTCGGATCGAGTGCCTTGTTCTAAAGGAATCAACCCATGCCTTGTTGTTATTCCTTTTCCTCTTACATGCTAATTAGATTTCATATCCTGAGGGTTCTGACCCAAAATTACCATCGCATAATTATTTACTTAAATTGTCCAACTCGATTCAGATATCGAAATAAAAAAACTAATAATTTCTAAAACAATTCTTTTTGTCGTGCTTAATAGATTTTCGATTTTAATCTGTATTTGTCAAATTGGATGCATCCAACTCATCATGTCCGGTATCTAGAATGCCTTCCTGGTTATATCGCATCTTGGATTAGCCATCCCTTAGAGTGTATCGTTGAAAGATCATCAATCCCAAATGAAATACATGTAAAAGTGGCTTGCTGGAGACCCAGAGTTTCATCTTAATGAAGATCATAAACACGGGAACCGGAGAGATGTCAAATCATGAGCACGCATGTTATTCTTCAACCTGTTATGTGACACGTTATGAGAAACTCCCTCCACTCCTTTCTAAAATAGAATACTATTTTATTTTCTGACACATAATAGATCTGAAAAACAGGAGAAAGAACTGTTCCCCGAGAATGCTGTTATAATATTCCTTTTTCAGATATATACTGTATCCCAGAGTATACTGGAGATATCATAGGGTCCCACTTTCTATGCCTTAAAATATTGAATTTTCTTAACTTTGGTGGGCATAGTATGCTGTATTGATCTCCGCGCTGATTCTGTTTGAAGCTTCTGTAGTGGCTATTCTGATGCTCAACACGCACTGGGAGGAGGTGAAGGCTTCTTTTTTTTCCTGAGATTTTGCTTTTTTCGTCTACTCATAACTAAATTTACTCCTCGCAGGACCTTCCCCGTGACCGCACAGGAGAGCTTGATAGGCTCAAAAAGTTCATTGAAGTAAACATTGACGTGTGTAGATGGGTCGGTGTGACTGTGATTATTATTCAGGTGCTCGACTGACTTGGCTTTTATATAATCACCACAATGTTTGAGGCCTGATTCATCTTTTCCCTCGTAATATTTTTTTTTACTTTCAATTTTCCATTTAGTTGCAGGAAATCTGATTGATTTTTGGGTCATCTTGGGAATGCCTACCTCGGATCTTGTTAATTTTATCAGAAATGCTGCTCACGATATCTGGATATTTTTTTCTCTGATGTATTTTTGCGCATAATAAAAAAAATATTTGAATTTTACATTTAGTTAATGACAGGGAAAAGTTCATGAGATCCATATCTAAGTCACACCAGCTGCAATTTCAGGAAATCTGATTGATTTTTAGGTTATCTTGGGAATGCCTACCTCGGATCTTATAAATTTTATTAGAAACACTGCTCACGATCTCTGGATAAATATTTTTCTAATGAATTTTCGCTCATAATAAAAAAAACTATTTGAATTTTCTTAGTTAATTACAGAGGAAAAGTTCATGAGAAGCATATATAAAGTCACACCAGCTGCAGTTGCAGGAAATCTCATCAAGTTCATTTGAAATGGTACCCATATGAAGCTTCATGGTGCTCACATCGCCCGCCTCATCCTTGCACAAGATAATCTGAATTTATTGTGTACTAATTCAGCTATTTTTCCATTTCCGTCGTCCTAAAACTGGGAAATCATGGGCATTTGGGTTTGATTCCAGTCCAAGATTGCCTTTGTTTTAGGAATCTGATTGATTTCATATGATCATATGATCATGCTCAGGCCTGTGCAGCTCTCAATCACTCATCTCGCCCTTTCAGCTCCGATGGATCTTTGGATAACAAAAATGGTGGTTTTTTTGGCAGGCCCTGTCTCTCTTTTTGGCACTGATTCTCCGCAGCTTGGCGCCGACGACCCGTCGCTCCGACAGCGACGACGATCTTCCCACGGTGAGGGCGCCGCTGCTGTACCCACACTACGGATCGGCGGCACCTGGTGCTGCCTCCCCAGACGGGAAAGTCAACTCGGATATTTGGAGCACCCGCGTGAGGGAGAAGGTACGAGCGGGCTGAGATTATCCCTAAATAATATATATATATCACCATCCGATATTTTGTGGGTATTTTCTATTCTCGGAATGCAGAATCGTGTTTGCTTCGATTTAACTGTTGGAAAAGATTCTTGAAAATTTTATTTCTGCGGTTAATCGTGTTTTCTTCTTGTTTATGTTGCTAAGATCATGGAATTATTATGTGAATGAAACAGTGTTGTCGCTCGTTCTTGGCTCTCTCTCTCTCTCTCTCTCTCTCTCTCTCTCTCTCTCTCTCTCTCTCTCTCTCTCTCGCATATTCTACGCCTTGGCTATGGTTTCTCATTCACAGTTCCTTCTCGCTCTCTGCATGCAGTACGGGTTGAACCAGGGCGTATTCCCGTATGCTCCCTCTCAAGGGCCCTGAAGCGTCATCATCCCCCCTCTCCCCCTGTAAAGCACAATGATCCAATGATAGTCCACTTGGGCTCCATGTCAGCGTTATCTCTCTCTCTCTCTCTATCTCTCTTGATTATAGCAAATGAATGTGTTGTCATGTGGATATATACTCCCTCTCCGTCGTCGTCGTCGTCGTCGTGTACGATGGTCAGCATGGAGAGAGGTGGAAGATTATGAAGAAATGGTAGTGTAGAGATTGGAATTACAGTAGGGAGCCGAGATCCGAGTTGGATCCCATCTGCAGGTGGCGCCGGATTATCTCCACCGCTCAACGACGTCCCCCAGAGCCTCCACCACCAGCTCCGCTAACACCTTCCCTTCTATCTCCCTCCCCATCTCCTCCACCGCCTCCTTCCTGGAGACCCACTCCGCCGCCGCCGCTTCCTCCGCTCCCTGCAGCCACTGCTTCACGCGCCACCACACTCGCTCGTTCAGGGAGACGGCGGCCTTCGCCGGCGACGTGATCCCTCCGGCGATCTCCAGCAGGGCCGCGTTGACGGAGTCGAACAGGAGGCGGATGCTCGCCGTGCTCCTCTGCCACTTCTCTCCGCCGCCGCCTCCGATCTCCGACAACCTGCGCAGCAGCAGCGGGTCCAGCGGGCTCTCTGGGGAGTGCCACCTTGCGAGGGCTTCGCTCCAGGAGGTGGTCTCCTCGAAGCCGGCCGAGGATAGCAGAGACTTCACGAGGGAGTGCTGTTCTTCGACATCGCCGTCGCCGTCTCTCCTGCCCCTGGGGAGAACTCCGGCGAGCCTCGGCGAGCTCCTCCCGCTGGAGCAGGCGCCGTTCCACGGCAAGGAGCGGGCGACAGAGCCTATCGGCGGAGACCTGGAGACCAACTCTGCACAACAGAGAGAGAGAGCGGCATGGAATCAGGAGATGAGGAAGGGTTGGGTTGGTTCTTCCTTGGCGTTTGTTTGATCAGGTTCTCCTCGGACTTACGACAGCTGTCCGAGAACCGTGAACAGGAGCTGCTATTGACGTCGTCGTCCAAACGCGCTTCCAAGACGGAGACGGGGCTGGGCTGGTCCTGATCCTCGCCGGCGTTCTCCGGTGGCGGCGGCGCCTGTTGATAGGCGGCGGGATCAGAGCAGAAGAGGGGGGAGAGAGAGAGATGAGAAGAGAGCCGGCGAACCTTGCCGGAAAAGGCAATCGCCGGAGCGGAAGAAGACGTAGTCGCCGCCGGTCCTCGGGGATTCTGCTGCGTCCTGGGCGAGCAGGGTCCCTCTCTGCTCAGTCTCTTACTCCTCGAGAAGAGCAAGCTCGAGACCTTATCCCTGAGGGTGAACTTCCCGCTCCTTGATCTGGGCGACCCCATTGATACTGATCGTTCATCCCTACGAGGAGATGAGCAGGCCGGCGGCGGCGGCCGGAGTTCTTGCTCTCCGCCACCTTCACCTCCGCTGGTCTCCGGCAGGGAGAGCACCTCGCCCAAGGTGCTCGAGCTCCCGTGGGCTCCTCGTCCTCGTTCTTCCCGGCGGGCCCCTCTCGACGTCACCATCGTCCATCTCTCTAAAAGCCGCTTCTTGGCCTCTCTGATCACCGACGACTCCGGCGAGCAAGATGGATGGCCGAGGAAGAAAGGTGAGTGAGGGTTCACGAGGGGGCTCCCATAGTCCTGAGAATAATCTGGTTTGACGATGATCTCTAAGTCGCTGAAATCGCCAACACCATCATCGTCTTCCATGAATCCATCTTCCGACCTGTTGAAGGAGCTCGTGTCGCCTGCGTATCCGCAGGAGAAGACGGAGGACAACAGGGTTTCGTCCCTCCAGTTGTCGCTGAGGCTCTCCCGCATTATCTGGGTGATCTCCATTGCCAGCTCCCTCGCCCCGCCGCCGGCGACGGCCGCCGGTGCCACCACAACGTCTGCTCTTCCTCGCAGGCCCGCGAACGACTTCGGAGGTTCCATCGCAGCTTTCAGATCCAGGGTCTTCTTCCTCAGACCGGGTTTCAGAACTACTATCCTCGTCGGATGAACAGGGCCTTCTGCTTCTTCTTCTTCTTCTTCCTCGAGCATTTCCACACAAGTCCCATTCTCGACAACTCTCGACGGCTTCAACACTGTGATCCGCTTGGTCGCCGGCGAGGAGGAAGAGGAAGGAGGGCCCGGGTCGTCGATGAACCTGAGAAGCAGATCTCTGTTGGAGTCGAGAACCTCGAGAAACTCTCTTGACTGGAGAAGCTGCCGCTCCTCGGCCAGCCGCTTTGCTTCCACGAACTTCCGGCGAACCAGAGCCGTTCCGGTCTCGCGGGCATTCCCCTCTCCATCCTTCTCCTCCTCCTCCGGCGGCGGCGACGAGATCTCGCAGACATCCTTGCAGTAATCTCCCTCTCCATCCAAAGAACTTGGAGATGGACGCCCCCGAATGGCGGCGCCGCCCCCGGTGTTCGCCGGTGATGGCAGATCGTTGAGACCCATCAGCTTCGCGACAACACCAGGCACCTTCTGGGCAGCCTCCGTTTGGCTGATCATCTCCTGAGCTATGAGCATCTTCATCGGCGTTCTACCGGCGCTTCTTATTGACGAACCCCTCGTCCCCCTGATCACCGCCTAGAGAGGCGATCCAAATTAGGGCTCCCTCAGCCTATGATTCTCCATAATGAGGAAGATGGAGTACTCACTGGTTCGTCTTCTGTCTGAGATGCGATGGCGTCCGACTCCCTCGGCGAATCCGGTCGGTTACCATAAAAGGGAGAACCTGCTCGAGATTGAGATCATATCAGTTGAGATGCAAGAACCAGGAGCTGCATTCATCTCCTTATTCATATCGATCAAAAACGAGTTCGCCTTCTTCATGGGGATCATCCACAGATCATCAAAATCAAAACAAGGGAGGATAAAAAAAGAGTAGCTGAGTTACCATCTCTATTTGATCTGTCTGTAAGCACCTTCGTCCTGGCCGTGCCAGCGTTCAGGTCAAGAATGTGGATGATCCTCCCCATGCATCCCGGTGCCGCAACCCGGAGGTTCCTGGCCGCCGCCTTCCCGCCCCGGAGATCGCTCATCTTGGCACCTGAGATTTTAGAAAACAAGAGGAGGAGCACATCAGAGGGCCCCCCATCTCTTCCACTCTTCCCCATCGCCGCCCACCAGAGCGCCATCGTTGAACTCACCAGCGTCGCCAACGACTAGGACGTCTTCGCATAAGTAGAGAAGCAGCTCCTCGTCCCGGCCGCTCCCGTCGCTCTGCAGATGTCATCACACGAGCCAGAATTAGAAACAATCCGCAGATTTTGCGAAGATTCCGACGAGGGGAGAGGCGGACTTATGGTAACAGCTTGCAGACGCGGAAGCAACGCATAACGAAAACTTTCAGAGCAAAATGCCCAAACTGGCGCCCTAAACCTAGTCCCGGATTCCGAACCTTTTTCTTCATCCACATCGAGACAAGCAGGGAATAACGCCCGCAGTTGCAGAAAAATGGGGAAGAATCCAGAATGCAGAAATGGAGGAGACCTGTTCCAGCCAGAGAGGAGACGGAGATCCATAGAAGCCTGGCCATGTCAAAAAGCCTCCTCCTCTTTTAGGAAAATCACGGAGGGAGGGAGACCAGAACCAGAAGACGCCGACGAAAGAAGCTCTCCCGCTAAAATAAAAATCAAAGCTCCGTGTTCCAGAATCCACTCCCCCCACCCCTCGCTCATCTTCTCGCCGGAGGGCAAGAAAGAGGGAGAGCAACGATCGGATAGCAGTCGCCGGCGGGGGAACACATCCTTTGGAAGGCCGAACACTGGCTCCGATGGACGAGGCGACGAGGGCTCAAAACAGAGGGTTAGATGAACCCACCTCCGGCCGCCGTCACGCATTGCGCCGCCACAGCAGACCGCCGACTCCGGCTGCTCCCTCCCTCCGCCACAACCTCCCTGGTGCTCCGACGGGAGGGCTCCCCGACTCCGGCGAGCACCGCCGGAGAGGTCGACGGAGGACCAGGCTCTGAGCTGTTAGTCGGGGACGACTGTGCTTACACTGCGCAGTGGTAATGGCGCGGTGGGTGCACCGACTTTCTAGGAGAGCCGCGCTCACGTGAGAGGCCCTACCCTACAAACCCCCACCCTCTAGATACCAAGTAGGACCGTACTCTGACAACACCCAATAGAAATATCCCACGTCAGATACCTTCCCCGGGCCGCATGACGTGTATTCAACCCTCCCGATCTACTCACCGTAGGGGAGCTTACCTTCCCTGAGCCAGACTGCGTGGCCGAGCCGCTGGAAAATCACCCAGTGGCATGGAGTGCACGTGACATTGGCCCCGCGGCGTTAGGCAGGGACCCGACAGCCTGTCCCAAAAGATGGGGACTTTTCGGGATACGGATTATTCAATTTCCTATTTATTTAATATTTAAGAATTTAATGGCCCGTATTGGAGGGTTCCCTCTTCACACGGTCGGCCCGATCACCCCAATTAAATGTCCCATATTTATTGTACCAGATATATATTTATTTATCTTCCCCAGTCACGCGGGTGATTGAGAGGTCTCTCTCTCTCGAAATCCTCCGGGATCAGTTTCTCTCTCTCTCTCTCTCTCTCTCTTGCTGTTGAAAGAAACTTGGGCAAGAATCGGCGCATCTTACCGTGGATCTCCAAAGGTTGCAGCTTTACAGAGCAGCTGGGCTGCTGCTGCTGCTGCTGCTCACCTGGGACATCGTCCGGCCGGTGGGGGTACCAAATGGGGTAATATGGAGGGATGAGCCCGGTCGGAGGGCTACCAAAAGATGGTGGTGGGGGGGTCCACTGGTTCATTGGCGTGATGGGGTAAGGGGGGGGGTTTCGATGGAGAGGGTGAGAGTGCCGAAGTTGCGATGCTTGCCGTCGAGTCTGTTGGCGAGGGGGAAGCCCAGGAGGGGGAGCTGGTTGATGAGAAGGGTCTCGATCTCGCTGGCCACGCTCTTCCCTGGGAGCAGGAGGTACAAGAATGGAGAGCCCTGCAAGCCCTCCTCCGAGCGGTGGGTGCGGACTCTGCCTGAGAGGTCGTCGGTCTGCATGGAATATTCTGAGGGTTAGCCTGAGCTCAGAGAAAAGCCCAGAATTTTGGTCTCCACACCAGGCTCTACCATGCTCAAGGCCTGACCCTTGCCACCTTCACATGAACTTACCAGAGAGATGAGCCTGAGAGATGAGAGAGAGAGAGAGAGAGAGAGAGAGAGAGAGAGAGAAGAGGGGGGTAGGGCACATGTCTGATAATGGGATAGCTATGGAATACTAATGGGTTGAGTCTACGAGAATTTACTTAAAAGTAGGAATAACCTGAGATTAGCGAGAGAGACATGGGGGGAGAGAAGAGAGGGGGTTGGCCACATGTCTGATGATAGCCATGGAATATTAATGGGTTGAGTTTATGAGAATTTACTTAAAGTAGAAGTAATCTGAGATGTGTGTGTGTGAGAGAGAGAGAGAGAGGAGAATAGGGGGAGTGAAGAGGGGGGTAGGGCACATGTCTGATAATGGGATAGCTAAGGAATATTAATGGGTTGAGTCTATGAGAATTTACGTAAAGTAGGAATCACCTGAGATTAGCGAGCGAGAGAGAGAGAGAGAGAGAGGGAGACGAACCTGTCCAACGTATAATCTCTTGTCAGGTCTGAAGAGAATGTAGATGCTCGATGAGCCTATTGTCGAGGGAGGCGGCTGTTCCCTGGCGTCGACGTACGTGCAAGCAACCTCAGAGAGATTCTGTATGATCTTGCTCTTGTGGAGGTCGATCAATTTCTTCCGGCATATCACAGTGACGGCCTTCTCCACTTCCTCCATCAAAATCTGCCGGGACCTGAAACCCTCCTCCCCTCCGGAGGAAGAGAAGAGCCTCACCTTGGAAGAAGCAGACGCCTCATGGAGAGCTTCCACCTTCGAAAGCTGCGGGCTCTCACCAGTATCTCTGCTCTCTGAGATCTCCTTCTCTGTGGAGAGATACAGCTCCCCGGCCCTTCTGATGATTGCCTCCGGAAAGCCCTCCTTGAGTGCGGTTTCGAAGGCTAGGCTCTCTCTGCAGACCCCGTCTCCCATTTTCCAGGTGGGTCTGACGTGGCCATCGACGATCTCTGTGCCCATGGCCTTGTTGACCACATTCTTGACGGACAGCGGCAGGTCAAAGATGCCATGCAGATGAGTGGAAACGATGCCGAGGCAGCCCACAGCGTCAAGGGTTTCGATGATGCTGCCGGCGATGCAGGTCCCTTTGGCAGTCTCTGTGCCCCTGCAGATCTCGTCGATGAGAACTAAGCTCCTCGAGGAGGCCCCGGTGACCAATGAGCGCAGCTCCGACATTTCAATCTGTACAAGGTATCATAGAATCATATGTATAATGAATGGAGTTTCTTGGGTTGGTTTCCCAAATAAGAAATAAATAAATATTTGTACATGTAAAATTCATAATCATATGAAGAACGGATCAGATCCAGAAAATTAGCCGAAATGACGGAAATCGATAATTTTCTATTTCAATGGGTTTTTTTCTTTTAATTTCACTGGAAGATGACAACAAACAGAGATATTTCATCAGAAATGAGATCCAACCATATACACGAGCATATGAAAATATAAATGATCAAATTAATTCTAGAAAATTAACGGAAATAATGGAAACAAAGAATCTTGGTTTCTTGACAGATTTTTTTAATTTTATTTCTAAATCAGATCTACTTATATGCCATCATGAAGAGAGACAGCGGGAAAAGGTCAACTGGTTCAAGAACAGTGACCTGAAAGGAGCTCTTCCCATCGGCGGGACTATCATAAGATTTCATGTGCAGCATTATGGAGTCGAAATGAGGAACAAGAGCTGACTCCGCAGGGACCATGAGCCCACAAATGCCGAGTAATGCGGCGGCGCATATTGACCGAAGTAAGCTGGATTTACCGCCGCCATTTGGTCCAGTGAGGAGGAACATGGACTGCATGTCGACAGTGTTTCTTATTCCACTGCCCTCCGCAATGTCAAACCAATAGGGCGACAATCCTATCAGCTCCATTCTCTTAGGCGCGTCCAAAACCTCTTTATCCTGCAACAATTTGAAGCTCCTCAAACAGGCATTGTTCGATTTCTTGCTTAAATCCAGAAAGAAGACAAAGTAATAAACTCATGCTCTCTCCGTTTATCAAGAAGATGAAGAAGGTGGGCTTTAGTGAGGTTCTGGATAACCATAATGCTACCAAACTGTTGGTCAAACTGGTGTTTGAAGAAGAACATGCGAACCCTTGGTCAGACCAATCTGAATCTTAAATCAGATAATTTTCAGTTCAAAAATACACCGACCACGGCCTTGTGTAATCAGAGTTGTCTTCTTCAAGTTATGTGTCAAATAGAGTCATATCTTATAAGGAAGAAAATACATGTAATATGTACATTAACCAGTTAATGACGGGGCAGAAACATCCCCTCATTATGACGCATCATCTTGCAGTATCTTACCTCAGATCTGCAGAACTCAGTAATTTGAGGAAACACCCATTTCCTCCTTCGACCTTCACTGCAAAACAGCCAACGGAGTGTGGAAGCTTAGAATATGCCATGAATTGGCAACATGTTCATTGAAAGTCGTAGCAAGGAACATGTGTAAATAGGTAGGCTCGAATAGACATTTCAGCTACAACTGCAGAAGATCTTAAGACATGTTCGCGAATACTTTGAGACATTCCAGGTCAAGATTCACCTTGGTGCCAAAATTTAATGGATTCCTTGGAGAAAATGAATTTACAAGTTTGAAAGATTGCGGAGGATCATATGCACAACCACTCGAGAGATTAGTAACACAAATTCTAGAGATCCTTTGCGTAGAACATAACCTCTATGTCCCCACTTGAGGACTAAAAAGCCACATTGAAGGGCTAAAAACATTTTAAGCGCATTCAAGGAACTGAAATCCAATCGTATAATGTATATGAAGTAACTCATGTTCCTACGTAGACCACATTATGAAATTAACTGATAAGGCCCTCATCTTTGTAGTGATAGCGAGTCACTAACCTTCTTTATCCATACAAAACATAACACATTGCGTCTCTTATACCGTGATTCTCACAAGTCATGAAATATAGTCCTCTATTTACGCACAATTCATATTGCAGGACGCCCAGTGCCTTATTGCCTCTTAGGTAGTGTAGAAGGGTTCCTAGTTGTTTTTCTCGTAGAGTTTGGCTGAAAATCTTTCCTGGAATCTAAGAGATCAGTTGCGAAAGACCCCCTATGGAGCTCAGAACTGTGTAGTGACCCAAGAAAAGCCGAGAAGACAGATGGTGAGGAATGTGCACTTCATGATACATGGGGGAAAACACCCTCACTATATTCTGGTAGTTAGAAATTATATATACAGTAGGTGCTAGTTAGCAATGAATGAATTTTAAAGAAACTATGTTGAATATAAAGCTTATTCAAGAACAATTATAAAAAAAATTCCTCTGGTTGAAAAAAATTGAAGTTTAAGCCCCCCACCAGACATGTCCAAAAAGAGCCTTTGCTATGATGAGCAACATGGATGAGAAGACAAGGATATTGATCTTAGCCTCCAACTCAACGGAAAGTCCCTTCAGTATTTCCAAAACCTTAGCCGTTGCCGCAGCATTAGCCTCATGGTACCTGATATGAAATAACACAGGTTAAGGCAATCAACTATTACAGTTCAAGGGAAAAGGGGATCCTCAGAAATAAGAATTAAAAAAAAATATTGTCAATAAATAAACAAATGAAAACTATCTCTGAAGCTCGATCAGAAAAATAAAGCTCTAACATAGGATACCAAGCATAGATTGCTGAAACATATGCATCGAATAGACAAATACAATTACCACCAATACCAAACACAGATGTACCTGTTCAATGCATCATCAACCTTGCAAGTGGTAAACCATTCTTCTCCGACCTTTCTACCTTTTGAATCCATGGCAGGTTTTAGTTGTTTTATTTGTTCTTCCCCAGAAGTACCCGCCCAGACTGTTGGTGCAAAGCGCTTGCCCTTGAACCAAACAGCTTCATGCTCTCTTGCATAAGAGATATCTCCCCTTGGTCCACCAAGAGGGGATACAACAGCCTTTATTCTTGAAATAATCGGAACAAAATCTTCAATAACCTAAGGAGAAAAGGGATAAAATAAGGTGATAAATTACTGATGATGGAAAAAAGGATTGTGGCTTAGAATAGTGGTTACAGTTGCAGAGGCTATGACATTTGTACAAGTTCTTTATTATCCACCAAAGTAAACTACAGAGGATGTTGCATGGTTTCAGATCAACTATGGAGAGTGAACTAAATTCTAAAAAATTGATGCCATTAGAATCTAAAGCGTTATTTTGATGCCCTCATCATGACCATTTTTTTCTGCATACGCTTTGAAGACTTTTTTGCTCATGACCACATAGCTATCTCTAAATCACAATACACAGTGTGTCAAGTGCTCAAATCATATGACAAGATATAATTGTATTCGCCGATACATACAGCATTTGATAAGGCCTCAGCAGCAATGTCCACTTCTGCAAAAGCCAGCTCTGCATGAACCCTCTTCACACGGCCCTTCCATGGGGACTCCATATCTTCAAAAAAGTCTACAGGGATGAACTCAAAAGAACTTATCCCTTGATCTGTTTCACCGTCTAGAGAAATCATTTCACCGATCCTTTGTGAGATCAGTTCGCACTCCTTGACCTAGGAAAAAAACAAAAAACCAACGCCATAAGTAAAAGTCGTCAGATATTTGCAGAGTTTAATTCACAGATGGTCCTCTGTCAAAACAGAAAAAATCAAAGCCAACAGAAAGATGGACGAGGATCCAAGAGTTGGACACAGCATGGGTTTATCTCCCGCAATCTCCCACTAGCGGCTAATAACCATCGGTTATAGAACTACTGGATTCCAAACCAGACTGACAGTACCACACTTTGATGGAACACAAAGCATTCGTTCCACGGACTGTTCCATTCAAAATATGATGACAATAAAAAACTAACTTCTCCTTTCTATTGGAATGAACAGGATAGACAAAATAGTCACTAAACAATGGGAGGCCATTCACCAGTATCTCTGGTTCCATTCTCAGTCCTGTTGCTGTCCAAGTAGGATCCATCAAAAATTGTAGAATTGGATAAAGCTGATCGTTTTTATACATCAGCATAACCTCATCAACCATATGCTTGATTCGGGAGAATTCAATATGATTAGCCTCCTTTGATTCCAGCAATTTCACAAGCTGCCAAAGCATCCATTCAATGTGTAAGAGATGTAATTTGGACAAGTCAAATAACTGACGCTACTATAGTGACTCAAAAATCAAAAAACAAAGATCAGAAAATTAGGAAGTCTTGCACAGGTGGAGAAAGATTCATACAGCCAAATAGATGCATGAGAAGCTCATCCATTCCCCCAAAAAAATTCGGTTTAGGCATGAAGTGGCTAAAAACTGTCCATTAATTGGCGGTTAGGTGGGCTAATTTGCAGAGCACGTTGACTCATTAGCCAGAAATTGACAGAGATTCGATGTGAAGGACTATGCTTTTTGATATACTAGATTATAATATGTGTGCCTCTTTATCTTCTCTTTGACCTGTAGACTCATCAACAGCTCGTTTTTATATTAGCCGCTCATTGACATCTATTCCCACCTTAGTCAAAGCCGTGCTAAGGTGGGAAGGAGAAGCACAAATCTGATATATTCATCAAGTCAGAACATATTTTCATAAATATAGGGTGGTGTGAACGTGTAAATAATTATAGTGACTGCAAATCAGTGATTTGTCATAGACATGGTACATTTATGTTTACGTAATAACCAAAACATTTAATGGTAACCTAACAATACGAACTTGCTAAGATAGTAGTAAACTAGTCAAAAAATGACAATTACACAACAGAGAGATTTTCAGCTTCCAGAGAGCAGTGCAGCATTCTGGACATTTATAAGGATAAAGTCAACGGAAGTAAATATATAATAGAAAATAAAGGTGGTGGAATTTCAATATACTCTAGAGGTGCGGGTGAGTTTCAGGACCTTTGCTGGTGACGTGCACGTGAACTCAGGAATTGAGCATGTCACATTGCTCATAAGTTTGCATGCTTCTGCAAAAATGAATTTGATTCAGCGAGGCGTTCATAACAGGCAGAAAAGTGGAGAGAAACGGGGGAAAAAAAAACGCAAAAAAAATTAGATTTACAGTCAAATATATTTATGATAGTCTGAAAAAGAAAATCTTCCAGAGCCATTTAAAATAGAAAACAAAAATCACTTATTTACGCTCTATACCCAAAAGACCTGCTTTCCACTCACCAAAATTCTTCATAACCCAACAATATCCGAAGCTGCAACGAATGTCAAGAGAATAGAATCATATCCACGCCAATTCAGGCCCAAAATAGAGAGAGGTAATGGCATGCACCAGTCCAAAGATGGTTAAATAATCATCCATCAATACTCAAATTGATTCGGACAAATAATTCAAGGGATGAGCAGTCCAAACTGCTTTTGCACCCGTTTCCAATCATACCTACAAGCTCTCCAGCAGAATTTCATATTTCTTACCTCAGCCCCATCCTAATTTCTTTTCTGAATATTTTATTATTGTGTACAGACGCCGTGTCCTATAGTCCCTCGGAGTTGTATGTCTGACTTTTTCTTCGTGACACATTAAACTGAGCGTTTTTAAGATTGTCCTCTCAATCTTTTGCTAAGATATCAACCAGACATGCATAATATCTACAAGGCGACATTCTTAGTAACGCTCAACAAAAGAGGTCATTTCTTTTAATATCAAAATAGAATTGAAAACAGCCAAATATTTCCGCACCTCAAGGGAAAACAGTTACAACTTCATACCTTGAATTGCTGAGGCAATAACATATGTGGGAGGGTTCAGAAGAAGGTCTCTTAAATACCTGAGACATAAAAAAATGAATGGCAGTTTCTGTGTCAATGAAAAGAGGGACTGTAAGAAAGAGGATGAAGTAAAAACGCGCAAGTCTGTAATTTTGCAGAAAGTTACAAGAAGACATGTGAAATAAAAGTATGACCTTACAGAAAAATACCAGAATCAGATGATCACATCCACAGAAATGAAAACCAATTATGAAGCGAATAGACACTCAGTTCGAAAGAATACAATAAAAAATGGTTGTTTTAGCTAAAATCGTGATTAGGAGCGTTTTGTCATTGAAGCTGTTGGCTACAGAGCAGTAAAAACTGGATCAAAAATAGACACAACGTGTTTAGTTTTTCAAATCCTTACATTTCAGTTCAAGAAATGGTAAATTTTTTACCTACCGTATTAAAACCTATTAAATGAGAGATGCACCCAAAAAAGCCATGAGAGATCCCCAGTCTAGCAACATTAAGTAGAAACACACAGGAGACAAATACGTCAATGCCATCATAGCAAACTGTAGTAAATGTAACATAAAGCCTCTTGTCAAATCCTGATGGTCTTCTATTTGAAGAGAGATCAAGAGTCTATGTGACGTTGAGGAAAATTCCAAAATAAAAAGAGGGGTGAGATTCTAGAGAGATCTGCGGCTGCTAGACATTCGGGTGATTATGTATCTAATTTATAGAATGTATGCAATCACCAAAACCTGAGCAAAGACTGTTTCCCAGATTTCAGGTAGCAGAAGCGTCCAATATTATATGAAGTTCAAAGAAAACTTTACATCAGTGACGATTTTAAAATTGTGACGAATGATACAGAGACTTTCTGCATCCGTACCTACTTCAATAAAACTGTAGAACACACTCGTAGGTTGTAATAACTTCGACACAAACTTCGCAGGTAGTTGATCATAGTTTTCATTGTCTGAAGGCAGGCATCTAGAATTTTTTTCAATTATTATAATGATAAGATCCTGCATGTGTAGGAAGTTGATCATTCTCATTACTTTATAGACTAACATATGGAATATAAATAATAGAAGATTTGCATAAGAGTTTCACCTCAAATTCCCCATCCTTTAGAGAGCTAGATTTATCCATAAAGAATGGGTGGCAGACTATATTGAATGATATAACTGAACGGCTTCCACAGTTAACACTATCTCTACTTGACCATTTCATCTATCAAGACCTCTGCTTCGTAATACAGCAAATCTAGAAAACATCATAATGATAAAAGCTGTTAATCATTCCACTTACAGCACGGGAAGCCCTGTGCAAATCGATGGAAGAAGAACCTTCAATAAGCTGGGTATACCCTCTGTCGGGATGACTCCTACAGAACGAAGGAAACATATGCTTGACAAAATATCAAAAGAATCTAGCTTACGAAGGGGAAACAAATGGTCAATTATCTACCAGAAGAAAACATGGCTTGGAGAGAACACATGATCAAAGATAAGAACAAAAGAAAAGTAGGGATAATAACCAATTTGAGTTGCTGTCGGAAGATATATCGAGCGGGGTCTTTTTTCTGAGGAAATAGTTACGTTTCGAAATGATGTTTCCTGATCAAGACCATAAATATCCCGTACCTTCAAACAAACAAATAATCGCATCATGTTGGTAAAATGTTATTCTAAATACGGCGAACTAAAACCAATGAAAATTTATATATAAATATATGAGAAATTGCAACTTGGCCAGACATGACGATGAGGAAAGAACTGCAACTTGGTTTTCAGTTTCTAAGAGCCTGCTTCTGACAGATTCCATTAACAGTGCATGTTAAACATGTTCAGATCACTCAACCAAATAGACTAACCTCTTAATTATCAGTGAACTAATTTGACACAAACTATCCTAGTTGTCATGACAAAGGTTCAGCAATGAGGATAGATAAGAACACCACCGAGGAAAAAAATTGAATAGCCAAAACACATACCTTGCACAAAAGCTCTTCAACAGGAGCCCCGTCAAACCACTCAAAAGATTTGTGGTTGCACTCACCCCATAACAGTCCCCCTTCACCAAATTCTCCCCAGCGACAAGTTCCTGGATAACAGGTTTTCTGCATGCGAGTCAGGAACTTTCATGACAAGAGGATTTATGCTCATGTTTTAAATCAAATGTAAAAGCCTATAAAATGTTACCCAGTAAAATAAGACTGAATTGTGACGGAAACTGATGTCATGCAGTAGACAGAACACCTAGTCTAGACATGTTCAAAATGATACAATCTAGTAGGAGCAAGTTTGAATCATATTGAAAAACAAACTTTCAAAGATTGAAAACAAACGAAAAGGCAGGTTTTTGTTATTTCAATTAAAAAAAAAATTTATGCACTGAATCGATTTCCCTTCACGTCCTGGTAGAGAACAGAGATTCCCACCGTTCCCAACCTATCCCATGAAGAAAAGAGAAACAAAGAAATAGAGTACGGCTCCTCACATATTTAAACCATCTAATTCCAAGCTGTAACTTTACTGAAGAATAAAAGCATCTATACCTAGAGCATTACTTTAAAAAATGGAGACATTGTCTTGATACTTTTGACACCCAAGAACATGAAAATAAACCTGTAACTTAGGAGCCTCTTAGACTTAAATGAAATGTATCATAAGGAAAACAGAACAGTCAAACCTGAAGAATTCTGTCGCAGAGTGGAATGCAGAAACAAATAATGGTACTGACAAGTACGAAGCTTGGTAACTACAGCTTCCTCAGTCAGACAATCCTCAACGGAAAATGTTTTCATTGTTTCAAGAACAGATATCATGGAATAGCCTTTCGCAGAACGAGAAATTCCTAGAAGAATAAAATGAAAAGAATGAGCAATTAAACTAAGTGGGTTAAATGAAAACAATAGAACAATATTTCACAATTCGAAAGAGACAATTAAACTTTTCAATAAAAAGGAGGTTATTCTGTCATGCAGGCATTTATTTTAGAGTCTGCCTCATTTATAAAAAGATCGCGGGGGCCAACAAGCCCACCTTTTAGCTTGGCTGTCAACCCCTCCTTTTTGTCTTCTTCTCCTTTTATATCAACAGAATGGAATGTAAAATATATATCAGGCAAACTACCCATGGCAACTCCTTGTACTATGTGCTGAGGCCCACAAGGTAGATGCTTCCAGGGAAATGGAAAACTAAAGATCAAACTACAGAGAAATGGATTGCTGGATAGCTTGCATTGGGCAACAAGGAGGGGAAGGTGGTGGTTCGGATTGACAGGGAAATCAAGGCTGGCACTCGAGCATCTGGAAGTATGGATGGAGTCTCTTGATTGGCTTCTTCATTCAGAATGCATCAGGGCAGCGAGCAGCTGAGGATGGCGCACAGAGAAAGGTCTCATGGCAGAAGCCAATCGGATGGCAAACACAGTTTAAAGAGACTCTCTATCTGTCATAAATGTCAAGATAATCCAGCGGAACGTAATGATAAATGTTATTTTGTTGACCCACAAAGAGTCAGCTAATCATGTATTTATAAAACGAGACAAAGAGAACACTTCTAGGATGCTCCTTCCAAGATGCCTCCACATCATATAGAAAATGACTGACGAAGGGGAAGTTCCCTCACTCCAGTATTGCATTTATTCACCAATAAATGAGGAATGGCATCACTTAACAATTTTCATCCTTTTTCTAAACTTGAGGTCACATTAGAAGCCTTTCAGCTCCCCCGAACTCACATTATAAAATTAAAGCATGAAAATTTCATACTTCAATAATAAAACAAATCGTTTGATTGAAAACTCAATGATCGCTTTGCTGCTACCAAAATATACATATTTAGATTGCAATGTAACAAGGGCCATTACCAATAACAGGCATTGGATCAGGAAAATCGACATCATGGTTGGATCCAGCAAGTCCAAACACATAAGGGTTGCCTGGATGTGCATGTCTGGAACATACAAAAGAGCAGAGTGAGTACAAGCATAAATGTTGCAAAACCATACTATAGCAATTATACTGTTCAGAAGCAAGTACTGTCAGCAAGAAACGTGCCAAAAAATTACCCAGATATGAAACGACCTTTGCGGGAACGAGCCTGAGCTGGTCCCTGAATTTCTTCAACTATGCACTGTGAAAATGCAGAAAAGAAAGGTCCTAAGAGCTTAAACCAGGCCAATTCCATTTTCAAGAAAATTAACATTGATAAGAAAAAAGATCAACTCGATTTATCAAAAATAGAAAGACATTCACCAGAAAGAATGAACCACAACTTTCTCCCAAAAAATGTGCATCCTAACCATAGATTATCTTCCAAAGAGAAAACCCGTCAGAAAATAATGACATGGACTGTGCTATCCAAGACCTCTGTGCTTTTATACTCCTTGCAGCACACTAACAAGTATTATGCGTTTTCTCATTTCCCCTTGCAAAGATAATTTACTGCAGCTTCTCTTGAGCTTTCATATTTTGATTGCAAAACTAGTTTTCTTTTCATGTATCAGAAAAAACAGTAAATTTGTGAGCATGAAGAGAAATATTCCACAGAACCTAGAAAAGTGAAGAGTTTGTTTTGCCTATCCAGCTCTTTGATTGAACAGAGCAAAAGATGAAGAACAAAACTGATCTAAATAATTCATGCTACTCACCACAGAATACCCATTACGAGTCAAGTCATCCAATGTTCGGCGCAAGTTCTGCAATAGAAACACTTTTTTTAGAAGGCAAAGCATTGATATTTTGTTGAATTGGAAGGAACAATTATGAATGACAGATAATCTTCACAAGAAAAAATACTGGAAACTTGGAACGGGACGTTTAACCAAAGAAAATGTGAAAACGCACAGGAACACATACGCACATACATGAGCCCATACACAACGAAAATAAAGAAAATGATAAGCTTAAAAATATTGAGAGGGAAGGACAATTAAATAGCAAAGGAAAAATATTAATCAATGATGCAGAGGTAACATGCATGACTAATGCATCTCGCGAAAATTGAACTATGCCATAGAATAAGATTAATGTTCTTCAAGATATCAAGGGGTTATCTTGAGCACCCATTCTCGAAAAAAATACCTTAAATGGGGAACAAGAAATTCTGTACTGGCTTTGTGATCACTTTGCAAATGCCTTCAAAAGAGGATAGGTTTAACTCCAACGAAGAAGAGTATGGCTAGTGAGGAGGTCAGAGTATCTTTACGTTAAAAGCCACTCCCTCTATTAAGATAACAGTCTCTGTATGTTGCGAGATTCTCACTTTTCCTGATACGTTTCTGGCTTTTATTTACGTGCAAACTAGTAGAGGAGCGACTTGTTGCTTTCAGCCAGAAAATGAAATAACATCAACCAAGGTATTGTAAATAATTGTATGCTCAGATTCACATACTGATGTATCATCTCCTCTATTAATTTAAAAACAAAGACGCTCATAGCATCTGATACTGTTTTCATCTCATCATGCGTCTCCTACTGAGATGCAAGAACCAGTACAATGCTTCCATGACCAAAACTCTTGCTTGACATACTCTTTTACGAGGTGACAACTTTTATAATCACACAAATGTAAACATTTCTGCAATATCTGATCGGCTTATGATCATGTCTAGAACTTTGTTAACATTTTAAAATTATATTTTCACTGAAATTATGAGGACTACGCTACAATAGGCTGAAAACTTGCACAAAAAAGAATATACTCGGGGAAAGCATTCTACGAAGATTATGTTAGATGGTATTCTGTACAAGAATGAAGTAACCTCCGAAATATGAGTGGAGAATGTGGTGTACCTTACAAGACTGGGTACCAACGGTTGAGAGAGTTTGACCTATTTTAATACCATTTTGACCAACACGATGTAGAGTTATTTTGATTGAAAACATGGGAAAGCATTTTGAAGAAAGAAGAAAAATCCCATTAGAGAGGGCATACTGGGTAAACTCATTCTCATTCCCAGAAAACATTTAACAATGAGTCAACCAAATGGAATTTCCATTCTAAGAATGAAGAATTCCTTCCAAATTGTGATAGTGAAGAATGTAACCTCCCCTAAAAGACTGGGTAACAAAAACAACCCAAGGAATGGACAATGTTAGTTGCATTTTTATCCTTGAAGCATAGTTAAGTCTCTTCACTGAAACAGTGAAATGAAGTATAATAGATGAAACAGAGGCTACAAAAATACACCAAAAAGTGGAATAAAGAATTTTCTCAGCAAGAATGAAAAATCAACTTAATTTCGAAAGTCAATTCTACATGATGCGTTTTCAATCACAACCTTTCTGCTAATGGCATAATCATGGAGCAGTGTAGAGAGACTTGCAAGATTTAATGAACTAATAGCAAGATTAGATAAACTCATACCACAACAGGGCACCCAGCTCTAGGGATACTATCTGAACGCAGACCACCAAAAGGATTTAAGCCAGCATACTCGACAAGAATACATGCATCAAACCCAACCGCTTCATAAAATTCTCCAACCTAAAAGAAACAAATTATCATTAAGAAAAAATTCTAGATGAATACTAGATTATACAAGACAAAAAATTGTCCCAAACAAAGTATTTCAAATATCAACACAAGCTAAAGTCAGCAAAAGAAAAAAAATCCTACTGAAAGAACAGCACATGAACTAACACAGCCCGATGACATCTGCCCTTTTAAAAAATGTTCCTCAAAAAATCTACCTTTACCTTATACACACACGTCTTAAAAAGATCACCCACGAAGGCTGTCTGTAAGTTTGTAACTTTAGTCCTGTGAAGGTCAGGAATATCATACTCTGTCTAAGAGGCTCTTTTGATGCAGTTATAAATAATCTTTTAGGATTCTATCATTTTAGGGATGGTCTAATTAGCAAAAGGAGGAAAATCCGCTGTCCCACTTTTCATGTATATATGTGTGTTATAGTGTTGACATAAATCACAAGATGCCTCCAATCTCTTGTCACAGCACAAATATAATAAATATACGTATATCAATAACATATTAAGGTAAACTTAAATGGACTACGTTATCTGAATTGATAAAAGTGTGACTGCAGAACTCAAGAAAAGAATCCTTCCAATTTCAAACGAACACCTAACGCTGTCCTGTTCACCCTAGGTCCAAAACGTGAGATGTGCTACACTTATCAAATCAAATTGGAAATTCATAAACATCATTGACGACATAAAAGAGTAAATAAAATAGTCATGAGTTACATACTCTACATAGCAAAACTTCACGTGGAAACCTTTCTTTAAACTGCAGTAACTCCGAGTTGAGATTTCCATCCTTTAGGCTACACAAAACATGTTTAAGGGGAATCAGTACGTAACAGCCAAGCATTCCACAAAGAAAAGAGTAAGAACATGAAAGCATATCGTGTCTCACCAAAGCGAAGAGAAGAATAAAATAAAGATAAATCTTAAACATGAAAATACCCAACCCGTTAGGAACAACAATATATCAAAGCAAGAGACTGATAAACGAACTTATTGTTAGAACAAGGTGTTTAAAGATTCAAATGAACTGCAGCAAGTTGATCTGAGTCACTACGAATGACGAGTCAAAAAATATGAAATATTTTTACTTTCACCGGTCAGTTAACATTTTTTATATTGAATGAATCTCCATTTAAAACTTCAGATATGCATGAGACATGGAGAGTAAATAAGGAAAAGGCCGCAAGTGAAGATAAGGATAATAAATTGTGCTCAGACCCATTATGGTTTGTCAGGGTCGCATTAGAAAAAATTCTCAACGTAGGTCCTCCCTAGCAACCATGTATTATCTTTTGCGCATCAGCATTAACCAGAGAAGGAACAAGAATAAAAACCCACTCGAATTTCTGCTCTCTGTAACAAAACAACACATTTCCACCACATTATGGTTCATACTTAATCTATCAACAAGGAAATGATATGATAAGCGCAGGAAAGAGCCAACTACGGGCAGGGACCAAAAAAACCTGCCAGGAAATGAGGGATGCCATGTCAGCACAAAACTTTCAAAAGTAGCACAAGTGTAATAAAAGGAAAAAAATTATATTCCGTTAAGAAAGTTGATTCAAACCCAGTAATGTGAACGATCATAACATTTTAAAAATCACTATCCCAAAAGCGTTAATAGGATATGCAACCGTGTATCAATATCATGAAACAGAATTAAGCAGAGTACTGTACCAATAACATGCACAAAGCCTCAAACAGTATTCACCTTCCATTTTTCAAGCTGGTGTCCAAACCTAATAAATTAGAATAACAAAGTCGTTGAGTAAGCTGAACAGAAGATGGTTTCTTGCACATTTGCATCCTCTGAGGAACAAAAGCGTACCGTTAGAAAACAAATGTTCAGTCACGCATGCATCAACATCACACAAGAAAGTCCTAACACAAACCTCTTTCCACCAAACAATATGAGAATGTTTTTCATCATCGCAAAGAACTTTTGATTCTTTCAGTCTTTTGCTTGTTTTAGATGCCCCTTTAAAAACCTTTTGAGCCTTAAAGAAGCATTTCCTCTCTGTCAGTCTGCAGCAGAATTTGAAAGCACGTGAAAAAATAATATCAACCAGCGATGATTTCTAGAATCACTGAAAAGGTTTTCCTAAAAAAATTACCTAAAAACATTAAAACTGAATTGATAATTTGAATAGCTCATCTTTAAAAAAAAACCCATTAAGAATGACTAATAAAATTGACTTGCCATTTGGAATACTGTTTTCCACTAGAAGCCAGGAAGAAAGTAGGTGCCGAACACTGCAAAGGAGTAACTACTATGGAAAATTTTCATAACACATCAAAGTGTAACTGTGACGAGAACCTATGGTCATAGTTTTCAAGACGCGAGGTAGGAAATGGTATAAATGACCAGGCGAGAAAGAGGAAGAGAGAGAGCAAAACCAACTAAACCGGACCAAGTAAGACTGACGAAAACTCACCGAGGTATCCGGGAAGAGTGAAGCTGACGAGTTAAGGATGAACGGAGGACGCCGGCGAGAGACACCCAACGGTACGAGGAAGAGACAAGGCTCCGGGATATCAGCCAGTGCATTGTCGACAGTCCTAAAACATCCAACAGGAAGAAGGGTTCCCCTCTCCTAGGGTTTCTCCACACCTCCTCTGCTCTCCACCCCTCCCCACCACCACCACCACTGCTCCTTCCCGCCACACCAGACGCAAAGGGCAGGGAGAAGACGACTCAAAAAAGCAATCAGTGTAAACGGCCGTTTTAAAGGAGCGCAAAACAAGGCCCGAACCATTAATGGGCTGATAATGATTTAACGGGCCCATTTAAAGAAAGCCCATTAGCCATCCGAACTCGTTGGCTTTGATTTTTAAACGTGCTTCGTTGACATAATCCACAGCTCAGATCAAAACAATGGACATATCAAACGGTTACGCATCATCCACGTCTATCCAGTTGACCAGAGAAGGGCCACCACCTTCACCTTCATCTCCCTCATCGTTGACTACAATCCACGGCTCCGATCAAGACAATGGACAGATCAAACAGTTGGGCATCATCCGCGTCCATCCAGTTGACCATAGAAGGGCCACCACCATCTTCATCTCCCTCATCGTTGACCACAATCCAAGGCTCCAATCAAGACAATGGACGGATCAAAAAGTCAGGCATCATCCACATCTATCCAGTTGACCAGAGAAGGGCCACCACCTTCGTCTTCATCACCCTCATCCACGGCTTGCTCATAGAAAGACCACTTCTTGGCGAGGGTTTCCCCCTCAGGGTCAACCGATCCGAGAAGTAATCTGCTGGAGGTGCTCCTGAATGGACGACTGTAGGATGAGAGAGAATCTCTGTAGGAATCGGCAGATAAATAGTCTTCCCATTGTGATCCTTGTGAGAATTCGGGTCGAGAATTGGGGAGCTCCACCGAACCATGATTGTACGGCGTTAATGGCCACTGATACACCTGCTTCTTCCCTGGGCTCTCAGAGGCTGGAGACAGCTCTCCCCCGTCGTTCATCTCGTCCCAGCTCAGAAGAGGAACATGGGAATTTCTCTGTGACAGAGCTGATACCTCTTCATGGAATATCTCATGATCAAACACGGGTTCGGTGTATCTGCTGGTTGATGCTTCCACAGTTCTGCTGAAACTGAGCTCCAGTTTGTTCTGAGGCGGTGGACTTCGAGCAGTCATTGAAGAATATGAGTGTCTTTGCCTCTTTGGGAAATCCGATGCTGTAGTGCTCCAAATGGGGAAGAACTGGTCTTTGACGGGGTCTCTGGCAGAGCTTGGGATATACATATTTTCCAATGTCTCATATGGATAGGTGACCCTTGGATGTTCTATATTTGGACCCAGGGCATTTATCTTCTGGAGTTCGTCACTCTGCAATAGCATTCTGAAGTCATAATCTCTCGGAATCAAGAGTGAGAAGATAATCAGATGACTAAATCAGAGGAATGATTAATAGATTGATTGATGCATATAAATTATGAAAATGTGTGTTCATTCGTATATGTAGTATGTATAAATGGAATGCAAGGAACTTACATTTTCGGCATTCCTGTTGATTCCTAGACGACGAAGGAGCACTGGAATCAAAGCACGGCTGGAATCGAATCCAAAGACCCTGTCAGTGACGGCTGAAAGACAACAGATTAAAGTCAACGTTGTTCCTTAAAGAAGCCGCTGACCCTTTTGAAGTGGCCTCTTCTTCTTCAAGAGATAAGACGGAAGCAGCACGTTTTATTAGATTTTGTCTCTTTGTGCAAAATGTTCCTCCATTCACAGGTTGCGGTTCTACAAATTTAGGAAACATGTTATCCAACTATTGAACAGGCTGAACTCATTTCTGGTTTCGACAGATGAAAATATGGAAAGAATGCACAACGGACCTTCGTATGCTCCCAGTTGGGGGACTTCGCACATAGCTTCCAGTACAATTCCACGAAGTCAAAGTGTCACCGTGAAGTCACAAACAAATTAAGAATGAAAATCTCACCCCACATCCAAGAAAGATGATATGTCTAAACATAGAAATCTGAATACATTCGAATGCTAGTAGAGAAGAATAGTCAAGCAACAAGATGCATCTTGTGTGTGAAACATCTAGAGGTCTTTATTTCTGCACAATTCATTCGCACTCCCCTCACTGTGATAAAACATGCAGAGCTGCAGAAGGTAATCCTCACCTTTCTCGGCAAAACGTCCAGTTGGTAAAAGAGGCACCTCATCACTCGCAGGTTTTTCAGCCTGCAACTTTTTCACATTCGTCTCATTTTTGTGAAGGTGCGCGTTTCTCGTATCTGAAAACAATTGAGCCACACAGGTGAACAGAACTCTGTTAGTGTCCATTCTTCAACAACCGAAAAGGGAATGGGGGGGCCAAAAACCAACGAAAAGACCCACCTTCCTTGAAACTGCTTGAAAGCCTATTGCCTCGTCTGGCCAGATGATGATAATGCGACCCATTTCCAGCTTCTTCCAGTAATCTCATAAAATATTTGTACTCAAAAGTTTTAGGAGAAGCACCTGCGTGCATACTTCTAGATCTTACTTATGGAAAATAAAGGGATGGAAATTGGACAAGAAAGGAAGGGACCTACGGCTCGAAACACGCATTCCATCAGTTGATTGTGAAGAAATGACTTGTTGATCTGTGGCCGGATGAAGGTTATCACGTTCTACATTTTTTGCTCTTCTCTTGTGCTTCATATCTGTCTACATAAGATCAATTTATTGGAGAGGAAAAATAGCTTTCCATTTTTTTGTTAATTCAAACTATTCCTTACCTCGACAATTCCAAGGAAAAAGTTGCATATAAGGAAATAAAAAAAAGAACCCGTTAAGAAAACTCGGAATTCGCCATAGAAAACTAAAGAATATGTAAAAAAATTTCATCCAAGGATTCCCTTGTACAAATACTTGTGTGATTGATCATACAAATGCTAGAATTATCGTCATAATATTATAGTTCCATAACTATCATGAATGCTCGAGGAATTGGAATATCTCAATTCTAAAGAGTAAACCCCCCCACTTTGAATCATGGTCGCGTTGTAGCTTCCATGTGAATTGAGAAAATCCTAAAACATCTTCAACTTAAACGCTGTAGAGATTGCTCTGGCGTGTCATGTTTCCGGGAATGACAAAACCGTGAAAAAGCCATCCGTGAGGATGACAAACTGGTTAGACGGAATATGATAACCTTCCGAAGGTTACTTTTCCCAGAATGAAAAAATCGCTAACAATATGAGAGTAGTACAGAAACGGAGATCCTGAGTATAAAACCGGAGGCTCACCGGAGGATCAACGGGAAACTATAGGATGAAAGGTCCTCGTGGTGCTCTGAGCTTTGGTGATACCACTAAGACATGACTTCATCTGTGCTGGATGCCCCGTTGGAAGGAATTGCAGGGACATTCCGTATTTCCTCTTTCTTCGCGCGGCTGCCGACAGGAAATACGCCTGAAGACCATCGAGACGTTGTGTGCTTTCAGGAGATCCACATAGCAGAAGACAAGTGAAATCCCAATCTAGGCGCTCTTCCTAGAGTACTCCAAAAATTTTCACCGCCGTTCCAACGAATCCATCCGCTCCTCGGTGTCCCGCAAGCCGAGGCATCTCCAGCGCTTCTTCCAGTTCGGCGACGTTGGCGCTGGTTGTAATCCTGGAGACTTCTGTAGCTTCCTCGAGCCAGGGATTTGATTAGCTCCAAAGGTATGGAAGATCGAAGTGGATCTGCCGTGTTCAAACAGAGAATCCGCCTGATCGACAGAAAACAGATTGAGCATCTGAAAGAAACGGGAAAGAGAGCGGAAATGAAGAGTCAGTTCAGGGCGGAAGACGGCGCTCACAAGTGCTCGATTGTCGGAGGCCAATTTTAAAGCTACTCTCCGGGAGGCGACCCCCACTGCTTCGCCTCCTACCTTCTGCTCCGTCTCCCACACCATTCATGGAAATCCAATATTCCTGAAATCTTCCCTAATAAATAGTATTCTGTTCTAAAACCACCTCTGTCGCGGGAAACGCAACGGTCATCTATTTATCGATAATGGGCCTATTGAGCCCGGAATCTGTATCCATAATGGCTCAGGCCCAAATAATGGCCCAACTGTGATGGCTTATCGTGATATAACAGATGAAGCATCTCGAAGGTGGAGGAAGAAGCTTGCTGGCTATGGCGTCGTTCGTGGTATCCTCCGCCGTCGCCAGGCTCAGCAACCCGCTACAGAGGCCGCCGCAGTTCGTGCGTCTCCATGGAAGGCCTTCCCTCGGGAGGACGGCGCTCCTTTTCCCTTCTGGAAGGCTTGCGCGGGGGGTTTCCGTGAGCCTTAGGGTTTCGGCGTCTGCGAGCTCTTCCGCCGCCCCTTCTGCCAGAATCTCGCCTCCGGTGGCTCCCTTTTCCTCCGAGGTCGGTGTATTTCTCGCGGATTCCACCCGGACGGTGGCTTCCTTGGCGGCGCTGGCTTTTGCTGTGTCGAAGATTTTCGTGAACTCCGTCAGGTCTTTCGCGGAGAAGGTTGCCGCCCCCCCGTCGGCGCAGGATTTGGCCAAGCTTCTGGAGATGAAGGGGAACCTGATGTGCTCGGTGGGGCCCCTGTTCTTTGCGGCGCTCCGTGACAGACCTCGCGGGGACTTGAACACCCCGCTCACTGTGGTGGCGGCGGGTTTAGCGAGGTGGCTGGAGATCTACAGTGGGGTGCTGATGATCAGAGTCCTTCTCAGTTGGTTCCCGAACATCCCCTGGCATCGGCAGCCCCTCTCGGCCATCAGGGACCTCTGCGACCCGTACTTGAACCTGTTCCGGAATATCATCCCTCCAATATTCGATGCTCTGGACGTGAGTCCACTCCTCGCTTTTGCGGTGTTGGGAACACTAAGCTCGATTTTGAATAGCAGCAAAGGAGGGTATTGACATTATTGATTAGAAGAAGAAGAAGCAGCAGCAGCAGCAGAAGAAGAAGAAGAAGATGGTCGTTCTATTTTTGTCCGGAGCAGTAATATATTTTTATTATAGTTTCGTTGCGATAATTCGTGGGTTACCACAATTCTATTGTCCGTCACGTAGACAAAAATCACCATTGTTCCCAGCGTTTTTTATAGTTCAGCTGTGATTTCGTTCCAAACGGTATTGATATGTGGAGAGAATGAACCTCGGTGATTTACACTTGGATGAGAGCTCAACGCTGTGCAACTCTCCTTCCACTGTAACTTCCAAGATTTTTGAACAAAATCGGATCATCTTTTGGAATGCTTGCGTGATGACATGACCCTTATTTCTTTGGGGAAAATTGTTCGTCATATGTCGTCTAACTGTGCAGCAATCTGATGCAAGATTGTGAACATTTCGTGTGGAATTGTTCCCACCATGCCAATATAGCCTCCTGCATCCAGACAATACCCGAGCAAGAGGGAAACAATATGGGTTTAAAGCCCTTGTTCTGCACCTGCGCTGGTAATTCTCACGGAGTTCCCTTCCCTCCTAATAGTTCTGAAGTATCCGTCTTCTGTAAACAGTAGCATAATCTCTCTGTCTTATTAGTGATTGTTACAGAAGCGTGTTTGCTTTGTTTCTTGTGTGGACGGTGATAAACTAGCAGCTATACTCTTCCATGAATAGAAGATGAATTATTTTTCTTCTTATGGAGCTTAGAGCTCTGACTGCTCTTCCTCTTGCATGGGAAGCCAGGTATTTTCCAAACCTTAGCTCCCAAGCTCCCCTACCAATGAGCTGAATGAATCTAACTAACGAAGCATATGCCTTAATCTGATGAAATTCTTGGAGACAGGACGAAGAACTGAGTATGTTCTTGATTCGTCACTGGGGTTTATCCCAACCTTGAATCGGGATCATTGAAAAAAAATGAAAATGGTAGTGATTCTGATGTTTGGTAAGTGGAGGCTGACCCAGCTTGAGGAAGATAGAATTCTTTCTGAAAAATGCCATGTTCTTCCTCTTGCATGGGAAACCAGGTATTTTCCGAATATTAGCTCCTAAGCTCCTAAGCTCCTACCCATGAGTTGAATGAATCTAACTAAAAAAGTATATGCCTGAATCTGATGATATTCTTGGAGACAGGACGAAGAACTGGATTCATCATTAGGGTTCATCCCAATCTTGAAATGGGATCATTGAAAAAAATATAAAAGGGGAGTGATTCTGATGTTTGGTAAATGGAGGCTGCCCCAACTTGAGGAAGATAAAATTCTTTCTGAAAAATGCATTCCCAATTATGATCATTTTTTACTTAATCCAGCTCGGATTGGGGGTTTTTTTCCTTTTTGTGAGTGCAGTCATCTGGATTCAACGCTGACCAATAATTTGATGTTGACCATATTTGTTCTTTCAGTATGCTAGGGTTCCTCATAAATTAATTAATTATGTGCACTTTGAGGTACCCAGAAACTATCATAATGATACCATTTTGTTACTTATTTTTAACTAATTAATTATACCAGATATTTAAGTAATGAAGAAAAATAAATAAAAATTACCTTCCCAACCGTAGTGTGTTTGCTCCAGATGATAAGCAGAATTTAGACATTCTAAACCTCTGAAAAAGAAAAAAAATGAAGATTGATAATTTATTTAATTCGTGTATTAGCAAAATCCGAATTGTCTGTTTTTTGGTAATTTTTGTCGCACGGAAAATGTATTTTACGATAATATTATTATTGGAAAAAAAACTTTTAAATAAATATTCGTCTCATGCGTACTGTGCGTTCGGTCGTTAGATCTGCTGCGGATAGGGTACATAGATCGGACGGTGAAGATTGGTCATTGTGATGGTCCTCTCCATCTCCAGCAACAAGATGGTTCCTCAGCCGCAACGTGAAGAACAGCGTTATCCGCCCATCTGCAGCTTCTCTCTCCATCGTCTTCCTCTCTCTCTCTCCCCGCCCCCGGCACCGTCTGCAGCAACCGTAGCAAGGAAGAACGATGCTGAGGTTGTCTCTGCCCCCGACCCCTACTCCCTTCGTCTCCCCGTCGCCGAGACGGAGCACGCTCCCGCCGCAGTCCTCCTTCTATGGAGCGCGGCTCCGGGCGGTGGCGCCGCTTCTCCGCGTCAGGAGCCCTCTTCGGGTGGGCACGGTGAGGATGATGGCGAAGAGGGAGGAGGAGTTGAAGGAGATCAGGGAGATGACCACGGAGCAGATCAACGAGGAGGTGATCGACCTCAAGGGGGAGCTCTTCATGCTCCGCCTCCAGAAATCCGCCCGGAACGAGTTCAAGAACAGCGAATTCGGAAGAATGCGCAAGCGGGTATGCGTTGCGTTGTGTCCATTGGATGGAGAACCCTATCACTAGCTTGATTTTCGCGGTTTGGTTTTTCTGGAATCACCGTGGACGGGATTAATCCGGATTTTCGGAGTTTCGTCTGAATTCCTTCGTGCTCCCGTTGAATTTTTTTCATTCACGTATATCATTATTCATGTTCTTACGTCAGAAACTGGAACTTATAGAGAATCACTTTTACTGACGGTTGGGATTCCGGTGCGATTTTGTTACCCTAATGTCAGTGAAATGGTTCTCCTCGGTTGCTTGTGCTTCCACTCAGGGAGAAAGGGGGACCTCATGGGGACCCCGAATGGTTCTTGTGGATAATCCGAGCAGAGAATCCAAAACTTTCTGTTCACATTGATTCAACCCATGTGGAATCTATCTTCATAAGATAATCTATCGTTTTCCATCATCTACGGTGTTCTCTGTATCTTCAATAATGATCTCTAGGAGCTTATTAATGGTTGCCATGTTCTTGAGCAAGTTTAGACGATCATTTTTCTTGAAAATACTGATTCATTGGGTAATTTTCCGTACAATGTATGCAGATGCTCATTAATCCTCCTGTGTTCTGTAAAAGTCTTTCGGAGCAGACATCCTCTTGTGGTGTTCTTGACTGCAAATCTAGATTCATCACTTCTATTATCCAATTCAAATGAATGCCTGTTTATCAGGGTACCCGGAATGCTATGGAAAAAACCTAGAAACCTCGCCGAGTGTCAGCAATGGGGGAAACAATACCTGCAATTTCCCAAGTACCCAGAAGCAGTGCCCTTGTTCTGTCATCCATTTCCTCGAAAAGAACCCTAGAAACTTCACCTGGAGCCTTTAATGGCACTGGGGTATTCAAGCCACAGAGATTTTTGCTCTTCCTGTGCCCGTTTGACTCCCACGGCCCTGATTTGCTCTTCATCCGGCTCGCAGGTTGCCCGGATGCTGACAGTGAAGAGGGAGCGGGAGATCGAGGAGGGGATCAACAGAAGGCTGTCGAGGAAGCTGGACAGGAAGTGGAAGAGGAGCATCGTCGTCAGGCCCCCACCCTCCCTGAAGAAGAAGCAAGAAGAGGAGAAGGCAGCAGAGGCTGCTGGGAAGGCATCATAACGTCGCCTGAGTTGACTTTCCGTTTCTGGTTCTTCGGTGCTATTTTCACCTTCCTATGAACTCTTTGGGGAAAGTTGTGGGAGATTCCCCTTTTTAATCTTCCCTGATCACCATCTTCTCTCATAAACTGTTCATCTGAGATCCTTTTAATCTTCCCTGATCGCCCAGTGCATAGCCCGGAAGTGGGCCCTCCACCCTGATGAAGGTGGGAACTCGTTGACTTTCTTAACACAGAAGTTTGTTTTATATATATATATCTTGTAGTTTTTATGAAAATAAAAATGCAGGTCTGTCCCGGATAAACAATTATTAAGATTTTTTCCGGGTAATACGATGATTGACCCATATGGTTTCTAATAAGATGCAAAAGGTCAGTTTTTAAATATCATCTGGGAGATTTCCTCCGGGATTATTTTTTTCCCTGGATGAAACGCTAATTAGGTCGTAAAAATCACCTCGTTGTATCCCGATGAATCATCTCGAAACATCGGAGCTAAAAATAAAATAAAAAAAGATTTAATGGCGCATGGGCAGACCTAGATTTGGAATATTCTCTCGCTGCAGCTGCTGGTCCAGCGATCTGGTTTCCATCATTTCTTCGTATTGTGAGGCTTGTCTTAGCCACATGTCCAGGTCTTCCGCAGTAAATTAATGAGCTTCGAAGACAGAAGGGGGGGGGAGAGAGAGAGAGAGACTGAACCCATTTTCCCAACTGGGCAACCGTCGATAGCTCGGGACATCTCCACTTTCGATGGTGTAATTCTTCAACGCCGGGAACGCAGCTGCGGCGGCCGTCGCCGGCGAGAAAAGGGATCGATCAGGAGGGGAGGCACATAAGAAGAGAAAGGGTGGATTCCGGGGGCTCCGTTCTGCGGGCAGTAATTGCCGGGTCGTCTTCCTGCCTTCGGATTGGCGGGGTCTCAGGGTTTGAGGGGAGAAGAGAGAAGGAGAAGGGGAGGAGGTGGATGGTAATGGGAGCCGCGGGTTCCAAGCTCGAGAAGGCTCTCGGGGAGCAGTTTCCTGAAGGCGAGAGGTACTTCGGCCTAGAGAATTTCGGAAACACCTGTTACTGCAACAGCGTCTTGCAGGTAGGCAACCAATCCCCTCACTCCTTCTTCCGCGTCCGGGGAAATACCCGTTTCTCAGGCTGCGTGATCCCGTTATCGTTTCTCCTCGCCCTTCACCTCCTTATCCACAGTTGAAACTTCTCTCTCCTCGTTATCATCAGGTTGTAGTTATCGTAAAGGCCAGATCCCAGCGAGCCGAACGTCCATTAATCGTTATCTTTAGATTTCATTTCTTGCTCTTTTTTTTTCTCTACTGTGCTCGTGATTCCTGGTGCATTAGTTGCATCTATCCGTTGCTTTCCTTTCCCCTTTGGACAGCCTGCCCTCTGGGCTTTCCTGTACCAGGGAATAAATGGGTTCGGGGATTTGAAAACAACAAATCCATCGATAAGTGTTTCTCCAGATTGTGTTCTTATGGGCGAAGAGAATCGGAATGCTCACGAGTATAACAACTCTGAAGTGTGTATGTATGAGACTGGTTGCACCTCTCCCCATTGATGTGGCTCATTTGGAAGCACAGAAAGTTTTTGAACAGCGTGTGATTATTCTTGTGAGGTTTTTTTTTTTTTTCCATTAGGAATATTTATGGGGAAGGAAAATATCAGGGTGCAACTGAAGATCCAGAGGGAGAATGGAGAAAAGGTTTCTGTGCGTGAGCCAAGCAAGATCCCTTTGCAGCAGCCCTTCTTAGAGCTTCCAATGTGCTTTTTATTCTTGGAAAAAAAAAAAAAAACGTGATGGGCGAAGTGTGGAGGGGAGTGTTGGATAAGTTAATTTCCATCTGTGATGGCGATTATTATGTGATGATTTCATTCATTGCTGTGTGTGGAAGTAATTGCTTATTTGCGTCTCTCTGCCCAATCTTACTCTCATCTCTATTTCATATAATTTCTTTTATGGAGGTGGAGCAATGGGATTTGATGGCATTCAGCTGGGGTTAGATGAAACTCAGATTTTCCTTGAGGAATGAAAAAAATTCCCCATCTGAATGATCTTAACAAGATGGTGCTTATGATACAACATTCAGTTCCTTGTTTGGTCATCTAGTTTGGTCTGACTGGAAGGAGGGTTGAGGTTTTCAGTTATGCCCACCTACTAAAGAGAGAAAAAATGGATGCAGCATGTGGATCAAAAGATCAGCCTCCAATGTAATGTTGATCATAAAATGCACGCTCTCATTGCTAAGATCAATCATTGGTGGGCTGTCAGTATGTATAGATCTCTGAACTCCATTGGAGGCACGATCAGGTGTTGACGATTGAAGTCATATTTGTATGCATATTTGACGATTGAATTCCCTGTCTTATTCCTTAGGAATACCCATCATGAGCATCAGCCAGTTTTAATAGCCTGATATACCCATACTCAGCGTCCATTAGTTTTTATGAATATCTGAACTTGCATTATCACTATTGAACAGTTTTCCGTCACTTTGTTGTGAATACAACCTGGTTAATATTCTCAAAATTGCCTCCAAACTTCTTTCAAAAAATTTGTCTAACTTTATCACATTATTATCAGTACCGATTTTATCTCCAAAAGTCTACTATTTAATAGATATACGTCTAATACAGCCAAAGTTTGATTTCAACTCAATCATGTCAAACGACGGCTATTTAATGTGGATCAGGTTTGGCGTGGTTTTCTTCATCATCTGGAAGCCGATTTTTAAATAAGGAAAATTCTGTGAAATTATGATACTCATCTATGGGAATTCCATGGTACAAACATAATGGCGGATTGATTTAACCCTGCTTCTCCAATCCATCAAAATGATTTGTGGAAGGTGAAAATGATCATGGAACTAGTGGCAGCTGGGGTCAGATGATCTGGTTATTGCGCAAACTATGTAAACCAGGAAATTGAGATTATAAGATTCAGTGACACCACGCAAAAGCATGGCTTTTAGCTTTTCTCCAACCTAGATAGTTCACATTATAGCCGGAAGGAAGTGGTGGACTAGGAAGAAGGGAGAGATTTGGAAGGGGGTTAGCGAGGGGCCAGCTAGACGAGGATCAGGGGACGCAGTAATGCCTGGAAGAAGAGGGGGAAGAAGAGCAGGATGGGTGGGAAGGAGTGAGGGTGGTGCTGTGATATGACTTTCAGGCGTGGACCTGTGCCATATATAATCACGTTGACCTTCATTTCGAATCTCGAGCTTGAGGAAGCCTGCATTGGGTGGGCTATGGGCTTACCCCACTCGTTGACCTCGACCCCCACCCCCTCCTCACCCCAATAAGACTTGTAAGATTTACACTATCTTGGTGTAACACATCATTATCCACATTTATTCTAGAGCTCATTGAAGTCTTCCATGCACATCGCTTTCTGCTTATCTTTTTTTTTTTTTCAATCTATATGTGGTGCTATGAACCCTCAGTATGTACGTATATTATTCTTTTTTTGTAAATCATTAGCTGTAAATATTAGTCATGCAGCAACTACCATTATAAGATTGCTTTAAATTGATGTGTATCAAGTGTTGACCTATCTAATTCAGGGTGTTTTACTATCGAACAGGCTCTATATTTTTGTGTCCCATTCCGGGAACAACTGCTTGAATATTATGCAAGCAACAAGAGTGCAGGAGATGCAGAGGATAACCTTTTGACTTGCTTAGCTGATCTGTTTTCTCAGGTAATCCCTCCATCTTGAATACTATGAGAAAATATCCAGATATTCGCCTGCCAATATTGTTTACTCATTGACGTGGAATGCATTACGAAACCTGTGATCTCCAAAGCTCTGCATGTTTCTATGTACAGCATGTATTTTCCGTGAGTTTTCCCCTTCTTTGCTAAACCCACAGACATGGAAGAACATGTCAATGTTCCTTGCTAAACCCACAGACAGGTGGTCCTTGCTAAACCCACAGACATGGATTTAACAAGGACCACCTGGGTATTATCTTAATCTGGAGGCTTTGGTCAACCCCCCCGTGGCAAATTCCTTCTCTAGATCTGACCTGGATGCTCTTTGGATCCCACGAGAAATGGATTACCCTGCTGGTTTTCTTCTTCCTTCCTCTGCTAAATAATGTCATCGTTTAGAGTTGTTCTCCTGATTGACAAAATGGATGACTTCAGAACCTCTGCTACGTTGACTTTATTGCTTGCTGGAAGGGGAGTGTTGTCTTCCATGGCAATGCATCGTTTCAGTTCTACAGCGGAGCAATCTTCTTGGTGCCAACTAATCTATGGGTTTTTCGTCTTGTCCAGATTAGCTCCCAGAAGAAGAAGACGGGGGTCATCGCTCCCAAGCGATTCGTACAGAGGGTGAAGAAGCAGAACGAGCTCTTCCGAAGTTACATGCACCAGGTAGCTCTGCCGCTTGGTACTCTTTGATGTGCCCTCGATCACACGTCTGCTTTTCTACTTTTGTCCTATGACTTCTCAGAGTCTTTTCCACCATGAAGCCAGCATCGAAGCTCTAGTTACTTCTGTGGGCCTCTTGCAACTTGTCAACGGTTTCTTGCAAAGATTAAGAGAGAGAGAGAGAGAGAGAGAGAGAGAGAGAGAGGAGAGAGATTTCCATCCTTTCAAGAACATAGTTTGTTCATATTTACTTCTGTGGGCCTCTTACAACTTGCCTACGGTTTCTTCCAAAGATTGAGAGTGAGAGAGAGAGAGAGAGAGAGAGAGAGAGAGAGAGAGAGAGATTTCCATCCTTTCAAGAACATAGTTTGTTCATATTTATTTTATGTATATGGCATCTGATACTGATGGCGTCGGAAGCCCCAGGGGGAGGAATGACGGCTGTTGGATAGGGAAGAGAGGGAGGGGAGCAATAGATATCTTGGGGTTCTTCGGCTCAGATTCTTTTATTTCTAGAGAGAGGAAATGCCAGAGGAAGTTGGGCTCCATGCGAAGACGAGCGGATGCTTCTATACATAGTCACTGTACCACAGCTCTCTGGATCGTCTTGCTGAAACTAAATCAGTCCGTTGACATTCATGCAGGATGCCCATGAATTTCTGAACTTTCTGCTGAACGAGCTCGTTGACATCTTGGAGAAGGAGTCAAAAGCCTCGAAGGCCTCTCCGGAAACATCATCTTCATCGGAGAAGACCGCCAACGGAGCTCGCACTTCTCCGGCAAATGGCGTCAAAGAAGAGCCGCTGGTCACCTGGGTCCACAAGAACTTTCAGGTGAGCCGTTCTCTGACTAAGGTGGCGGCGCCGCTCCCCCTTTGATTGAACTGCTGAAGAGGGTTCGATCTTAAAAACCTGCAGGGGATTCTGACCAACGAGACGAGGTGCCTGCGGTGCGAGACTGTGACGGCGAGAGAGGAGACTTTCCTGGATCTGAGCCTGGATATCGAGCAGAACAGCTCGATCACCAGCTGTCTGAAGAACTTCAGCTCGACTGAGACCTTGAACGCCGAGGACAAGTTCTTCTGCGACAAATGCTGCAGGTTAGAGACGTTCCCTCTCGGTCTCCCGGGTGGGGACGAGGCGTTGACTTGGGCCGTTAACGAACTCTCTCTCTCTCTCTCTCTCTCTCTCTCTCTCCGCAGTTTGCAGGAGGCGCAGAAGAGGATGAAGATAAAGAAGCTTCCCCACATTCTGGTGATCCACCTGAAGCGGTTCAAGTACATCGAGCAGCTGGGGCGGTACAAGAAGCTCTCCTACCGGGTCGTCTTCCCCATGGAGCTGAAGCTGAGCAACACCGTGGACGACGCTGACTCGGAGTACTCCCTCTCCGCCGTGGTGGTCCACGTGGGCAGCGGCCCCAACCACGGGCACTACGTCAGCCTGGTGAAGAGCCACAGCCACTGGCTCTTCTTCGACGACGAGAACGTGGAGATGATCGACGAGTCCGCCGTGCAGACTTTCTTCGGCTCCTCCCAAGAGTTCTCTAGCAACACCGACCATGGGTACATCCTGTTCTACGAGAGGGTGAGTCTTTGAGCCGCCTCTCTCTCTTTCTTCTCCCCTCTTCCTCCTCTGTTTTTTCCTTCTTTTTTTCCCCACTTTATTACCACCACACTGCAACTTGGGGGATGAGCTTGGGAGAGGAGAGGATCTTCCAGATTGCAGGTGATGCCGACGACGACGACGACGATGATGATATTTCAGGGTAGTAGTAGAGAGAGACAGACAGACAGACAGAGATGGGCTGTTCCATCTTCCTCCTCACTGAGTTTGCTTCATAATAAGGGCAGAGAGTGTAAATGGTGTGGATTCCATAAGTGGAAAGGGGAGAAACCTTCTTTTTTTTTTGTATTCTTCACAGTCTCAGTATTTATAGTGGAAGATGACGCTGTTCTTCAACTCCTGCGGGGAAGATCACGTCTGGTGGTTCCTAGCAAAATTCCAAGCGACTTTTTTCTTTCTTAAAATGGTCTGATATTTCCTTGTTGTTCGCGTAATGTATTCGAGCTGGGGCGTTGACTTTGAGTCTACTCTTTGACATCGCCGTATCATTATTGTCTCATTATCTTTACGATGATCTCTTTTACTGTGTATTTCAATAGACCAGTGAAAGAGTTGACTCACGCTCATGTGAAGCAAAAGGTCAAAAAAAATTAGAAGATAAATTGCTGAGAAACGGTGATGGAACGTTCACTGGGAGTTGATTGGGCGATTATTGGCGGCGGGTTTTTAACTATTTAAAATCTCTAAAAAGAGAAATCTGTGCCCAGGTAAATATCCACCATGAGCTATGGCATTGGATGAGAAGCACGACCGACTCGAAAAGCTCTCATTTTTATTGAATAATCTACTAACCGCAAAATGTCAACGCATCTGACGTCAAAGGGCCATGTTTCCATCGACTCGAGCATCATTAGAACAATCCATAACCCTCTACGCTCCAGAAGAAAAAAAGATATATAGAGAGAGAGAACGACATCGGGAGATCGAGAGAGAGAGAGAGAGAGAGAGAGAGAGAGAGAGAGAGAGAGAGGGAGGGGAGGGAGAGAGATTATGAGGCCGCCACGTAGAAATAGAATGAGCACCATGCTGTAAGTCTCTGCATCTGTGATTTTAAGTATCCGGCGAGACGCAGCTTTCACTCCGAGCTTGGTTTTAAGGCAAAAAAAAACCACTTTGATCAGACCCAGTGTGAGATCAAGCGGCCTATTCGGACTCTCAACGCCCAACCAATTTCATTGTGGGGGGGGTGGAGACATTGACCGTGGACGCCGGGGTGGGGGCTCACCCTTCTGAAGCTTTAATGTGGCGGACCGAAACGGCTATTTTTTTCATTAAGACAATAAAACCATATAACCCCGCCTTTATGAATGTCATGCAAAGGCCCGAGAGATAACACCAATGGCGCAACAGACCTAGAAAATTTAAATCCAGAAAGGTGCCAGCAGGCGCGGCCCGGCTTAGGCTCGGAAAGTGATATCCAAGTAGAGATAGAGATAGAGAGAGAGAGGAAAAGGAGAGGCGAAGGTGCACCCAGATGGGGGTGGTGCGGTGGAGGGAGGGAGGAGCCCAGCTGGCGGAACATTAACTGCGAGGAGGGAGTTCCTTCGGATCTATCTTTCGTCGCTGTGAATATGCACGCGTCGGCGGTGTTTCGTAGAAATGATTGACTGCACGACGTCTGTAATTCGGGGTTGCCGGAGCAGCACGCTCAGCTATCGGCCTCGGGGGGAGCAGATGGAATCCCCCTCCTGCCCGGACGTCTTCTCTGCCGGTAACAGTGTTCGAACGGCCACTGTAGAGAGAGAAAGAGAGACAGAGAGAGAGGAGAGCATGTGAGCAGCGTAAATGGGGTGGGGTTGTGGACATAAATAAGGGAGTGCCCCAAGCTACCGTCCGAATGAATAATGCTGGGCGGCGGGGAGGAGATGTTAATTGAGGATGGCTATTAGCGACCTACCACCCCGCAAGGAATGACGGGCGATTGAAGGGGGAGAGAGAGAGAGAGAGAGAAAGAGAGAGACGTCCCTCCACGCACAAGGATGCCGGGGTGTCACACAAGACCTTGGGTTCCCTCTTTACTGTGCGAGAGAGAGAGATGGGGAGGGAGGGTGAGAAAGAGAGAGAGAGGGAGAGAGAGAGGAGCCGTGCCGTAAACCCGACTCACGCGAGCTTCCTCGACTCACGATTCTCACCTTCTCAACACTTTTTCCGGCTATTTAATTTTCAGACGTCACCCCTCTCTCTCCCTCTCTCACCGACTGACACTGTAGTAAATACGGCGGGAGGGGGACTGTGGTTTCCGTGATGGTTTGTGTTCCTCGGCCGCCTTCCCCCAGTTGGCATAGGATAGGAGGACATTTACTCGTCGGGGAAGCTGGAGCTCCTACCAGCTTTGTCTGGTCCTCGTCCTTCACCAAAGTCAAGTGAAAAAATAAAATAAATTGAGGTTAGCCCTCCATCGCCATCCATCCTCATCCATGAGCTTGACGGCGGCCAGCAGACAAACTGAGGAAACGCCATGGCTGCTGCGAAACCCTAATGAGTCGCTATCAGGGAGAACCCTCCGAGGCGAGGGGTTGGTGATCTCAGTTGAGCATTCTATGTTCGAACATTCCCAAGCACGAACGGGACCATGAAGACGGGGGAATTATGAGTTCTTCCTTAGGAATTGATTACTTCAAATACCTGGTGATCTCGACTGAAAGCAACCTTCGGCTTCAACCTTGACCCAGTCGCTGTTACGGGGGCCTTGATGACGACGCGAGGGCCCCCCCGGCTGGAGCTCCCCTCCTGCAAGTTGATCATACGAACAGTGGTGGGGGTAGCGAGGGCCGCAGTTATTGCGTCTGCAGACCTCTTCTGGTCCTGAATCTTCGTAAATTGAATTCAGTAGATGAAGAAATTCTCGAGGATAGGGGCTTCCCTCCACGTTTTTTACCATTTTCTGTTAAAAATGGTGCCGCCCTTCATGGGCATGCCTCTATAAAGCGACCCCCAGAGGTTTCTCAGTCCCACCCTCTTCAAGCTCCGGCGCTCCTCTCTCCCGTCACAGTTCGCCGCCGGCCGCAGCCATGGGCGCCGCCACTGTGCTCCTCGCAGCTTTCGCGGGGCTTCTGGCCCTCGGCAACCTCGCCGTCTCCACCGCAGCCCCCCGGGCCTTCTTCATCTTCGGCGACTCTCTAGTTGATAACGGCAACAACAACTACCTGGCCACAACCGCCCGCGCCGACGCGCCGCCCTACGGCATCGACTCCCCAACTCACACCCCCTCTGGCCGCTTCTCCAATGGCCTCAACATCCCCGACATCATCAGTAAGCTCATCTCTCTCTCTCTCTCTCTTTGTAGCTCTGTAGCTCTTGATGATGTGAGTTATGGGTGTACTGTGACTGATCACTGCAGGTGAGAAACTAGGGGCAGAGCCGACGCTGCCATACTTGAGCCCTGATCTCGACGGAGAGAACCTTCTCGTCGGCGCCAACTTCGCCTCAGCCGGGATCGGAATTCTCAACGACACCGGCATACAGTTCGTAAGTGCCACAGCCGCCCTCCTCAGCTTCTCTTCCCCCACCGGCGTTTCTGCTTCTGGTTTTCTGACGAACGGTGGTGCTCCGTCTGCAGATGAACATCATAAGGATCACGCGGCAGATGGAGTACTTCCAGCAGTACCAGGAGCGAGTGAGCAACCTCATCGGTCCCGTGGCGGCGCGGCGGCTGATCAACCAGGCCCTCGTGCTCATCACCCTCGGCGGCAACGATTTCGTCAACAACTACTACCTCGTCCCCTTCTCCGCCAGGTCCCGCCAGTTCGCCCTCCCCGACTACGTCGACTACCTCATCTCCGAGTACCGGAAGATCCTCGCGGTGAGTCAGACTCCATCTCCGGCGAGCTCTCAGAGTTCTTCTCCTCCGTCGAGCTCTCGGAGTTCTTCCGGCGGCTTTCTTCTGAACCTGCGGCGGCGACTGCGCAGAATATGTACAATCTGGGAGCTCGGCGGGTGCTCGTGACGGGGACGGGGCCGCTGGGGTGCGTGCCGGCGGAGCTGGCCATGAGGGGCACCAACGGCGAGTGCGACCCGGAGCTGCAGCGCGCCGCCGGCCTGTTCAACCCCCAGCTGGTGGAACTCATCGGCGAGCTCAACAAGGAGATCGGCTCCAACGTCTTCATCGCCGCCAACGCTTTCAATATGCACATGACCTTCATCACCGAGCCCGAAAAATACGGTAATTACATAGATCCGAACTATATCTCGTGCAACTCTATTACTAGCTCCTCATTGGGCCACGTAAGCATTTTCTCTCCATTTTAGCTGCATGTAGCTTTTTCTATAGCTTCTCTCTCGAAAGTCTAGGCCTCGCTTTTTCTGACCAGTAGTCGGCAATGTACCAGTAACACCGCCCTCTCTCTCTCTCTCTCTCTCTCTCTCTCTCTCTCTAGCTCATTATTTTTCACATGGGTTAATTTAGGTTGACGCAGAGAGCTCAGCCCAGACTTTATGTCCACATTCATCTGGGTCTCTCACTCTCATTACTTTACACGTGTGTTCAGACAGGCTCCGACTGAACTTCATCCGAACCCATTTTCCGGGCTTCTATCTCTCTCTCTCTCTCTCATTATTTTCCGCGTGGGTTCAGACAGCGGGCTCGCACTGAAATTCATCCGAACGTATTTTCCGGGCTTCTCTCTCTCTCTCCCTTCTTCTATATCTCCCTATAGTTATCTTAGTTTCTCTCTCTCTGTTTCTCTCTCGTCCCCATCTCTTTTTCTGGGTTCATTCTCAAGAGTGCTTTTCTTGACGACCCCATGTCAAATACGAGACAATTATTTGGGCCTCTCTCTCTCTCTCTCTCATAATTTTTCTGGGCTCCTCTCTCCGGGCGGGACCGAGCTGAGCCCAACCACACAGCCTCGGCCACAAACACGACGAGCTCTTCACCGATCTGACTCCGAGTCAACTCTTCCCTCTTCCACCGCAGGTTTCGAGACGTCCAAGGAAGCTTGCTGCGGCCAGGGGCCATACAACGGGATCGGTCTCTGCACCATCGCCTCCAACCTCTGCCCCGACCGCAGCGTCTACGTCTTCTGGGACGCCTTCCATCCCACCGAGCGCGCCAACCGAATCATCGTTGACCAGATGCTCAGCGGCTCCCTTGATCACATTTCCCCCATGAACCTCAGCACCGCCCTCGCCCTCGACGACGCCCGCGCCTAGCGGCGCCGCCGCCCGGCTCGGACTCCCCGACTCCAAGTGTAGATCTGTCTGGCCGCCGCCGAGTCGCCCCTCGTCGTCGCCCCAGGTTTTTCCGGACAATCGACAGTTTAGAGATTAAATAAGTTTTTTTTTATTTCACTGAAAGGGTAGGCTGGGAAGACGTGGAGATTGGCCTGTTGACCAAGTTTTGGTTGAGGTCAACGTCCACGTCAAATTTCTGACGTATTCGGAGAGAAAGATAGATCTCCTTGGATACGATTTTTCTAGAACCGGGAGAGCCCGCTTCAGCTGGCCGACGGCCGCCGACATATCATGTGGAAAACACAACGAAGCGTCATCTACTCCATAAATTATGGTCGGTGGGGTGGGACTTTTGGGGGCCTGAAAATCGTTGATCACCGGGACGGCATTTTTCCTTTCTTGGGTTCGTCTCAAAGTCAAAGATATCACTAGAAACTCAGCTTTGACTTATTAAAATGAGAGGGGGCGGTTGCTGTTATTGAGTTTTTACCCTTATGACCTGACATTTCAACCTTTTATCCTTGCACTCCTGGAGAAACTGTAAAGGATAATTTAGTCATTCTGTCTCAAGAACCAAATAAAAAAAAATCCAGTCTTAGAGAATACCGCCATAATCATTTTTAATACTAAAAGGTATGAGGTGAACGACTTCTTACCTTGTTAATTCAGGTTGACGCGGCAGTGACGTGGCGCCGCCACCGCCGGCAAGTTGGTGGGCCGAGTGAACCAACAGGCTCAGGATACGAAGTTGCCGCTCGGATCAGGCCGGTCCAGAACAGCCTACTTTGACCCGCTGCTGGGCTCCGCGGGCCGCACCTACCCGTCCCAGGAGAGGGGGGGGGGTGCCTCGGTCCGGACCGACCGGTCCACACCGACCGGCCCCATCCGTTTGTCGCGTAGTACATAGCGAACCGATCTCGGGGGCTGCATTATTGCGCCTCACGGGCCCGATCCCATGTCGCATTATTGCTCGTATCTTGGGCCGGGCTGGGCCCGGAATTGGACCCGGCCCGAGTCGTTTCTGATGTCCCTCGTCGAGTGTTTAACTTAAGATGAACCTCTGGGGAGGAATGGCGTGGGGAGAGCGGGAGATTAAAGGGAGGCTGCAGAGCAGGGTAAGAGCGAGGGAGGAGATTATCGTCGTCATCGTCCACCATGTGGTCGTCAACCTCCAACCGCCGACTCGGAACGATTCCCGAACGGCCACGCCGCCCTGCTCCTGCTTTCCTTCGGTCGTCGTCGTCGTCGTCGTTGTTTCCTCCCACGGGAAGACCATGAAAAAGCACACCGGCGGCTGGTCTCTCCTCCTGTAACCACCAACCTCCTCACTTCCCACTTCTCCCACCATCCTACAAGAAGCTGCGCACCGTCTCCTCCATTTTCATCTCTCTCTCTCTCTCTCTCTCGTTCTTGTTCTCTATCTTTCTCTCTGGTTAGGCGGGAGTTGATGCGATTCCTCTGCGGGGCGCTTCGGGGGGTTCTGATCGTTAGCCCTAGGTCTGTGGCGTCGGCTTTCCCCGGGATCTTCTCAGGGATCTATCGCGGATCCTGCTGTTCGCCTCCGGAGAACCTCGCGAGCGGTTTGTTGGGGAGATCCCCGTTAATCGTCGCCGGGTGGAGTCTCTCTCGGGGGACGAGGGTGTTTTCCGCGAGGTGTTTGTTCTCTTGCTCTGATTTTCGTGTCCATCGAGGAGGGGGAGGGAGACCCGATATGGAGATTGTAGCGGCGGCGGCGGCGGCGGCCGAGGAAGGGTCCGTGGCGAGGAGATTCTGGAATAAATCGCAGAAGGAGGCGCTGCTCGCTGCTTATACGCCTTTCGTGGTCTGCTTGGCCGCCGGGGGTTTAGAGCTGGACACTTTCCGGCACTACATTGCCCAGGATTTTCACTTTCTTAAAACGTTTGTACAAGCGTGAGTTCCATCATTCATTGCTTCCTCTCTTTCGGTCCTTCCGTTTCAGCAGATTCCTTTCTGTTGTTGCACCCCATAATCCTCCCTTCACCTTTCACATTCGCGCACAACGAGGCGTATTCCATCTGTTGGGGTGCTAATTCGTTTCCTGTTGTCTTGCGAATTATTTTTATATGTTAGCTATGAGATAGCCGAAGATTGCGCCGACGATGAGGATGCTGCATCTGCAATAAGCGAACTAAAGAAGGCTGTCTTGAAAGAGTTGAAGATGCACGACTCCATTGTTGAGGTAAGATTTGGGGCTTGCCGTCCCTCCTTTTTCTTTCTTGATTTTTGGTTTCTTTCTTGTTTTCTTTCCCTTGAACTATTTTATGGGATTTTTATCATCTCGAATAAAATGGAATTAAATAGAACAGAGCAAGCACACCAGTGGATTGTCGAATGTCTTCGTTAGAATTTGAGATCTAAATCATTGTCCCATAAAGTTCAGAAGACCGTCGTGGCTACAAGGATTAGTCAGATGATTTAAACCGTGAGTAAGACATATCTATTCGTGGCTTCTTCTTAATTGTGTCCATTACCACTTTAATTGTGTCCCCTTCCCTTTAATAAATTGTATTACTTATATCTAACCTTTTTGCAATCCTCAAGGTCAATGATTTATTGAAGGATTAAATAGTGATTTTTGCGGGAAGAAAATGAGATTATGATTTGACTAAGTAACATTACATGTGGATAAAGTCAAAAGTAATGCCTACAATTACATAATTGGAAATTAAGATATTTCTTCATTGAATAGCTCGACCATTTGCCAAACCTCATCTGCTGATATCCGATATCCCTTAGGCATTGCGTATAGTATTTTTTGTTCCTAGAAACAAGCTAGGCTTTTAAAACTTGTAGATAAGGAACGAAAGAGGAAAGAAGACTGAAGATTTGACAAAGGATAAAAATGAAAAGGCGAACTGTAAAATTAATGAAGCGTACCTTTTAACCTGCAGAAGTGGGGACAATTGAATTCTCTTAAAGAATCTAAGTCAGAGTCCTCTAACCACGTGTGTGTCTCTCTCGTGTAACTAAAATTAAATTGTTTATATTTCGCTTTTATAATCATTTTTTCAGGCTCCCATTTGTAATGTGCTGGTTTTTAAATTCAACTTAGTAGACCTAAAATGGAACAATAGAAATGTGTGAAGCTAATGATCTGGGTCAATAAAAATCAGGTATACAGTAAGTTGAAAAACTCACTAGTGTCTTCGAGCAGTCCAAGCTCTCGACTCTTAGCCAGCTCCATGTTGACGGGACAAGGCATGTTTTCTATGATGATCAACAGAACCATCCTAATTCAACGTTCAGGATATGTTGACCTCATCAAATAAGTATTTTTATGTATGTGGTGCAAAAAATATATATACAGCTGCCACAGGAATCTCTTACTGTGAATAAGTAGGAAGACTACGGGACGAAATTAGTGAAGTGGCTATTTTCTCGCAATATCTACCAATGCCATGAACAAATGCGAGGTGCAGGTGAGTAGCAGTTCTTCATAGTTTCCCTGCGTATACGGACGTAGTTGCCATTTTTACTTCTTTGCTATCTCATTGTCATTCGAGTCGTATCTCCATTCTTGATCATTCGTAAGATATATTTTCTCCCTTACAGAAATCTTTTTTGTAGGAATGGGGCGTTGATATCACCAAGGAGATCATTCCCAACCCTGCAACTGTAAAATACACCAACTTCTTGCTAGCGACAGCATCTGGGATAGTTGAAGGGGGTAAAGCTCCTGCGAAAATTGCCACTCCATTTGAAAAGACAAAGATTGCTGCATACACAGTTGGTGCTATGACCCCTTGCATGAGGCTGTATGCATTTCTGGGTAAGGAAATTGTGAAAAATTTGGGACCTGATGAGAACAGTCATCCCTACAAGAAGTGGATTGACAATTATTCCCCAATCAATTTCGAGGTTAGTATTGAGATGTCACCGTCATGACACTTCTTGGTCTTCTATAATTTCAACTAGACGTATGATTTTTGCTTACATACTTTGATGTTTGCAGACAGCAGCATTGCAGATAGAGGAGTTGCTGGACAAACTAAGTGTGTCTTTGACTGGAGAGGAGCTTGAAGTGATAGAAAAGCTCTATCTTCAAGCAGTTAAATTGGAGATTGAATTTTTTTGCGCTCAGCCAATTTCGCAACGAACTACGGTCCCTTTGACCAGATTGCATGATCCCTTGGAGCAGCGTCTTATTCTCTTTTCTGACTTCGATTTGACATGCACAGTGGTGGATTCTTCGGCAATTTTAGCAGAGATCGCAATATTGCGCACACCAAAGGCTGACGGGTCTGATAGAGATGATCCAAATGTCCGAAAGTCTTCTGATCTGAGAAGTTCGTGGAAGGCCCTTTCCAGTCAGTACACTGAGGAGTACGAACAGTGCATAGAAAATATTCTCACCACAGAAGAATGTAAGCATGGTAAAATAGCTTAGTCGGTTCTTTAATTAATCCACCCCGCAGAGATGTTCGTGCGAAAATGTGTAAGCAGTTGGATAATGACAAATCTAGCTCATATGTTTCCACTTATGTGCCTATTTTTTTCTATTTCAGCTAAAGACTTCGATTATGAAGGTTTACTTAAAGCATTGGAGCAGCTTTCAGAGTTTGAGAAGAGGGCAAATTTGAGAGTGTGTGAATCTGAGGTTTTGAAGGGCTTGAATATAGAGGATATTAAACGAGCTGGGGAACGTCTGATCCTCCAGGATGGATGCAAAAGGTTTTTCCAGAATATTGTGATGAAGAAAGAAGAGCTAAATGGAGATATTCATTTGCTTTCTTACTGCTGGTGTGGGGATCTCATTAGGTCTGCCTTTTCGTCAGGTATGATTTTATCTTATACACAGTCATTCGAAAGCACCAATGCTGGCATGTTGTGGTCTATTAATCCTGAAATAAGGATATTTTGAAAATTGACATCTGTAACTTGAATTATAGTCATTAACTCAAGTGTCATTCACAAAAACTGCACAGTTAAACTTTATGTGCGAAGTAACAGAAAACCTCCGTCTGACTTGAAAAAGAAAATAAGTATTGTCCCAGTACTTGGAACTTCATATCCTACGAATATCATCGAGTAGAAGATGAGTGGAGAACGGTGAACAGAAAATAAATTTTGGAAGGAGAAACAAATCTGCCTTTTTCCCATTCAACGAGAGTATCTTTTCAATTTTAAAGAGCAGAACAGTTCTTATAACGCCTTGAAGAAGATTAGTGAGAGAGACGCTCAGGATGTGCAGTGAGCGACGATATTGGGTCGTTCTTCTCTTCTCAAAATAACCGGAGAGGCATATTTCCAGTCACCAATCTTTGTGCCTTAGTAAAAAGTTAAAAAGCGGCCGTAATTCTCTCACCTCGTATTGGTTTATAAGTCTAGAATAGGTTGTGTGTGGTTACTGATATGTGGGATGTGAAGAGTAGGAACAATATGTGCTCACCTGTTCTTGTTTGTTGTGGCTTCTCTATTCTGTCCTATTTCTTTATTCCCTGGTATCCTGAGTAACAACTTAGAAAGCAATAGTGGACTCCTTGTACATCATTGGAAAGTCAACACCATCGCACCTATTAAATAAAGTTCAGAATTACAAGGGAAGTAGATCAAAAGAAAACCCCGCAGGTAAGTATCTGATCTTGGATAACATAGCCAGTATAGCTAGTATAGTGAACAAGGTTAAAATTAGAAATGGAAAAATTACATTCTCATTATCTGAAATGGAGTTAATTCGGATCATACCTGAACTGAAGGGGGGACTTCCTGAGCATGTGTGGGAGAGCTTCTTTCTTGTTCCAAGGACTCCATGAAGGCTATAGAAGTCGCAGGAATACCATAGCTGAATGGGGGAGGCCAGATAAGTCCATAAACGGCAAGAATGTCTGGGCCCGATGGATTTAAAATTACTTTATCTTCTATTATATTCTGGGAGAGAGTTGAAGAGGGCAGCATTTATGTGACTAACTTTGATGAAACCCTTGGAATCAAACGCTTCAGTTCTGCATATCTAGAGCTTGCTAAAGAGCTGATAGGAGAGGAGTCAAGTGTTTTCCCTCCATCACTATCGGAAAGAAAAAACCGATTGTAGTGACAGCATTTAAAATGACTAACTTTGTTGCTGGCCTGCCATTTTTGCTATTCATATCTTCCTTATCTCCGTCTATGACTCCAATGAAATTCCCCATATTTCTGCTGCATCATTTTAAAATGAGATGCCATATGGTGGACGATATAAATTGTCTTGTATAAATGAAAAATATAAAAACGAAAAGTTAATACAAAATAGAAATTCAAAAAATATGGATTTTAATATATATATATATATATATATATAGATAATTTTTTTTTCCTGAAGATTGGAGTAGATGATCCTACCATTCCCCCTGGCCGTCCCATGCTACCAAGCAGTAAAAGAGCTTAGTTGTAGTGTTCAAGTCGCTGTTTGGATAGGGTCGAACAAGGTTACGCTCTTTGTTTGGGGAGTTGAAAAATCAGAGGAAAAGGTGATATTAAACTCCAAAATTTTCAAGTGGTCCATGTTCGTCTTCTCTATTCCTCCAAGGCTCTTCTCGAGTGCCACTAATCCTATTAAACATCAAGCAGCTTGCTCTTCTACTATATTGGTCGACTTGGGGTGCTAGCTCACCCTTTACGTGTATGCTAATGTTGCTAGCCGACCAAATTTGTCTGAAATATCTCGAGTCATTCTGCTCCAAATGCCTTCATACCGGCTCCTAATACCAAATTTTTGATCGTTTGAACTATGTGATGAGTGCACAATTGATACATGATATACAACCTTTTATTTGATAAATTGAGTCTATTTTGTGATCATCATTATCACGGTAGGATAGTTGCTTTTTTAGCAGTCTTCTTACAATATCATTGTATTTACAGTCTCTACTTGAGTTTTTATATTTGCATATACATCGGCGTTCATATTTGCAAAAAATTAAAGATAGAAGTTGACTAGAAGAGTCTATCCACGAGTTATGAATAAAAAAAATATATCAGCACGAAGTAATAGATTGCCATAATCGGTAAATATCTGAAGCACTATCTTCCATGCTTACTGGTACATTCCGCGATTGTTTTGGTATGATGCCATTTTCTGCTGCCCTCGTCAAATCTCATCCTTCATCGATTAAATCTTTGGATTTCCTGGTTTTGGTGAAAATATTTGTATGAAAAGAAGATTTTGGTTTATGTTGAATCTGCAAGATGAAAATTTCCGCTAAACAAAGAGGAACCTCGAAAATCATCACCTCTCCTGATTTTGGTTCTTTACAGATTTTTTTATAGATATTATACGGTTTTTATTCCAGTTTATAGCAGCTACTGAAATGGGCTGACGGCCCGCAACATCCATAAACAGGAGGCCTCGATGTTCTGAGCATACATTCAAACGAGTTCCAATACGAAGAATCCATCTCAACTGGGGAAATCGTGCGGAAGATGGAGACCCCACTGGACAAGATCCAGGCCTTGAAAGATATCCTTCAGAACTCCCCCAAGCATCTATCTGTCTACATTGGAGACTCGGTGGGCGACCTGCTCTGCCTGCTGGAGGCGGATGTGGGTATTGTGATCGGATCAAGCGGAAGCTTAAGGCAGGTGGGCTCCCACTTCGGTGTTTCCTTTGTCCCGCTCTTCGCCGGGCTGGTGAAGAAACAGAGGCTTCTCGATGGAGGGGCCTCCCCTGTCTGGAAGGGCCTCTCCGGTGTTCTCTACACAGTTTCCAGTTGGGCAGAAGTACATGCTTTCATTCTCGGCATATAGGTTCATCTCCCTGTGCTGCTTCTCTCCCCCCCCCTCTCGCCCCTGTTTCAACTATTTTCTGCGAACAGGGTCAGGGAGTCGTCATGCTCAGTATTAGCTATCAGATGGCGGCGGCAGATTTTTCCAAAAAAAGAACAAAAAAAAAAGAAAAAAAAAGAAGAAGAAATGAAGCCCAGTTGACAGCTCTTATTTCCTCATTCCCACGTCTATATCCTGGCCCTGTGTTTGCAGGCCACAGCAGGTGATTCCTCACTCTCAGGCTTCCTGGTTGGGCATCGGTAGGGTTTGTATGGGCTTTATGTGGCTTAGTTTTTCTTCTGTTTTTGGTGCAGGTATTTCTCTGTGCCATTAGAATCTCCGATCAGTTATAGATGGAGGTGGCGAGCTGGCCGTTGACTTGTGATGTATCAGGTCAGCTCCTTTTGGTGTAAATGGATATGTTTTGCTCTACAGTTGAATGCTCCCTTCAAGCTGTTCTCAGTCTACTTTGGATTGGCTTTCTCGGAGCCTTCGGTAAGCTTTTTTTGTTCTGGGGGTCTCTGGCATGAAAAATGCTTGAAAACTGATGGATTAAAAAGGAAATAAAGCCGATTCTATTTTTGTCTAGTTGACCGTTCCAAGTGCCGTAGTGTGACCTCTTTCTGCCTTCTACTCTTTTTTAGCCATTTGGGAACTCCTCCCATTTAAGAAATGAAGATGGTCAAAGATGCGTGGATTTGTTTCTGTCTTTGCTAGGTTGACGCTATAAATTTCCATAAATATAATCTTATCTGTTTCTTGGCATATATGGGATCTTGACCGATGCTTGTTTGTGCATTTTTTTTCTTCTCTTGGGGAAAAGAAATGGACCCTACGAGAGGACTTCTTTTCTCTGCGGTTTTCAGTCTACGGCCGAGGAGAGTAGTGGATCATCAAAAGTCAACTGGATCTTTTTTCCCACTTGATCCTGTGGATGGGATCCGGAAGAGGTGGGCGGATATTTGATAAACATCCGCAACAAAGATGGTCAACTTTCTTTTTTTTAAAATTCTTATAACTTAATTATAATTTATTTCGAAGATTATAATAATAAAATTGAACTGATTTGTGATGGAGGAAACACAGCGATCAAAAGCTTTAGTTTTTAAGATGACCATGTTTATGCCTCATTGACCTAATTAATGTCTGGAGAGATTAACTGTGACCAATGAGGTTAGTTCTCCTCGTCTCTCCTTTCCCATTATGGCATGTCCAAAAGTAGATATGAGTCAAGACTCTCCACTTGGCAATCCGGAGCTCCTAAGCGACATTTTAGAGAGGAAAAATCCAGACAAAGGCGCCGCCTTATGATCCCCCGAAAGTCTGGGGAGGGAGCTTCGAAAAATTCGTTGACCGACCGACAAAATCCGCCTAGTTCCCGATCACGACTGCGGCAACCGCACGGCTTCTAAGACACGCAGATGGTAGATTTTGGCAGAGGGAAGGCTTTCTTTCTACAGTAGATGCGTTCGATGGAGGACGAGGAGGAACAGGGAACTTGTAGAGTCAACCATACGGCGGCGATGGGGGGGGTTGAGGTCGGGGGCTAAGCGAGGAGCCAGAAGTTCTTGTGAGTCTTGGTGTTGAGGAGGTAGCCGGCGTTCTGTCCCTTTTTCTGCACTCCCACGCACAGGCACCTGCTGTTCTCGATCAGGTACTCCACCATATCCATGCTCATGTTCTTGCTCGACGTCCCCCCTCCTAGTCTCCCCCTGAAACATCACCCCTCTCAACACAAGGAAAAGAAGAAGGAAACCTCATCAATGCTCTCTCTCTCTCTCTCTCTCTCTCTCTCTAGAGTTTAGGTGCCCACCCGAGGAAGGAGGGGCGGCGGGATTGACCGATGACGAGGAGATCGATGGCGAGGGCTTTGGTCTGGGAGACGATGGTGGAGACCTTGTCGTTGTCCTCCATCTCCACGCGGAGGACCTGCACCGCCACCCTCGGCTGAGCCTTTAGGCACATGCCCTTCATCTCGTCGAGGAACTCGAGGCCGCCGCCGCCGCCGCCCCCCGGGGGGTCAACGGCGGCGCCGGGAGGGGGTCGCCGGAGGAACGCCGAGAAGGGTCCCCTCCGGGACGGGTTGGGAAGGTCAACGTAGAGGAGGATGATCTCGTCCTGCTCCAGAACGGCGTGGGTCAACGCCCACTGCAGCGCTCCGGCCGACTCCCGACCGGGTTCCGCCACCACCATCACCTTCCTCTTCGCAGCCCCCGGCGATGGAGCGGCGGCGGCGCCCGGGGCTTCCATCACCTTCCCTCTCCTCTCCTCAATGTGATGCTTCTTCAGTGGCCGCCACCGAGGACGACGGCACCGGCGATCATCGTCGGAGCTCTCCTGGCTGTTCCACCCGGTGGGAGCTGAGATAGCCACCGGCTGTGAAGACGATTGTTTTGAGCTAGCGGCGTTCCTGTGATGCCTTGTGAATGACCGTTGCGGTGGCCCTCTCTCTCTCTCTTTCTCTCTCTCTCGCTCTCTCGCTACGGTGGGTGGTCTCTGCCTAAATGAACGTGGCCTCGTCCAATCCGTTGACCAGTTGGATGGTTCCGATAGCTGCGTGAGTAGTGCCGGTCGGAAAATAGGCTGCCACTTGGCGCGCGCCCGTTTGCTTCTCGCCGAATTTACCGTGTCCAGCTTCACTCCTTGTTACCATTTAATCTGGGAATTCTTTTCAATGATTCTGAGCCATTCATTTTAAGATGACACAATAATTGACGTAATAAACAAAAGTCTTTGATATATCTAATTAAAGCATTCACAGACCTAACTCGTTGAAATGAGCTCCTTGACTCCATATCATCCCTAATGGTCTCCATCTCCAAAGTCAATGACGATGTTATTCCCAAGATCTTGTCCGATGGGTCATGTTGTAAACTCCCGAATGAGCTCCCTCTTATAAAATTAGGAGGGGGCGCAAAGTCAACCCATAAAAGAGCTTAGATCTTGTAAATATCTAATTAAAGACCCAACTTCTCGAAATGAGCTAATTTGCTCCATATCATACCTAATATTCTCCATCTCCAAAGTCAATGACGTTGTTCTTCCCAAGATCTTGTCCGATGGGTGGGTTTCATGTTGTAAGCTCCCAAATGAGCTTCCTCTCATAGAATTAGGCGGGGGGCGCAAAGTCAACCCATAAAAGAGCTTGACAAATAGGCTTCAACTTACACAGACTCGGTGGTGAACTTGGATCTTAGAGAATTGCCAAGTGAGCTTCACTCTTCACACACTTTAAACCACAGATGGGTTTCATCCAATAACAAATATAGTAAAATCTACCATATACCAAGTTCCATTTATGGTAAGAAAAATGTACAAAAACTTGGGTTGACCTAATCTAACAATACTTGGAGCCGAAAAGAGGGAATTTGCAGGTTCTGCACTGAATATCAGCTTCTTAGCTTCTATTCTAAACAAGCGAATTCATGGAAAAAATGAAATCTCAGAAGCAAAAGGACGAAGACAAGATTGCCGAGCAGGCAGAGATGAGGAACTTGGCACCATGAGCACCTAAGACCACGCCAATGCAGCTTGCATTAGGCAATTGCTTCAGAGCTGTTGAACAGAAAAATATCATTGATCAGGATAAATTACGAACTTAGGGAAAAAATTAAGACCATCTACTGAAAAAAATAAAATGCCGACCTTTTAGAGCCATATAATTAGATGATATACCAAGAACATCCACGATATAAATAGCCGAAGATGGAAACTCCCAGACCTGAGTAAAAAGGGTGATCAGCTTTGGATCATGCATGTGGTCAACGCCAAAGGGATGTGCTCGTTCATACCATCATTGATGTGAGAAATATTTTGAAGTAGCTTGACAGAAGGATGGTCAGAAAGACTGTCTTAAAGCTGAAAGAAGCAAAGAAGAAGTCAAAGAATGTGTGAATCCCGATGGAGAGCTGTTCATTGATATGGGCAAAGTCAAGCAGTTTGATCCGCCCAAAATCCCTCATAACCAGCAGCACGGTTCACAAGATTGGCCACATCAGCAGGAACAGGGCCTACTATGGGACAAAATCCCTCATTGAAGACGGAGATATGTCTGAAATCAGCAAGCATAGCCTGATTCTAGACCAGAAAGGTGTTCAGTGGGAGCTGTTCCCAAAATAGATCAAGCTTTCGCCACACAAGGGCTTCTCGAGTTCATACAAACTCTCTTCATTTCAGGAAAGAATCCAGTCCTCTCTAAGTACCAAATTGTCACCTAATTCCCTGAAAAAGGAAACCCTACCCCATGTTCGATGCCCACAAAGATTTCATATGGGCATTGGGGCTTCCAAGGAGGAGAGCCCTCCAAGGTCACTGAATTCCGCTTATTCAGTTAGAGCTTCAGATACAGAGATATATAATGAAAACTATGAGGCGAGAGAGATTACCTAGAAATATCAAGGGTTGACTTGGGTTTATCAAGGAAAACCCTGTCGGCAAGAAAAAGAAACCCAAAAAAAGAAAGATTTCCACAGAAGACCTCCCCCAACACCTGCACCGAGACTAGAAAAACCTTTAGAAGTGGAAGATTTTGGGTGGGGGTGAGGGATCGGCATGCAGATGCTTGTAGCAACTCACCTTTCCGCATATGCAAACTGAAAATAGAGAGCTTTTCGATGAGTTCCACTCGCCTGATAGCAGTGCGGTCCTGTCTTGGAAAGCTAAGGTTCTTCGGTTCAGAAGAAGGTGGCAAGAAAAAAACATATTTGCATGTTCTGGATACATATATCAGCTAGAAAGTAGATTAAGCTCGATTTCCATAGTATACCCTGCAAATAACGTCAGAGAAGAGGCATTCAAGAAGTGAATTGCAACAAAAAAATTCAAGACGATGAACTGAGGAAATTGTGGCTGACCCGAGAGCAAAGATGAATGAATTAGTGCAAAAAAGACCAAGATTTTGATTTGGATACATAAATGGGTGCTGATATTCACATTTTTCATTCTAATCTTGAGGTGATTGAATCGAAAAATGAACCAAGAAAATGCTCCCAGTCCCTGGAAAAAGGATTGAGTAAATGGAAGTACCTCCCTTGCGATTGAATCTTGGTTCAATAGATTGAACAGGAGGTGCCTGTACGCCCTCTCTTTGTGCAGAATCAGATCGATTAGAAGAATCTACGACGAAGATCAGTCATCAGAGAGACAGGGATACGGAGAGAATGGAAGAAGCGGAGGATGACCAGAGAGAGGGAATCTCATAGGTATCCCAAGCTGCGACGTTGTAGAGGCGCACCCAGACGGCCGACTTACCATGAACTCGCACTCGACGTAGGGATCGGCAACAGCCCTGCAGTTTTCCTGCGAAGGCGTCCTCCGCAGTGGGTCAGGCGAGATCAGACGCAGCAGGGAAGGACGAGATGGGCCCAAGAGATTAAGGCAGGGAACGGAAGGAACTTTCAGACGGCACCCATTTTCTCACTTACGCATTTCGTCAGGCGGATGTTCCCCGGAGAGTACTGCACCAGCAGCCTCTGCACCCCCACGCCACAGTTCACGCACCGGAGCTCCATCCTACCCCGCCCCTAACCTCCTGCCCAAACCCAACAGCTATCTGCGAGAAGAGAGAGAGAGAGAGGGAGGGAGGGAGAGAAGATGTTGCTCCGAGAATCACTTCTTCGTCCTCAAAACCCTTCAATGACCAGGGGAGGAACTTGAAAGCTGTGATCTTTGACGGACTACGCTGCTCATGGAGCGAGAACTATATCAGCAGGTGGCATAAAATGGGCTTCGGTACAGGATTATTGGGCCTCCGAAGACATTACCAGCCCACTAAAATCGGGCAACCAGAAAGTCAACCCAGAAACACCTTCGATGGGCTTTCTACCATTGGGCTTTTGAATTCGGGGTAAAGCCCATTAAAAAGGTACCCCATCCTTTGGGCTCTTCTTCCGGGGAAATTAATAGGCTCCTATCACTGAGTAATTTACATTAGTATACCTAATACACATTTAATTGTTTAAATATCCACCCGAGCCTAATATTTCCCCCACGAGAGGGCGAAGCGGAGAAGACGACAGACGAGCTTCTTCTTCTTCCTCCAGGAGGGTCCTAAACTTAAAACCCTAGCGGCAGAGTGGAGGCTATCAGTCGCCCGGCAGGCGTCGACGAGGTTCCAGAACCAGGAGGTGCGTTCAAGAGGAGACCAGAGCGAAAACAGGATGAGATGAGACAGACGAACATAAATACATGCATGGGGACCCTCGGCAGGGAAGAAGGGGGGAGCCCTTAAACCCTAGCGCCGGTGGCGGTGGGCCCGCCTTTGGGGGCGGCCGGATCGGTGGGCTCGCCGGCGGCGGTGCCGTAAGAAGAGCTCCGGTATCCGGGGCCGTACTGGCTTCTGTAGATGCCGGCGTGAACCACCGCGAGGTACAGAAGTTGGGTGAAGGTCACAGCAATAACGAAGCCCTCCAGCACCCTCATCCTCCATCCTCGGTAGCCACCGATGTGAATCTCCTTGCAGGCCATCCTGAAACCCTACTTTAGAGAGAGAGAGAGAGAGAGAGAGAGAGAGAGAGAGAGAGAGAGAGAGAGAGAGGGTTTGGCATGTCCTCACCCGAAAGCCAATGCCGTGACGGCCCACGCCACCAGAGCTGAGGAGGCTGCGGCGGCGAGGCTGTCGCTCCGCCAGGACCGGACATGGTTGGCGCCGGCGAGCTTTGAAGCGAGTCCGAGAACGCCGGCAAGAATGGCGAAGAGCAGGAAGTAGAAGGTCGCGCTGTTCCCGGCGATATCTGCACCGTCAAGGATCAGATCAGATAAGAGGAGTCCTCCATAGCCGCCGGTGGGGAAGAGGACAAGGTGGGGATAGTTCCTGGTTACCAGGGTGGCGGGTTTGGCCATCGATGAAGTTGTTGAGGTTCCAGCTGGAGAAGACGAGCACGACAGCGTACATGAGCAGGTTGAGGAAGAGCAGCGGCGCTGCAATGCTCCGCCATCCTCTCTGTGCCATGGAGGAAGACAACCGACCAGCTGCCGCCGCTGCCCGAAGGATGACGAGAAGAGAGGACGGCGGAGAAGAGGATAAATAGAGAAAGCGGAGGTGTCGAGTGACACGCGGTCAGCCGGTTACCGGGGCGGCATGGGCTCCCGGTGTCTTCTACTGACAGGTCATGCGACTCGTGTCGATAGCCAGAGTGATGTTGCACGTCTCTCTCTCTCTCTGTAAATGGGCCGAGTGAGGGGACCAGGGGTTTGGATTCATCCTTGGCCCGTTTGCTGTAGTCAACTATTACTGGTATAGAGAGAGAGAGAGAGAGAGAGAGTCAGAGAGACGTGGGCGGCGCTGACTAGTTAAATGAGAAACAGGCGTTCATAGATGGAATGAGGTTCTCCTTCAATGCCGGCGGCGAAGGAAGCGAACCCCGCCGTCGCCCTGAACCAGCACGTCCTTGCGACCCTAGAGAGATGCGGGCACCTCCGCCAACTGAAGCAGCTTCAAGCTCACCTAATAGTCCTCGGCCACGGCCACACCCAGTTCTTCTCCTTCAAGCTCCTCCGCTTCTCCGCCACCGTGCTCGCCGACCTCCGCTATGCCCGCTCCCTCTTCGATGCCCTCCCCTCCCCCAACATCTTCCTCTACACCGCCATGATCACCGCCTACTCCTCCCACTCCGACCCCTCCTCCGCCGCCCTCCTGTTCCGTCAGATGCTCCGCCGCCGCCGCCCCCTCCCCAACCAATTCATCTTCCCTCACGCCCTCCGCTCCTTCTCCGAGTCCTCCTCCTCCTCCTCCATAGCCGCTGTGCACGCGCAGGTTGCAAAGACGGGCTTCGCCGGCGACGGCGTGGTGCAGACGTCTCTCCTCGACGCCTACGCCAAGTGCCTCGACGTAGACACCGCCCGCCGCTTGTTCGACGAAATGGCAGAAAGAAACGTCGTCTCCTGGACCGCCATGATCACGGGCTACGCGCGAGCAGGGATGATCGGCAACGCGACGACCCTGTTCGAGGAAATGCCTCACAGGGACGTCCCAGCCTGGAACGCCATCATCGCCGCCTATAGCCAGAACGGGCTCTTCTCCGAGGCGGTGGCGCTGTTTCGTCGCATGATCGCCGCCGCCGCCCGCCCCAACGAGACGACGGTGGCGTGCGTCCTCTCGGCCTGCGGCCATCTCGGCACGCTCCTTCTAGCCAAGTCCATCCACACCTACACCTACAGGAACCGCATCGGCGCCAGCGTCTTCGTCTCCAACGCCCTCATCGACGTGTACGGGAAATGCGGGAGCCTGAAGCAGGCGCGCAACCTCTTCGACGAAAGCTCCCAGCGGAGCTTGACCCTCTGGAACTCCATGATCAACTGCCTCGCACTCCACGGACACAGCGGGGAGGCGCTGGAAACCTTCGAGGAGATGCGACGCGATGGGCCGCCCCCAGATGGCGTGACCTTCGTGGGCCTGCTGAACGCGTGCGCCCACGGCGGGATGGTCGACGAGGGGCGGCGCTACTTCCGCGCCATGGTCGCCGGCTACGGCGTGGAGCGGCGGATCGAGCACTATGGCTGCATGGTGGACCTTCTGTGCCGCGCGGGTAGGTTCGAGGAGGCGATGGAGGTGGTGGAGGGGATGAGGGCGATGGAGCCGGACGAGGTGGTGTGGGGGTCTCTGCTCAACGGCTGCAGGGTCTACGGGGAGGTGAAGATGGCGGAGAAGGCGGCGAGGAAGCTGCTGGAGATGGACCCGGGGAACGGCGGCTACGGCGTGCTGCTGGCGAATCTGTACAGCGCGACGGGGAGGTGGGAGGAGATGGGCGGCGTGAGGAAGGCGATGAAGGAGACGGGAGGGAGGAAGCTGCCGGGTTGCAGCTGGATTGAGCTGGAGAGCGAGGTTCACCGGTTCTACTCCGGCGATCGGTCGCACCCACGGGCCGGAGAGATCGTTGATGCCCTGCAGGGTTTGGCTGCTTTCTTGGAATACTGATTGGAAAACTTGGTTGGACCGTTAAACGCTTTTGAATTAATTGATAAAATGCAAAGGCGGGGATAGCTCAGTTGGGAGAGCGTCAGACTGAAGATCTGAAGGTCGCGTGTTCGATCCACGCTCACCGCATTTTACTAAAAGTTAAGAGACTAGCACGATTTAAAAATCGTTGAGAAATTTTTAATAGTCCTTTAAATATTAAATACTAATGGACTTGAATGGGCCCAAATTGCTCTCAGCCGCAAGGGAAAATGGGCAATTCTAAATTAACCGTCTTTATCATTTGGAAGTTTCTAAATTTTGATAAATAAAAATATTTATTAATATTAAGAAGTAAGCCCACACACCGTCCATATTATTCAATAAGCAAATCTTAGGAAAATTTTGACTACATTATTTCCTCCTCAGCCCTCACTTCAATGTCATAATTGAATGGAACTATTTGTTTCAAGGTCAATTGGGTTTCAGACTTGCATCCTCTCAATGATATCTCTCATATCTTGATCGTCTCTTTATATTCGTATGATATCTCTCATATCTCTATAATGTGTGTGTGTGTGTGTGTGTATATATATATATATATATATATAATTAAAAATAAAATCATAAGCCTAAATGATATATATATATAAATTGTTTACCACAACAGACTCAAAGATTTAAAATATCAATGTTGTTATACCAAATTGTAAATGAAGGAATATAATATGCTTCTCAACTTAGATTATCAATCATGACTGAATTATCATAAATATTTTTTCATCGAAACAAAGCTGAATAAAATGTGGCTAAATTGACTCTCAAAAAGGCTTATCTAGACATATAGAGTAATAAGAATGTCTCTTAAGTATTTAATTAAATATATATGGTAATACAAATCTAATACTAGAACGAAAGGTACATTCTCAACTTTAATCAACCTTATAGAACGGCAGATCAATAAAATTAGAATCACTTCACTAGTGACTAAATAATTAATAATCATTACGTTATCATCCTCTTTCCTCTACAATTTAAGATCTTTGAGCTCATGTGGAGATGAAAGTTACATCGTCATCTAACTCTTGTAATTTGCTTCTACATATTCATTGACCTATAATTTTTATATTGTTAAACTCCTTGATCATCTCTTTATATTTATGTGGTATTTGACATTTTTACAATGCATATTTTACTATTTTTTATTTTCTAAATAAAGTATTGGTTTGTATAATACATTCAGATGCAAAAGTTGCTGATTATTTTTTCTCGGTGCCATACTCTATTGAATTGAAAATATTTTTATTATTATCTTTATATGATTAAATGCAATGTATGATCTACATCACTGCATACTACCTCTAAATTTTCTTAAAGTTGAGAAATTAAAACATTATAGATTCATTTGAAAATTTTTGGTAAGCCAATAAATATTAAGTGACTTGAATGGGCTCAAATTATCCTTGCCACAAGGAAATGGGACAAGTGTAGATGAACCTAGTGTCTCTCATTTTCATGTAAAAAATGATAGTCAACTTACTATCTTTTGATTCCATTGATTTCTTCATCATTGTAGATTATAGATTAGGGACGAGATCATATCAATTTTCTTCTCTTTATCTCTTTATTCACTTATGATGATCGAGTATTGTTATTTAGAGTTTCATTGAACATGTATATCAATATTTCTCTTATCTTAATTTCAAGGATTTTAGTCATAGTTCATCCATATATTAGTTTGATGTTTAATTTAATAATATCATAGTGGATTATAAATCCTTAGAACACAAGATTATGAGATAGGAATAGTTATAATAGGAAACCTTGTGATTGAGTAGCGAAAATAAAAGAAAACATAAAGGAGGTCCCCAACCCAAGGGTACCTTTGATTTATAATTTAATTTTTTTTATTTAAAATAAACATAAAATTTAAGAAAAATAAGGTAATTGATAAAAGAGGAAGGGGGTAGGTGACCCAAAGATACCCTAGTTCTGGTGAGAGATCAATTATAGAAGATCTATCCCTCAAGTCTTGTGAAAAATTACATGTTTTTAGGGGGTCAAATATGCTGTCCACTTTGATAATAGGTGAATTAAAACACAAGCCCATTAATCTAGCCTAGGACTCTATCATTTCATCCCTTTGTTAGAGGCACACTATTAACAAGGTGAAACTCAAAGAATTCTATTGAATTTGTGTTATTGATTCTCATGATGCCTCCAAGGGTGGTAGGTTGAGCACTACTTAGTGTTATACAAATAATTGTAATTGATTATTTAGAGTTAGAAAAAGAGAAATGATAAATTTTAAAGTGGTCTTAGGTGCATGGGTAATTGAGTCTTATAAGAAGTTTGAGTTTTTCATAGATGTGATGATGGAAGACAAGATGAGTGAACATTAATTTTAAAAACTATAGTACATATAAAATACAATGTACTTTGTCAACTATGAGGTAAGGAGGTTAATAGTTGGATGGTAGCTTCTCACATTGGTAGTCAGAAATTGATTGTATGTAGTAAGGTCAAATCTTGATGATCTTTAAAAAATTTATTGTCATCTTTAATGAGTTGTATCATACTAAAGGTGGAGGCTCACAATCATAAATAACCCTAAAAGGTGTAAAGTGCATTGAGACATAATATGTAGTATTGTATTAATACGTTATCAATGCTAAATAATGCTTTTAGATATGAGACATGTCATAATTTTTCTGTATAATAAGTAGTGAGACAACAATTCAAAACCTCTCTCTAATTGTTTATTAGTAGGTAATATGAGATTCCTCTTTGAAAATAAGTTACTTGCAATTGAAATAACTTCTTCTATAATTAACTAGTAAAGGTAATATTTCAACAATTGATAATTGATATTGAGAATTCATGTAAAGAAATAACTTGTTGCACAAAGATCTTGGTGACCTCCTTAGCAAAGAATGAGTAAATTTAAAGAAAAAAGTACAAATATTTGTTAAACTTGTCCACCACCACCATTATAATAACATATTGATTTTTGTAACTATTTGATAAAATCCATAGTCAATGAGTCACAAATTTGTTATGAAATAATAAGAGACTATATAAGGTAAATACGTGAGAGTGATTTATACTAGTTGTGTTGACATACCTTGCATGACTATACATAGCCCTTGTTATGCTTCCTCATTCTATCTCAGAAGTAATATTGATTGATCCTTTTATATATTATGAGAAACTAAGTGACTTACTCTTTAAGTAGTAATGGAATGACATAGAATGTTGGTGAAAAAATAAGAGAACTTAAGTATAGGAAACTATCTTGGTGGAGGTAGTAGTGTAGCCATTATCTAATTCATTATTGTAACATTATCTTATTTAGTATAATTTGGGCTTAACTTGTCCTTCTTCAAATATCGTTTGTGTGGCCATTGTAATGGGTGATATTAAGAAGAATGTGTGGAGTTCAACTACATATGAGACTCAAGATAATGCAATGACTACTTTGTTTTCAAGTTCAATCTTATCAGATATCAAAAAATCATATTCAATTATCTTGTTTAACCACTTTTGACATTCTACTTATACATGTTCTTGATTCAACAAAAAAATTAAGTTGAACTAATTAGTATAGATAAAAAGTAGTGTCTTAGGAAATAATATCATGATTTTTGTTTAGCTAGGGACATTGTCATCAATTTTCTTTCATATATTACTTTTGGTTGATTTTAGGAAGACAAAACATGATTGACGTAGTCAATTAGATTATGATACTATGTTAATACTACACTAAAATCAATAATCAAAGTGTCAATCTCTTATTTAAATAGTAAAAAACATTAAGTGGAAATAGTATCAAGGTAAATAACATGGTTTTCCTATTGAAAGGCTTCTTTAACCTTGTCATTCTAGTGAAATATCTTGTTTTTATTGTTGTGTCAAGAGCCAAGTCATCTCTCGATAATTGTCACAAACCTTTGATAATACCATGTCAAGTCAAAGAAATCACATAATTCACAAATCGTAGAAGGGGTCAACCATTCAATATTACCTTCACCTTCCTTCCATCAACCTCCACACCTTAGGCTAATACCTATGGTCTTAAAAAAAATATTTAATTATGTGCAATTATTATTATTTTTGTTCATCTAAAACTACATATGAGACAAAATATTCATCACCATTTCTTAGTGATTCTCATGTTCCTTTTCGTCCTTACTATATATACCAAAATGTCATCAAAGAAGATTTATATAAGTTTATGTAGATAGACATCAAAATTTCAGTTCATCCATACTTGAAAATTGGTTTGGGAGTTCTTTAAGCATAATGATATCACCATAAATTTGTAAAAGATAATTTTAATTAATCATTTCAAGTATCTATCAAAATCAACAGAACACACACAAAACTAGTAGGATACTTTTAGCTCGTCATTTCAAGTTATCTTTACAATGATGTCCAAAATTAGATAAAGAATGATAAAAGGTGTTTAATATAATGTAAGTAAGTACAATTGGTTGTTAGATGTATGTTATGATCTATACTAGCTTGGATCTATTACAAGGTGCTCATATTGCTAGTAATTATATGAAAAATTCAAGAAAAGAGTGCTGAAATATAACTCATGTTAACTTACAACTTCATACAAAAAATCCAAAGTTATTGTCAGCTACATTGACTGTAATTATGAATGTGATAGGAATAGATGTAACAAAAGGTATATCTTTATTCTAAGTGAAAGTCATGTAAGTTGGAAGTCAATACTAAAAAATATTATGTTACTGTCAACTAGATACGCTTAATATATTGCTATAATTAAGGTTGTAAAAAAACATTTTAATTGAAAGGTTTGGCAAATAATATTCAAGAAATTGTGATAGTCAAAGTGTAATTTGTTTGACAAAAGATCCAAAATAACATTTGAAAAGAAAAACTTATGGATTTTAGATTTCATAAATTTCATAAATTTGTTTAAAAGATCCTATTTATCATTCAAAACAAAATGTATTAATGTTTGCTTCTAAAAACTTTGTAACTTTAGTTAAGGTGAAGACATTCAACTTATGAAGGTTCTAACTCATGATAATATTAATGATACGATCACCAAGCTTTTATCAGTGACTAAGTCTCAACATTGTCTAAACTTAGCTAATGTTTAGTCATGTTGAGGCATGATGGCATTGGAGATAGAGGGTAGTCATGTAAGAGATTGATTTATTTCTTTTATGGTAGTAGCAATTAGTTTAACAAGTCAAAGGTGTAGAGTGTTATTACCCACTAATCAAAATCAATTGGGCCGCTTTATGTTTCTAGGAAACATCCAAAGATAGAAAAATGAAGAATAACAATGGGCTCCCATCCGTTTCTCACTCTACCTCAACTTCCTCCTCCTCCATTTAAAGAGGAAGGTTGTGGGAAATTAAGGGGTGAGCTTGTGAGAGGTGGAGAGAACAGGGAAAGATCACTACTTCTTCCATTTATTGTCTTCCTCTCTCTCGGTTTCCAATTTAAGTGAGAAAAGAGGGGACAGATTTGAGGTGGTGCCATTAATGGATTCTTCTATTTATTCAGCATCATATCAAGGAAAGAGATCGAATTGTCTTGTCAGTGGAAGAACAGACAAAGGAAGATGATTCTACTAATGGAAAGAGAATCTTACAAGACAGACTCAACTCAATCTCTTCTCGTTTGTTCTTCCACTGGAAAGAAAGTATATTTTTTTCGACATGATTCTGAATAGAGGCCAAAAATAGAAGCAGTAACATTGCTTCTTCTAGTGTTCTCGCCGCCTCTCACAGCCTCACCTTCCCCTTTCTCTCCCTGAGCAGTCAATAACAACACTGAGCAACCCCGTCTGGTTGGGAATTTCCCCTCCAGAATTTCTCAATCGACTGTCATCTAAGAAGGAATAGATCAGAGCCAGGAGATGACTCAAGAACAGGCAGGTCATGTATATTCCTAGGTTAATCGAACTGTTCGGGCCACGAGATCTCTCTACGATCGAACCCGGAGCTCTTTATTAGACAGACATAGGTTACAGAGGGTATGAAACGCCTGAAGAGATTGCGCAGCACGGATCTGCCCTAATTCCCCCCCAGGAGCCCTACCTGGACGGCGGCGGCGGCTCCTTCCGATCAGATGTCGGAGTCGTCGAAGTCGTCCTCAAAGGAGTTGAAGAAATCGGCGTCGGCGGGCTGACGCTCGAGCTCTCCCAGGATCTCAAGCGTGTCGGAGTCGTCAACCTCCATCCCCATGGCGAGGCCACTCTGCTCCTCCGCCATCAGCTCCTGCTGGTACATGCTGATGCTATACGGTGGCGACGGTTTCATCACCCTCCTCCTCCGCCGCCGCCCTTCCTCGGCGAACTAACAAACCCTGCAGCGGCGACCGGCAGGCAGCAGCTTTTTGGTCGTGAAAGTCCGAGACCATTCGAGTGGGCGAGCTATCGCCACGTGGTGTACTGGTTCTGGGCTTCAACTTTGGGCCTTTTTGCCCCCCCCCCCCGGCCATTGCACAGCCCAGATCGATCAGCCGGCTAGAAACCTTGACAAGGGATCAGCTCCGCCGTCGGAGCTCTGCGCGCCGCCGTGGTGGGTCTTCACCTCCGATCAACTCCGCCGCCTCTGATACCCACGAAGGCGTTCCGCTCGTCGCTTTCCTCCCCGTCTCCCATCGAATCTCGCCTCTCCCCTCCCTCCGAGATCGAACAACTCCCCACCCCGCCCATTCCGAGAAGAGGGCAGAACTGAACCGGTGAGATCATCTTCCTCGTCCGGGGCAGTGGGAAGTAGACCTAAACCCACCGATTTCTAGGTTTTTCTCTGCGGGTATCTATCTTTTTGTGCTGATGATGCAATTGACCGCAGAACCATGGAGCCAGAGATCATAGAGGCCGAGATCTTGTTGCCTCCTGCTCTGAGCTTCAAGAAGATACAGATGTCAGAGAAATACCCCAAGGGGCAGTCAAGAAGCCGGCACTGGAAGCACCTGAAGCAGATCCTCCAGGCTGAAAATTTCCAGGCCTACTCGCCGGAGGAACCGAACTGTGAGTCGGCATGCTCGAAGCTCACATCGAAAAAAATGGTTTCCATGAAAAATATTACCTTAAAATTGGTTTTTTTCCGCAATACCTGCATGGGTTTGATCAGTATATCGATTTTATTGTTAAGCTCTCTGCTCATACATAATTTCTTCAAGAACAGGGTATTCATTCCATTCCAGAACTCATAACCATGTCAAGTGAATCCGTTTTTCACGAACTTCCATGCTTCATGACTGCCCATTTTCTGACCACTGGTTCTTCCCAGTGTTCTTGAAGAAGATCATTGCCAAAAAAAATGTGTCGGGTATAGATTTAATTCTCAGGAAGAAAAAAAAAACATGCATATCGAATATTATCTAGTAGGCATCGAATCAGTCAGTGTGAATCATCCAGAATGTATGAAACTCCTGTCACTGTTCCTCAGATTTTTGTGTTTTTTTCCTTCTGAATTCGAACAGATAAGCAGGATGAACATGTTCTTCATGACTCCATGGCCCGGTTTTCTAGGATTTCTAATAATGGGATGCCGAAAATATGTCAAATATTTTAATTTGATGAAGCGGGGTCGCTTAGCATGCCAAAAAAGCTCATATTTTATCTTCATCGTGCTGATTTTCTCCACAGAAGGATAAATTCTGCTTTTTTTTTCCTTTTTTTCAGACTTAAATATAGAATCGCCTCCCTCTGCATACCCACCGAAGAAATTCTGCGATATCACGGGCTTTGAGGTATGAATTAGACTAGAAGAGCCTTGTGGTTTTTTTTTTAAATCTTCCCCCCTTCTGAGTAAATGATCCTTGCTCGTGAGTCTGCGTGTGGATGTTTACGGATTGACTGTCTTGTGCTGCTTGGATTCTTCATCGGGATTCTCAGTTGATCTACTGTTCTTACTATGATTACCCTCCGTACTGTGAATTCGGTCCTCTCTCTCTCTCTCTCTCTGTCGCTCTCCCAATCTTTTCTATGCTCGTCCTTGGGCTTGGTAAATCCACTCTCTCTCACACACACACCCAATCTCTTCTATGCTCGTCCTTGGGATTGGTAAACCATCTCTCTCTCTCACCCAATCTCTTCTATGCTCGTCCTTGGGCTCGGTAAATCCATCTCTCTCTCGCTCTCGCTCGCTCTCTCACCAATCTCCTCTGTGCTCGTCCTTGGGCTTGGTAAACCCATCTCTCTCTCTCTCTCTCTCGCTCTCTCACCAATCTCTTCTATGCTCGTCCTTGGGCTTGGTAAATCCATCTCTCTCTCTCTCTCTCTCTCTCTCTTCCCCTGCAAAGAAATTTTACTCGGGCGAGCCTCGATCTTCTTCTTCGTCTGTGCAGGCTCCATACGTTGACCCGAGGACCAAAATGCGGTACGCGAATGCTGACGTGTTCAAGCGCATAAGGTATCTCCCCGGCGACTCGATCCAGCGGTACCTCTCCCTCAGGAACGCCGCCGTCGTCCTAAAATAGCACCAAAACTTCTCTAGAACGCACCCCTTCCTCAATGCTTGTATGCTCCTCCCCCGTTGACCCGAGGACCAGTCAAAAGTTCGCATTTTTTCTCCTTTGACCCCATCTTTAATGGGCCTCATCGGATTGTTCACGGGTCTCCAGTACCGACCGTATCCGAAACCGGGTTGGATTCGCACGGGTCTTACCCAGACGTGTAGAGAGAGAGATAGAGAGAATGTCGTGTGGCGAAGGGGACGATAACTAAAAAATGTAATTTTATGTGGGTATATATTGTATTTAAATTGTGAAATAAATATTTATTGCGTCAAAGAGATTGATTGGGAAAGGGAAAAGTATTTGTTTATTAGCAGAATAATAATAATAATAGCAATTTGCGCGGGGGGTTGGGGCCGTCGAATTCCTCCATCGCCTGTAACTCGCCCTCGCCGGCGCCCCTTCCCTCTTCCTCGCCCCCGGTTCCTCCCTCTTCCTCCTCCCTCTGGTTTTTCTTCCCCGTCTGCGGTGACGGAGATGGCGCTGCCGCCGCCTCCGGCGTCGTGCGGGCAGTACTGGTCGCAGTTCCTGAGCAGCGCTCTGTCGGCGAGAGGTCCCAACGCGCTGCCATACCAGGAGGACGCGAAATGGCTGATCCGCCACCACCTGGTCTCCCTTGCAGAGGCCTTCCCCTCTCTTCCCCCCAAATCCTCCCTCTTCACTCACAACGATGGCCGCAGCGCGCAGCTCCTGCAGGCTGAGGGCACCATCCCCATCCGCTACGCCGGCGTCGTCTACAACATTCCCGCCGCCATCTGGCTCCTCGAGAACTACCCCCGCTGCCCCCCCTCCGTCTTCCTTCTCCCCACCAGCGACATGGTCGTCAAGCGCAACCACACCTACGTCGACCAGTCCGGCCACGTCTCCGTCCCCTACCTCTGCAACTGGATCTTCCCCTCTTCCAATCTCGTCGATCTCGTCCGCACCCTCTCCCACCTCTTCAGCCAGGAGCCCCCTCTCTTCACCCGCGAGAAAGCTAACCCTAACCCTAGCCCGATCCCTAATTCCCCCCGCCCGCCGCCGCCGTCCTCCTCCACTTCCTCTCCCTCTCCCTCTCCCTCTCCCTCTCCTTCCCGGATCTACTCCCAGGCGGCGCCGTACGGGGCCGCCGGGGGGCGGCTTCACCAATCCCCACAGCGGCGGCCGGCGGAGGACCCCGCCGAGGTCTACCGCCGCAACGCGGTGAACAGGATCTTGGAAGTGGTTCACGCGGACATGGTCGCCCTTCGGAAGACCCGAGAAGTGGAGACGGAGGAGTTGATGTCGACGCAGGGCGTGCTGCGGCGGCGGGAGGATGAGCTCCGCCGGGGGCTGCGGGACATGCAGGGGGAGAAAGAGGGGCTGGAGCAGCAGCTGCAGGTGATGCTGATGAACGCGGACGTGCTGGAGCAGTGGCTGAGGGAGAACGAGGGGAAGAAGAAGGGGCACGACGTCGACGCGGAGGAATTGTTCGAGCCCTGCGATCCCTTCTCGAAGCAGCTGATTGAGTGCACGGCGGTAGATCTGGCGGCGGAGGACGCGATCTACTCTCTGGACACGGCCGTGAGGGAAGGAGCGATCCCTCTCGATCTGTACCTCAAGAACATTAGGGTTCTGTCGAGGGAGCAGTTTTTCCACAGGGCGACGTCCAAGAGGGTTAGGGCTGCGCAGGTTGAGGCCCAGGTCTCCGGTATGGCTGCGACGGCACCTCAGTACAGTGCGACATAGACTGTAGATCCCGGAAGGAGGAAGAAGACGAGGAACAATCTCCCTCTGTGAGCTGCAATTGCTTCCTCCATGGAAGGAATCACCTCCCTGTTCTACAGATTTTCGTGCATTCACAGCAGATTTTGAGGTATCAAGGTGGAGGTGCTCTGTCTCTGTTACACTCTGATTTTTGATAATCAATCAAATAAATTCTTGCCCGGATCCAACTCATGCATTCCCAGAAATTATTTCAAAGAAGAGCGAGCTCATGGAAACAAATCTCTGCGGTTTCTGCTCTTCAATCGAAATGAGTTCGTGATTCCTATCCCCGCCCTGTTTCTCCCATGTCTCTGCTTCGATCTCAGGATTCGATGTCCGCTCACCACCAGACTCTTAAGGAATGTTCTAGAGACACAGAGAGAGAGGAGGAAGCCAATCTAGCAGGAACTGTCAAAACACCTAGCGCCCCCTTTTGGTGCCCAGCAGACATCTTTAAGCTGGTCGTCTTCGACACTAAAGTTCAACGCTTTCCATTCCGGGAATTTCAGTCCTCTGATCTTGACTTTAAACCCAGCTGAAAGCAGCATAAGTCAACTACCATGGCGGTTCTAACTTTCTCGAATTATTGCTACAATCACCCACAACTATCATCTCAAGATGGTCTAATAATTTATTCATTATTATTATTTTAGTTTTCCGTTTAATCCTGATTTAAATGGCTGGATCAGACGGTAATGACTAGATCAAAATCCACACGCGTTGACTTTTGTACGGTCAGTTACCGTGCCATTGTTCCATTGACCTTTCCTCGCTTGCCGGGTCTCCGTTGGCCCGGTAATCAGCGCCCGTGGAAGGCTTCTCGGGTCACCGATCAGCACGCGTTCCGGTCGGATCCTGCCCGATACACCGGCGAAGGTTCCTTTGCCGGAGAAGAGACACCGATGTTCGGCGGGTGGCGGCCACTGGCCGGTCACCATCTGTCACGCCGGTCGCGCGAACTCGTCACGTTTCCTACCGCGTTCCGAGTTGCTTTTGGGCAACTCGGAACTGTCTTTTGGCGTTTTATGGTCAGATTCTCCGTTCCATACAGATTTCGTGCCGACAATTCTTTACCTTACTTGTTGCGTGTCCTCCGAAGGAGAAAGATAGATGGGCCCCACTGCCCGTCTCTCTGGGAGCTCTCCTGACCGTTCACCTTAGAAGGATCTAGAGGCACCCGTGAACCTGGGAAAGGAGCCGTCCGATCCGCGCCAAGTGGACCGCCCATGCCACGTGCCTCGCAGTGACGGGGTTCCGATATCTTGCTTCGGCCACGTGTCGAGTCGATGGCCGGCAAACGCTAAACTGGGTATGGGGTAACGGCCGAGAGTGCGTGTGACCGTCGGATGAGGGCAGGGGCTCTGGATCGGACGGCGGAGACTAAGGGGAGGAGATTTGTGGGTAGGAATATTATATTCGGTTTGGAATCCTATAAAACAACGTGAAGGCTCGTCATCGTTCATCCACCCGCATTGTAAGCGAGCTCACGAAGAAGGCGGAGAGAGGAAGCGAGGAAGACGACGATAAGAGGAGAGGGGAGGGCAGCGGAGCAGGGGGCAGGGGAGGGAGGGAGGCTTCATTTGCAGGTCGACGAAGGATTTGGGATTCTCCGGGAATGGCGCTGAGCATAGGCCACCAGATCGGAGTCCTCTCCGGCACGCCGGTCGCCGACTGCGGCGCGGCGTCGGCGGCGGAGCAGGCTCCGTCGGTGGTGAATGCGGCGGCCGTATGGAGGTGCCCTAACCTGGGTTCTTCGATCAGGAAGCAGGGAGGGCCCGAGATCGACGCCATCTCTACCCCGGTGAGTCCGTGTCGGTCGCCCTTGCTGGGCTCCTCCCTCCCCGGCCTGACGCCTGCCTGCCAGGCTCTGGTCTCCGGCGATGCTCCGGCGGCGACCGAGGTTGTGATTGAGCACGAAGGCGCTGCGGTGGCAGCGGGAAAGGCGAGGGGGGTGCCGGTGTACGTGATGCTCCCCCTGGACACCGTGCGCGCCAGCGGCGGGGGATTGAATCGGAAGAAGGCGATGAACGTGAGCCTGCAAGCGCTGAAGAGCGCAGGGGTGGAGGGGGTGATGGTAGACGTGTGGTGGGGGCTAGTGGAGAAGGAGCGCCCCGGGGAGTACGACTGGCGCGGCTACACCGAGCTCATGGAGATGGCCTCCCGGCATGGCCTCAAAGTCCAGGCCGTCATGTCCTTCCACCAGTGCGGAGGCAACGTCGGGGACTCCTGCACGTACGTTGTTGCTCCTCACCCCTTCTTCTTCTTCTTCCTCCATCCTTTTCCCCTTCTCGGATCCCGTGATTTGAGACGGTCTGCTTGTTTCAGGATACCGTTGCCGGGCTGGGTTGTGGAGGAGATTGACAGAGATCAGGATCTGGCCTACACGGACCAGTGGGGGCGGCGGAACTACGAGTACGTCTCCCTGGGCTGCGACACGCTGCCGGTTCTCAAGGGCCGTTCGCCGGTGCAGTGCTACGCCGACTTCATGCGCGCTTTCCGCGACCACTTCGCCGCCTACCTCGGTTCCACCATCGTCGTAAGTTCCTCATCCCCGTCAAGCCGACTGCCTCAGGAGACGTTTCTCTTCTTCTGTGTGTGTGGAGAGCAGCTTTTCTTAATGGTGTGTCGTCTTCTTCCTCTTCCTCAGGAGATCCAAGTCGGGATGGGCCCCGCCGGTGAGCTCAGATACCCCTCCTACCCGGAGATGAATGGCACCTGGAGATTCCCCGGCATCGGCGCTTTCCAGTGCTACGACAAGGTACCCACCTCTCTCTCTTCCAGCTCTTCTTCATGGACTCTGTCGAAAAGATCTCCATCTCACAGTGCTCTTCTACTTCCAGTACATGATCGGGAGCTTGAAGGCCGCGGCGGAGGCGGCGGGGAAGCCAGAGTGGGGCCACGGCGGCCCCTCCGACGCCGGCAACTACAACAACTGGCCTGAGGACACTTCGTTCTTCCGCCGCGACGGCGGCTGGAGCGGACCCTACGGCGAGTTCTTCCTCTCCTGGTACTCCCAGCTGCTGCTGGACCACGGCGAGAGGATTCTCGACAGGGCTTCCGCCATCTTCCGTGAGCTCCCGGCGGTGAAGATCTCGGTGAAGGTCGCCGGCATCCACTGGCACTACGGGACGCGCTCCCACGCGCCGGAGCTGACGGCGGGGTACTACAACACCCGCGAACGCGACGGCTACCTGCCCATCGCCCGCATGCTGGCCCGTTATGGCGCCATCTTCAACTTCACCTGCGTGGAGATGAAGGACTACGAGCAGCCCGGGGACGCCCAGTGCGGACCAGAGAAGCTGGTGCGGCAGGTTGCGCAGGCCGCGAGCAAGGCCGGCGTTGCTCTCGCCGGCGAGAACGCTCTCCCCCGCTACGACGAGGGGGCCCACGAGCAGATCTTGCAGACGGCGGCGAAGGGCGGCGGCGGCGGCGGCGGCGAGATGATGTGCGCCTTCACGTACCTGCGGATGAACCCCGACCTGTTCCAGTCGGATAACTGGCGGAGATTCGTCTCCTTCGTGAGGAAGATGGCGGAGGGGAGGGAGCCACACCGCTGCCTGGAGCAGGTGGAGAGGGAGGCGGAGATCTTCGTCACCACGACGGGGCTCCCCATGGAGACCGCCGTCGCCCTCACCCGCCAATGAGCAAGAAAGTCAACGGGCGTTCGCTTCTTTTTCCCGGGAACGCCAGCCCGCCACCAACCGCCGGACGATTCCGTTGACATTAGCCAGATACTCCTCGACTGGAGTCCATTTGATCGATTACAAATCCTCGCGTTGTAAATGGAGATATATTGCGTATTTTCAATTATTCCCTCGTCACGTAGATCTACGCGACATGCACGGAAATGGGATCACGTCGATATTTTATGAGTATTTAATAAAATACGATAATCAATGGCCTCGGAAAATCCGAAGAGGAAGTCGCTTGGAAATGATAAATATTCCCACATTTTCTTCTTATTTAAAAATTATAATATTCGCACATTTATTTAACGAGGATCTTTGACTTGGTAGATTTATCTACGGATGTGACCAAGAAACCATACTGACGTCAGCGGATGAAGACCATTTTTTTTCATTTTGATTTTACCATTAATACACGTGGGAATTTTATCATTTCATGATCCATTCTCTGCAAGTCAACGAGACCAATAAATTAGCTGATCCATCGTCACCGTCCCCGATTGAGTTTGATAAATGGAAAATTATTTTTTAGTAAAAGAAATAAAAAATAGTGACACGAATTTAATATAATTATTATAATATTGCGTAAATTGCAGAAATTAGAGAGGGTGATGTTTTATTATTTAATTTTATAATGGTGTCCCTCAAAATTAAGTCATATGTATCTGGGATTTTTTTAACATTTATTGAATATTTTCCAATATCACTTTGACGTGGAAATGGCTGGCATCTTTCAACGACCGAGCCAGAGAGAGAGAGAGAGAGAGAGAGAGAGAGAGGCTGGGGATTTTTGTCGTTGGTCTGGGTCACGTGAGGGAGTGCAGGGCTAGCCGTTGCAGCCAGAGCGCCTGGGTTGGGCCCTGTTTTCTTCCATTTATTAAATGGGAAACTAGCCGTTGGCAGTCATCCTTGGGGGACGACAGCAGGAGCTTAACCAGGGCCGTCACCATCTTCCCCTCTTCTGAGCTCTCCCTCTGGTTTTCACCTTCCCTTCATCCTCTTCTCCACTGTCCTTCTCCTCCTTTCCCCCCACTTGTCTCAGAGCCCCACAACCAAACTCCTCCTCTGGTTCGTCTTCCTCCTTGCAGTTGCAGACTGACAGCAGAAAGGCGGAGAGGAAGGGCTCATCTCACTCCTCCTCTTCTTCCTCCGACCTTATGGGCTGGCCCTATCATGTCCTCCTCCGGGTGCTGTTCGTCTTCCTCCTGGCTTGCCATCCATCGCTAGGGCAGCCATGGGACGGGGTCGTCATCACTCAGGCGGATTACCAGGGCCTGCAGGCCTTCAAGCGGGGCCTGGTGGACCGGCGAGGGTTTCTGAGGAGCTGGAACGACTCCGGCGTCGGCGCCTGCTCCGGCGGCTGGGAAGGGATCAAGTGCGCTCAGGGGCAGGTCATCTCCATCCAGCTCCCATGGCGGGGACTCGGAGGTCGAATCTCCGACGGGATCGCCCAGCTCACCGCCCTCAGGAAGCTCAACCTTCACGACAACTTCATCGGCGGCGCTGTCCCCTCCGCCATCGGCTTCCTCCCTAATCTCAGAGGCCTCTACCTGTTCAATAATCGCCTCTCCGGCACCATCCCCCGTTCCATCGCCTCCTGCCCCCTACTGCAAACCCTAGATCTGAGCAACAACTACCTCAGGGGCCCCATTCCCGCCGACATCGCCGCCTCCACCAAGCTCTACAGGCTCAACCTCAGCCACAACAATCTCTCCGGCGGAGTCCCCATCGGCCTGGCCCAGTCGCCGTCTCTCACCTTTCTCTCCCTCCACCACAACCTCCTCTCCGGCAACATTCCCGACGGCTGGGGCGGCAGTTCTGCCTCTGGTTCGGCCGCCCACCGGCTCCAGATCCTGAACCTAGACCACAACTTCTTCACCGGTGACCTTCCTGCTTCTCTTGGGAGGTTGCAGAGCTTGCAGGTCGTCACCATCAGCAACAATCGGATCAATGGCAGCATCCCCGAGGACTTGGGTAATCTTCCCGTGCTTCAGAGGCTGGATATCTCGGAAAACTCCATTGGAGGAGGATTCCCGGCTTCTCTCTGCAACCTGACCTCCCTGATCGAGCTCAACCTCGAGGGAAACCTCCTGGGGGATCTTATACCCGACGCCATTGACGGGCTCAAGAATCTCTCTTTCCTCTCCCTGAAGGGCAACCGGTTCCAAGGGCCGATTCCGGCGACCATCGGTAACATCTCCGGCTTGTCTCGTCTCGATTTGTCGGAGAACAACTTCACCGGGGTTATTCCGGGGACTCTCGCTAGACTCACAAACCTCAGCCTCTTCAACGTCTCCGACAACAACCTCTCCGGGGAGGTCCCCTCCCTCCTCTCCGAGAAATTCAACTCCTCTTCTTTCAGAGGAAATCTTCAGCTCTGTGGGTACAAGGGTTCGCCCCCCTGCCCGTTGACTCCTCCTCCGAGCCTCCCTCCGACGACGATGACGACCCCTGAAGCTCCGAGAAGCGGCGACGGCCACAGGCTGAGCACCAAGGACATCATTCTGATAGTCATCGGAGCCGTCCTCTTCCTCCTCCTGGTTCTCTGCTGCGTCCTCCTCATTTGCCTGATCAGGAAAAGGACTGACCAGAGCAGGAAGAGCGCCGCCGCGGGGGCGGCCAGCAGAGGGGAGAAGGCGGCGCCGTCGAGCGGGACCGAGGTGGAGTCAGGCGGAGACACTGGCGGGAAGCTAGTCCACTTCGACGGGCCTCTGGTTTTCACCGCCGACGACCTTCTCTGCGCGACGGCGGAGATCATGGGGAAGAGCACCTACGGGACCGTGTACAAGGCCACCCTCGAGGACGGGAACCAGGTGGCGGTGAAGCGCCTGAGGGAGAAGATCGCTAAGAACCAGAAGGAGTTTGAGGCCGAAGTCAACGTCCTGGGGAAGATCCGGCATTCCAATCTCCTCGCCCTCAGAGCTTACTACCTAGGCCCCAAGGGAGAGAAGCTCCTGGTGTTTGACTACATGCCCAAGGGGAGTCTCGCCGCCTTCCTCCACGGTGAGCTAAAAATTCCCATCCCTCACCCGTTGACCTTTTCACTATTTCTCTCTCCTTCTCTCTCTAAGATCATCTGTGTGGTGGGGGTGATGCAGCGAGAGGGCCTGATACGCCCATTGACTGGCCGACGAGGATGAAGATAGTGATGGGGGCGACGAGGGGGCTCCACCACCTCCACACCCACGAGAACATGGTCCACGGGAATTTGACCAGCGGGAACATCCTGCTGGACGAGCAGGTCAACGCCAAGATCGCTGATTACGGGCTCTCCAGGCTGATGTCGGCCGCCGCCAACTCCAACGTGATCGCCACCGCCGGCGCGTTGGGTTACCGCGCCCCGGAGCTGTCTAAGCTCAAGAAGGCCAGCGTGAAGACTGACGTCTACAGCCTGGGGGTGGTCATGCTGGAGCTCCTCACCGGCAAGTCCCCCGGCGAGGCGATGAACGGCGTTGACCTCCCACAGTGGGTCGCCTCCATCGTGAAGGAGGAGTGGACCAACGAGGTCTTTGACCTCGAGCTCATGAGGGACGCGGAGGGGACCACGGGGGACGAGCTGCTCAACACTCTGAAGCTGGCTCTCCACTGCGTTGACCCCTCCGCGGCGGCGAGGCCGGAGGCCCAGCAGATCCTCCAGCAGCTGGAAGAGATCAAGCCGGAGTTGGCGGGCACCTCCCCGGCGGCGCCCTCCTCCGCCGCCAATGGAGGAGGTGACGACGACGAGAAGAATCCCGCCGGCGGCGGGTCAACATCCCCGCCGACAGACGACGACCAGAAATCATAGATCAGCGATAGAAGCTTCCTATTCTATTTAATTAATGTCCCTTTTTTTATGCATCTGAATTTGTTCCAGTAGAAAGCAATAAGATGAGGAGAGAGAAGAAACCCAAGAGACCAATTGTTCTTGTCGGGACGATCTTCTCTCTCCTATATGGAATTGATTTTATCCGCTTATTTTGCTGTTTCGAGAAATGGGATGATCTTCCCTGTTCTGTAAAAATGGCATCCGACATTACAAAAATGTCATTTTTTCTATTTAAATGAATCTTCCTCGATTTTGTCAAATCATATGACAATTACGAATCAGATCCTCCCTGCAAATATTTCTTCTGATTGTTAGATGCTCCCTGCAAAAATCTCCGCAGTTGCTGTACATGACGAGTTTGCAGATCTCAGAAACACAGGGAGCAACACAGAGAGGAGGAAGGAGGATGAGGGTGGATATACAACCGAGGAAGAGGAAGGATCTCATCTCCTCAGACAGGACCTGGAGAAGCCCGCTACCTTCCTCGTTGATCGTCTCTTCGAGCGCGACCCCTCGCCGCCGCTTCACGGGCGGGCGCATGGCCGAAGGAGCCGTCACCACCTCCCTCAAATGGAGCTCCCGCCGGAGGAGCTTGGCTCCTCTGAGGCAAGCCATAGAGATTCACAGAGGGTTTCTTCAGCAGCTGCGCGCTCTCCGTCGGGACACGAGCCGCGCCACCGAACTCGCCGCCAGCCGGAATACTTCTCGGGGTGCTCCCCGCCGGAGCAGTGCCGCTGCGGGAGCTCACGCTGGCCGCCGGGGTGTAGGGCCGGAAGTTCTTCCCGAGATTGGGACTATGGCCGAGGAGAACTCCCTGCCATTTCCTGAAGCTCTCATCCGTCGCCGCCGTCGCCGGCGGTGAGATATGAGGGTCTCTCTGCGGTTTCCTGTAGTATACCTGATGGGTAGAAACAGAAGTCCTCGGCTTCTTCGTCGGCACATTCAGAAAGGACGCACCCGACGGTGAAGAGGAACCCTGTTGATCCATCTGGTTGCTGTGAGTTATTCCAGCAGCAGAAGAAGTCCGGGATCTGCTCAGCTGCGGGTTGTTTCTCAGGGCGCCGGAGAGGAGGCCGGAGGATTGGCTGCGGGCGGTGGTCGCCAACCTCTGAGCGCCGCCGGGCTCCGCCGCCGAGCAGCGGCGGAATGGGTGGAGCCTGGAGGACTCTGAAATCCGCGGCCGCGCTGAGGCAGCAAGGCCGATCCGCACGGAGACGGGAGCTTGCACAGAAACCGACTCGGCTCTGCTGTGGCCTATGCCTGAAGCTCGAGGCGGCGCCGTCCCGGAGCCGATGGAAGAAGATCTCGCCGGCGGCAAATTATGGGGGCGAGGCCTCACGCCGGTGGCCTTGACGACCGGCGGCCTCACGGACAGAATCGAAAATCGGTGTTCTTCTCTATTTTCTGCCGTCTGTTGAAGAAGCTTCAGAGCCTTCCTCTCTGATACCCACCGCTCTTCTCTGTCTGTAGAGTGACAGTGGCCGGAGCTGCATGAACTACGGCCCCAATAGCCGCAAGGCGCAGGCACGTCGCAGACGTAGCAATGGCACTGCAATGTCAACGGTAAGACTGTTTCTCTGGTTGTCGATGATAACAGAAGCTAGAGAGGGACGAAGAAAGGTAACGACTGGGAATGTGAGCTACTTCTGGCTCACCATGTTGCAGAACTTCTCGTGCGAAGTGGTAGCGAATGGGAATGTTGCACACAGATGCCTCGAGTGAGGAAAATCTCTGCAGGCCACCTGCATGACATAAAGAAGAAGAAGAAGAAGAAGGTGGGTTTAGGTTTAGACATCGGATCCTTGATCTCAGAAGCATAGCGGATCTTGCAGCAACTCATCGCAGGTTCACTGTCAGTCAGCCCCACCCTCTATTTATAGTAAACCAAGAGAACACCTTCTATTTATAGTAAACCTTCCGATTATATCAAATCTAGGGACATGTTTTATCCAACGGTGTTTCCATCCACAGTTCCCTCTTCAGGTAAAAACACCAGCTGTCTACCCTGAATCGGCTGGTGTTGAATCGGATAGATATTTGATTTAGGTTCTGTCTGATGCTCTCCCATTTGTTATTTTCTCGTCACAATCCCGCAGAGTTATACAAATACCATTTCAGAGACGTAAGTCCCACGTTTATGATCTAAATTACCGGAAAAAAATATAAATATTAAAGAACAGGTGAATTTCAATCTCCATCAGATGAACTCCACAGACGAGAAAAATGTAGAAATACCATTCGAATATAAATTTAAGCACAACATTGGTCGGTTTTTGGTATGAAAAACAAACAGGGGCTTTGACCACATGTTTCTTAACAAAGTAAGATCTCACCCTGGAAACAGAAATAATGCGGTTGAAGTCAAAAATTGAGCTTAACATCCTGGAAACAATCAACATGCTTCCAGGATTCAAGTTTGACCAATCTCAAAGAGTCTTTTAATCTGACAGGGGAGGACCACCGAAGATGACTTTGGGTAGAAAAACATTGGCAGACGACTGATAATCTTTGTGCCATGTTAAAACGCAACCATTTTGCAACAAGCATTGAACTACTGAAAGCATGATGACAAACATAATAATAGTAATAAACTAGTATCATACATAACTCAATCATAAAAGATGCCAAGGATTTAAAAACATAAAAAAATAAAATCCAGGAGGTGTAGGTGAGAAATTTTCCATTTCCCAATCGTCTATCCAGGGAAAGAAAATATGTTAATGAGATGATGTTCGTGGGACATTCAGTGACTACTATACTAATTCATCTTTTCTTTCTGGAAAGAGAGTCTTCTGGTTCACTCGTCATTTCATGAGACCGTGTTCTGAAATCGCAAGTATTCACTGACTCGATCGAATTAGCTGCCAAGAAACTCTGACAGCGAGATCATGGCAATACCCCATCGATTGCTAGACGGTCCACATGATTTCCAGAATACACACTTTGACTTGCTAATCTCGACACAACAGATAACAATTGCTAATCATAATTGCTTGGCATCACTTTTGAGCAACACCAAATATATAGACAGAGTCAACATATTAACAACGCTTCTAACTGATAAGCTCATATGTTGCGTTAACACAGAAGCTAACCCAATGTTTTCATTAGATATCGAAGATCAGGCAGAGCATAATCGCATTCCAGCGCTTCTAATTCGCAGCAACAGTATTGCTAAGGGAGAAAAAAAAAAGTGAGAGAGAATGGCAAGTAGGAATCACACCTGACCCTTCTCGCCAACAATCAGAAGTTCATCTGAGCGATCCCCTTCGTCCTGAGTGGCCTCAGTGGGTTTATCAGGGTCATCGTCCAGTATCTGGCAGTCATCGCCAGAATCTTCAGCAGACACGCATGTTTCTGTGCTGAGTGGAAGGCAGTCCAATTTCTCCACTGGAGAGTGGCAAGAGAATTCATCCACCACCACGAGGTCATCAGAAGTCCACGGATCATCTTCAAGTCCAAGCATATCTGAGAGCCAATCCAAGGACGACCCGTAGTCGAAAGACTCCATGCCAGACTCACTGACTTCATCCTCTTCATCAGAGCTTATTTCCACTATAACCCGTTCCTGACCCATCAGTCTAACCGGGATTCCAAGATCTTCGATGGTGCAGTAAGTAGGGACAAAGATCCCAAGAGTCTATGGCATATCAGAAAACCAATCCAAGAGACGATTGAGGATTGCTGACTGTAAATTATATTCCCCAAATCTTGAATGCAAGGGTTTCGAAGAACATAATCTACCTGGATAAGAGGGGAAGATAACACATTGCAAAATCTTTCGAACCCTGTTATCGGAGAGCAAAATGATCCATCCAAGAGTGCGATTCAATTTCGCTCTACTTCTGACGTTCTCGGCCACGGCAACATAACATAATTAGGGGACGGGGTGGGGAGGGAAGACGGAGGAATAACGTCGCCACAGCCCACCGACACCAGCCTTGGCCCCGCCAATCTCCCTTGTGCCGACCCGATCGAAGGGCGTACGAATACCTGGTTCTGATGAAGGGCACCGGAGGTTCGTGGAAGCCGACCTCAATTTCGTGGAGGAGAAACTCCAACGCCGACGCTGAGGAATCAAAGCTACTCTGCAGAAAACACTATCGAAGCAAATTCAAGAGGAACAACCGTCGGAGAAATGAGAGTTCCAAATCCAAGAGCGCTCGCCGGAGGAGTACACAGCCTGGTTTAATGCGTTCGACGGCCACCCCCTTCCCCTTCCCCTTCCCGTTCACCTTTCCTTCTATCAAACCTAATGCGCGGAGCTCCGTTCATCACAGTTAATTCCGGCAAACTATCTGCAAAAAAGGACCTCGAACTTTATTAATTATCGTTTATAGGATAAAGCACGATACATTTATATCAATCTTTTAATGTACATATACCCCTAACATGGATTCCTATTTGCATTGCCCCGGATGAAAAAATATATTCCATCAGACTGGAGGTTCCAAAACAAAAATATAAAAATCAAGGGGGCTAATGGTGTTTGGTCATGGTCCCTTTCAGAAGCAGGGCTATGATTAATGGGCCAAGCTCTCGACAAGTGGATCCCACAAGGGGAGGGCCGGCTTCAATAATTTGGGCCTGGCCTATTAGCATCTAGGACATTTATATCTCCGGTTCGGCCCATTTAGGCTTCTGGAAGGCGATTTTTTTCTTCCAGGAGAGTGGAGAAAAACATTTTACGAGTGTATTAGATGGGATAATTATTTTAGTTCGGAAAGTGAGAAAAACGCGGCGAAACGAGGTGGTCCACCGATCGAATGGACAGGGATAGAGATGGAGAACGACTTTCGAATCTAACCGTCGATCGCCCTCATCAGCTACCGCCGCTATCCGACGGCCCCTGATCTGTCCACGAGGATATAATTTCGACGCCGTCTCCAAAGGCCGCCTCGCGAGGCAACTAGGCCATCAGGGAGGGATAAAGGCGAGGGCGAGGCAAGAACTGTGAATCTCTTCTCCTTCGGCGGAGCAATTCTCAGATCCTTCTGCGAGTGAGAAAGTTTAAGGAGCCGCCGAGGTTTCGATTTCGCAGATCTAGGATTCCTCGGGAGGGGGGTGGAAGCTGGGGGAGTCCGCTGCATGCTATGCTAGGGCAAGAAATGGCGAGTGGGGTCGTCGCTTCCGTTAGCGCCCTTCAGGTGATCTTTCTAATCGATAACTATGGAAGATTTTGGAGGAGACGGTTGACGATCAGTGTGCTCTTACTTCTTCGGCGAGTTTCGTGGTATCTAAGGATTGTTATTGTAATGTTCCGGAGCAGGTAGGCACTTACTTCTTGAGGCAGTACTATCACGTTCTCCAGCAGCAACCAGAGTTCGGTCATCAGTTCTACACGCAGGTGAGCACCGTGATGCGTATCGACGGGGAAGCGTCCGAGACGGCTTCTGGCATGATGGTAATCTTTTATTTCACTAATCTCTTATTTATTAGAATTTTTTATTATAATTTCTGCGTCTTATCTGTCGAATTATTGCGCTGAAATGTTTGCCGGCATTATTGCGACTATATGATGGTTATCATCATCGTCATTATTAAGAGCAACAATGCCAGGAGCAGGTGTGAGCGGTTTGAAATCCTTCCAGCTTCAATCTTGGGCATTATTTTCGCAATCGAAATAAGATTTTCGGCGCAAATTAATTTTAGCTGGAACATTTATGCTTTAGATGACCCGTTGCCAGTCATGCTATGGCTATTAACAGGAAGAACAATTCCAAGGTTAGCTGGAATTGGTTTTTGTCAATTGTCTCATATGGCGGTTGCTACTTCTTCTCATGGGAGCGAATCTTTTGGTACCAATGCCTTTTAACTATATATTGAACTGTATGAAGGTAAAATATCTAAATGTGAAGAGTCATCCGGTGAGAGTGAATGATATATCTCTTCGAAAATTTGAAAGAAAAACTATATCTTAGAAAATTTCAGTTTTGGCAAGCTTAAGTAATTATGTCAATTGGGGTGATGGCTAACATTCACGTGAATATCTGGGGTCTCTGAATCTCCCGTTTGTGGATTTTAGCACTAATTGGGACAGCTGAGGCTCTCTCTAAGCTCCTCTTTAGATTTTTTTTGCAACTTTGTTTTCGCATGGACTTGCTTTGGCTTGTTCATTGTAAATTTCTGTCATCAAAATCCTCTCAAGAAATGAGACAAATTAACCAAACATTTGGCTTATTTGGAAAAATCCTATTCTTGATCGTTGTTCTTACACATTCTTTTGGAAGCCATCTTTATGTTGGCTATGAGAAAGATTATGTATTTTTTGTTGGCGATCTAATTGGAGGGGTTTTAATAACATTCTACTGGGATAATTCCAAGTAAAATAGATTTAGAAAAAACTTTAAAATAACGTTATAAATATTTAGGATATGAGTTTCCTGCTTTCGTATTATAAATCCAGTTTCTAAAACGCCTGTTTGCATAGACTTGCAGTCGTGAATGAATTTAAAAACTTACATTTGGACTGCATATGCAAGAGTCAACAGTTTGGAGTGACGTTTGATATTCCAACTTTTGACTTCAATCCCCAAAGCTAGAGGTTGACCTATGTAAAAATTCTTCTTCTCTAAATTACGGATTTCATAGCAGAACTTGAGGATTTTTGTCAAAGTCCCTAGAGTGCGATTAGTTATACAGAATAGACTGTTTTAGCTATGCTCTTGTTCTAGGTGCGGATCCTTGTATAGTCCCTAGAGTGCGGATCCTTGTATAGTCTGGAGAGTATTTGTATGAATTCTGTTAACAAAGGGGAGGTAGGGAGGGAGGGGATCAAGGTTTCGGGTTGTTAAATTCGAGAAGGGTGGTCTGTTCTGGAAGCCATCATTTCAAAGTGTTCCGCTACTGGTTATGTTCGAAAATGAACTCAGTTGTCATGAATGCACTCTAAGTTTTTATTTTTATAGTTGAAAGAGGACATTTTGTTGTGGCATGTTAATTCTATCCATGATCTAATGTTTGCATGTTTTTGGAAGTTATAATCAGATGCAGTGGTATTCCCACTGTTGGCAGCACCGGACATACTTCCTGCCACAACTCCAGTCGGATACTTTTTTGAAAACATTGTATATATATTGTTTATGGATTTTTTATTCCCTTTCTTTTTTTAATTTTTTCATTATTTTTAAGCAATCATGGGAACCTTAAAGTGGCTAATTATTTGATTGTTGACAACCGGAGAGTTATGCAATACCGTTTTTGCAACTAATTTTTGATTTATGTTTCTTTAATTCAATGGGATGGTGCCTTCTCCTCACTTTTGTTCGAAATTTCTCATTTTTTATGTTTGATACTTTGATCCAGTTTATTGTATGTTCCTATCTCTATACACTTCTTAGATTCCTTTTTGATAAATGGAAGATCATAGTTTTGTGCTCTGTGAGTGTAGTGTGGATAAAATTTTAGCTGGATTCTTGTTTATGTAAATCTGTCTTTATTGCAGGAAATACATTCCCTTATAACATCTCTGAAGTTTACTGGCATTGAGATTAAGACAGCTCATTCATTGGAATCATGGAATGGAGGTGTTTTGGTGATGGTATCTGGTCTTGTGCAAACCAAAGAGTCCAGTGGGCGGCGGAGATTCGTGCAGACTTTTTTCCTTGCTCCCCAGGAAAAAGGATATTTTGTTCTGAATGATATGCTTCAACTTCAGGAGGAAGAACAACCACATCCAACTTTGTTAGGACATGATAACTTTGATGCGATAATTGATAATTCTGTTGCAATCACTGAACAAGGTATACTTTTCAATTTTCAAAACAACAGAATTAACGATCTGGATGGTGTTAAAAAGTTTACGATATTCTTTTTCTTTTTCTTGTTTGGCACTAGAACGTCATCTAATGTAAACTTTCACGAATGTAGGTACTAGTGAGATCAGATAATTATTTTATCTTCTCTTTAGGTTATCTGGCTAATCAGCATCCAATTACTCCTGCTTTTTGACAGAGTTGCAGTAACAATTTTCCTTTGTGACAAACGGCTGACATAAGTTGATACTATAGCAGTATTTCCTGTTGTGTTCATAAGAATAACTGCTGCTACGTTTTGGTTGGCATGCATGGTCAAAATGATCCCATGTTTATTGCATTTGCTCCAGCTGATTCCTTTTGTCATCATCAACCAGAGATGAATTTCATTTAGATTTAATTTCATTTATGCGTCATGGGATAACTAGAGTGACTGTTAGCATTTTTTCTAAAAGAACGTCTATCTCACATCTCACCTTCTGTGCTTAAAAAAGAAAAGAAAACATAAAAACCTTCTTGTCCTCTAAAGGACATTTCGGCAACTTCCATAAAGCCTTGGCTGTTCAGAAAGTCCGTGATGTATCTTGTTGTGACTATTGACGGTGGTGTTATGGTGACCTGCTGTACGAATCTGCACCCCTCTTTATTGAGCGAGACTCCTCATCCATATCTACAGATTGCTGGCACTATGATTTGAAAGGAATGGAAACAAAACAATCTGGGCAAGGTTTTGTGAAGATCGTTTCACTACAGTCGAACTATATATGATTTTTTTTTTTAAATCCCCATAAAATATCCACAAGGGATGACACATTTAATTAATTGATTCTTGAGAAGAGTAATAAAATGCGCACGTAATTAGTTTTCTCACTTTTCATGCAATTGACCTCGATACAATTTGGAGATTTAGAAGTGAAACTGTTAAAATGTTTGATCGATCTTTCTGCTAAAAGTTTCATATGTTTGCTGATCTTTCTACTGAAATGTTCCATGATTCTTACTTGACATTAGCTGAATGTGTGATATTGTAACTTGGCTTGTAGATATTTCTGACTCCACACCTGAAAGAGAAACTGAAGAGAATGACTCAGCAGTTCCTGTTAATTCTGAGGAAAGTGAGACTGTTGACAAGTATACTGTCCCTGAACCACAACATGTTCTAGAGGTTGATGACAGAGTTGAGGAAGAAATTCCAGTCGATGAACCTGTTGCTTCATTTGCAAGTACATTGAATTTGCGGGATCAACCTCCTAATGTGCCAGTCGACAAAGCTATCAGAGAACCACCAAAACATACTTATGCATCCATTGTATGTATCTGGTCATAAACTTGCATTTTTTTTTTTTTATGTCAATAACGTGCACTTGTTGATTTTTATGAATGAACATGATGGAAATGCCAGCTACGTGTTGCTAAAGCCCACTCTGGAGTTCCTGCACCCCAAACTACCGTAACCAGAAGTGCACCTGCACAGTCCGAGTTGCATCGTGCCCAACAGGTTACTTTGCGGCAGCCATCTTCTGGACCTGAGAGATCAAGCACTGAAGTGGAGGATACTGCAGTACTTGATGATGAAGGTAATTTCTTCTATTTTTGGTTTGTAGAAATAATGGTTGAAAAAAGGCCAAAGTCATTTTTTTTTGAATCAGAATGCGTTTGCTAGTTTGGTGTGTCTTCAGTTATGCTATTAAGCATTAGGCATCTGATGTTCATGGAGGCTGAAGACGGAATAGCAAGTTATTCAGCTCATTCTAGAATAAAAAAAAGGTTACTGTTGCTAATGGAGGCAAACATTCTTTTGTTCGGTGTTTAAACTTTAGATGACTGTGTGCATAATTGAACTTTTAGTAACATTCCAGGCAGACTTGAATGGCTTGTAGTAACACCCCCACCGCAGCACTGTAGTAGTCCCTCACTCCCCCACGTCTTCTTCCGGCTCCCTCATTCCTCTGGTCTGCCTCCCCTCTGAAACCCTGATACCAGCGCTTTTACAGCGTAGGGTTCCAATTGAACCCCCGAAAGAGCCAGGCCATGTTTTAGAGAAGGAAAATTGATTGACCCAGGCCATTCTCGACCCAAAACACAGCCTTGATATGGCAGCAGACGGGGCTCTGGCAAAACATAACAATTCTCAAACTCAACCATCCCAGATCTACACGGCGTTTTCTCCGGATTTGCTAAAAAATGTCCAGCCCAAAGCCACGGAGCACACTCAGAACTGTCTCAACCACTTGGCCAAACAACAAGTATAAACCTTTAGAAACAAGAATGAAATGGATTGTACCCACATCCATATTTTTTTTAATATGTTTTATTAGATATTTTATAGTTATAGATAGATATCTATATCTATATCTATATATATGTGTATATAGATAGACATATGAGGTTAAGGCTACGTTTTAGGATTTTTGCTGTAGTTGTTTAGCCTTTTTTTCATAGAAAATTAGCTTTGGATTATTTTCCGCCACCACTTTCCTTGTCTCTGTGTGTGTGAAATTTAATTATGTAATTAAGTGTTTTTTTCTCCGGGGCAGCTTGAAAGTTGGTCCCCATTAGGGTGCCTATGTATTGATTTGTCTTCTTTCCTTTTCCTTCTTGCCGCAACCCAGTGATCACCATCCTTGATAGCGTGTGTACTGCATTCCTTCTTCTTGTCCTCCTGGCTGACCTGAATGGAGGATCTTCTTGGGTCAGAGTCGTTTTCACCTGTTTAGGACAGCCAAACCACACCGTCGTGCTATTCATCTTTAGGGACATTTACCCCATTTTCGCTGTTTTAAATCCAGCTGAGGTGAAATCCGTCTACGTGAGGAACCTGCCCTCTTCCACTACGGCTTCGGATCTCGAAGAGGAGTTCAGGAATTTTGGTAGAATCAAACCAGACGGAGTACTTATCAAAACCCGGAAGGTTCTTGAAAACCTCTCTCTCTCTCCTCTCTCTCTCTCTCTCTCTCTCTTTCTCTCTCTCTCTCTTTATCTATCTATCTATCTATCTATCTATCTATCTCTCTCTCTCTCTCTATATATATATATATATCTGAGTTTTCAAGTGCAGTGTTCAATACTCCCACAATTGTCTAATGGATCTTTTCTTTTTTGGGTAGGATGCTGGCGTTTACTATGCATTTGTCGAGTTTGAGGATCTCCTTGGGGTTCAGAATGCCGTCAAGGTCTGTCATCTTAACGCTATCAGCTGTGCAAATGCCTCCTCTGTTAGCTCAAATTCGATGATTTATTTAACATGGGCATCGAGTAGGCTGCTACTTGTAAATTTGCCAGCTTTTGCTCGATTTAAGCCGTTCTTTTCTTGAATCGGAATATTTTTAACAAAATTAATCAGTGAAGAAATATCATACGTTGAGAGAACTAATCTTCTTCCTCGTCAATTGATCCCCACCCTCTCTTTCACTTGGAACCTAACATATCTAACGTTGATACTATTATTAGATAATATCTGCATTTAGTATGATTTCAAATCATCTTTCGTGAATCTAGATTATTTTATTTTATTTTTCCCCTTTCTCATGAGGTGTGATCTTCGTCCACTCTTCGCAGGCGTCTCCAATTCCTTTCGGCGGCCGGCAGATATACGTAGAGGAGCGGAGACCGGGGAGCCTCGCGGCTCGAGGAAGTAAGCGGCTCTCTTCCTGACTGCTTTTTCTTCAGTCCTCCCCTCTTCTAGTACAAGCTAAGGGTGGGGGGGCCCTACCCTGCTCAGCTTAGCTAGCAGTATCCCGCCCGCCCTCCAAGAACTCCTCCCTCTCCCCTTCTCTGGAGAAGGAACTAAAACCCATGGTGAGGTTTCTCCTTGTGGGCCCTTTCAATTTCCCTTCTAGGACGCTTTGACCAGGGATGTTGACCCGGGTGGGAATTTTTGGCTCCTTTTTAGTCCAACGAGCTCCAAAATGCCCGTTGTCAGAGAGACGGCCAGCCTTATCCCAGGCTCGGGCCTACAGAGAAGATCTTGTAGATAGGATCTGAACCAGCAGAGGAGGAGGTTGATTGTGTGATATGGGTATGGGCTTCCGGGCCGGGCTCTGTTGAAGCCCGGGCCCATTCGTCGATAATGCTGACTTGATTTGATTTCTTCTCCTGGATTGTGGGCAGGGAGGGGTAGAGGAGGCCGAGGGGGATACCAGGCGGAGGCCCCCCGGGGGAGGTTGGGCGGCGGCAGGTCCTTCGGCAGCGGCGGCGACCGGGGAGACTTCAACAGCGGAAGGCTGAGGGGCAACGGCTACAGCAGCGGTCAACGCCTACCCCGCCAAGACCGGGGCATTCTGGGCTCCTCCTAGGTTGGATGGACTGAAGATAGTTTTGACCCGGTTCTTTCTCCCTGTTTATTATGCCTCTCCCCGGCCTACTGCCTTGTGTTTCTTGGAGACGACGGAGAAGAGGAGTTTCCCCATCCTTTTCCTTTCTCTTTTGCCTTTTCTTTCTGGACGTTGTCTTGTTGACGTGGAGAAGAGGGAGGGATGAATGCGCATTCCTGCTTCTGTTGCCCTTTTTTGACTTTGCTGGTGTTAACGAAGATCGAGAGATAGATGTCTACTGGATGTCCTCCCTGGTTCTCTCTCTCTCTCTCTTCCTGCAAAACTTCTCACCGACAGAGGGAGTAGAGAGAGAGGAAGTGGGAAATAATAGAAGGGGTCTGTATAAGGTGGCGAGGACCGCGACAATATCAATTATTGTTAATAACAAGCCTACTAACAATCCGGACCACAAGGATCGAACTCCAGAGAATCTTTGCCCTCGATGTCTTTCATCGTGGTCTCCTCACATGCAGGCTCCTCCTCGCCCGCGGAGACCATAGATTGATTGATCGCCTTAGCAGGACAACGGCCGAGGATGGGCAGCGGAGGCCAGCGCGCCGAAGGGGACCTGCGCCCCGGCGAAGTACGCCTCCGATTTCGCGGCGTCCCCATCGTCGTCGTCTTCGTCTTCCTCCGCCTCCCAGAGGAAGCCGGCGTACGAGGCAAGAACATGGCTGCCGGAGAGGGGGAAACCAGATTAGCGACCAACCGTGGGGATTATGCAAGTGCAGAGGGAGTTGACGCAATGGGGAGGAGGGCGTACCTGTCCTGAGGTGCTGCTTGAACGGCCTGTTCGAAGTATCCGGACGCCCTCTCGCGGTCGTGGTGGAGCTCCCACATCAGCTTTGCGTATTGAGACAGGACCTCCCCGTCCCCAGGCTCTGCAAGCATCGCACGCGAGTAGTATTCCTCTGCGCGCTGCAGATCTCCCTTGGACTGGACGGCAGAATCAGAGGGTCAGGTCGGCCATCAGGGGAGGGATGAGTATCGGCGGGGCATGAAGATGATGAAGACGTATAGAGATGAGCTCAAAAAAGATCTGTGTAGAGAGAAATCATCGGAGAAGGGGAAAGGGGAGGAGGGGATGGAATCCATACCTTGTACAAGAACTGGGCGTAGTTCCTCAGAAGCAGGGAATTGCCCGGATCTTCCTCGACCATCTTTTTGTAATACGCCTCCATATCGGACTGGCTTCCGCTGCTGTCGACGAGGAGGGAACGCCCACCGGCGCCACCGCCGCCTCCGATTCCACCTCCACTATCCCCAATTCCGAGGATGAGGCCCGACGCTGTGTCTCCGAACTCCAACCCTAGCCCTCTGGCAAGAAACAGAGGAGAGACCCCGGGTTCCCCGCCGGTTTTCATCACCACCTTCCCTTTCTCGCCGGAAGAGAAGAATTCTCCCACGACGTTCCGGTGGGTGGTCGGAGATTCCTCGCTCATCTCCTCCTCGTCGAGTTCATCTTCCTCCTCCTCCACCACTGCTTCTCCGTATCTCCCGTCAAACCTCGAGCTGTACACGGAAAAGGAAGGGATAGTCTCGAGGACGGGTGGCGGCCGCCGGTGGGATTTGTTCGGCTGAGGGAGGTTGCTCGGGCGGCGATGCTCGTCGTGAAGATCGGCCACCGCCATCTCCTTCAGATTACCCTCGGACTGCACCCTGCGGAAGCCCACCGGGGCTCCGGGATGGGGCTCCGCCGGAGAGGCAGTGGGCGGGTTGGATAATTGGAGGGAGAAGCCGTGGAAGGACGAGGCGTTGAGGGGGTGGCTGTGGTTGTGGCCATGGTTGTGGGCGGCGCCGCCGTGGGGGAAGGAGAGCTTGCCATGAATGGTATCAGAGTGGGTCCTCTCCAGGGGATTGCAGCCGGTGCCATGGCCGGGGCTCTCAGAGAAATAGGGCGAGGAACATGAAGAGGATGCGAGAAGAGACCCGAGGATCGGCGTGGAAGAGCTCCTCAGCAACATCCTCGCTTCTTCTCTATCTCCCCCCTCCCTCTGACCTCTGGTTCTCCCCCTCTCTCTACTCCTCGGCAGCACCTCTCCTGTGGTTGAGGCGATCGGCGCGGCCAACCCGTTGATATCTAGCGGATTCGGTGCGGTAAACCTGCGGCACACAGAAGGAGAGTTAGACCCGCGCACCGCGACACCCAGCTGTCCATCCAATACGTCAGCCATCCGATCTCTCGCCAGATTTTTCCCTCCGTCCTAGACGTGGTCCACAGAATATTTTTCCTTTTTCTTATGGCTCGCTCTGTTTTTATTATAATTAAATAATAACTTCGGGAAATTATAGATCGTTGAAAATGCCACGTGTGAGGTGCCCACCACTTCGTTCGTCCAGCTATCCCTATTAGACAGCGACAGCTACAAAGGCGACTGACTGCCGCCATTAAATTAAATCGGCGGGAAAAAACAATCGTGGCCGATAATCATTTACAGAAAATATAAAATTACGAGAAAAATCCGCTCCCCGCCGGGGGAATCGGTTAAGCCGCCACCGACCGGCCGGAGAACCATCGCCCGCCGTCGGTGACCAGCGACCACTATAACGGAACCTCGCAGTTCCGCAGGAGCACCGGAACAACCGCTAGTGAGAGGGCCTCTGATAGACAGCTACGTGGGGGAGGTCAGACAGTTTAAGCTGGGGTCCACAGCCCACGGGCGTACTTGGCCTCTTACACTTTTACGCACCATCGTAAAAGGACAGGGACTCACGTACCGTGCATGCCGCGATGCGTCACATGGAGCAGGCACGTGTCGCCCACTTATGGTGGAACTGAACAGCGACCCCCCTCCCCCTTCCCGCCCACACGATGTTCGTGGGAAAAGCGAAACGAATAGGAGAAAGAACGCAGATCGAAGGGCGGAAAATCTGTTCCCAAATCACTAGCATTCTCAGGCCCCGAACTCTCTCGGATCGGCGATTTGGCAAGGAACAAAGCATCGGAGGAGAAACGCAGGCATACCTGAGGAGAGAGAGAATCCTTGGAGTAATGGCGAGAGATACCTGAAATCCTCAGATCCGTCTCTGTTTACGTATATATATATATACGCAAGGCGTTCGCTGCTTCCGGAGGGGCGGCGGAGGGAAGAGGAAGGGAGAAGGAAGGACAGCGGCTGGGGCCCCGCAGCAGCTCGACGGTGAAGAATGAAGACGTCCTTGGACCGCTCTACAGAGAGCCTCCGCCACGGGATCGGAGAATATGCCGTCAAGGGAGGACTGAGGAGGAGAGATTACGATTGGGAACCTTCCGCCGCCTTAAGAAGATGGCCGATCGGCTCTTTGCATCCGGCACGTGTACCGTGGCCAGAAATGGTTGGATTAGGCCCGCTTGGGTTGGGCAAGGAAAATGGCCCAGTGGGCTGTATCGCACTCTCTGGGAAGTCGAGCCCAGGACCGGCCATCGTACGGTTATGAAAGTCCCGAATAAAGCGAGCGTCATGGACGGTTGGAACGCGCGAGCTGACCTCAAACGAGCAATGCGCTTCGTACCACCGTCGAAAGCGGTGGCACAGCGGCAGCCTCGACGGCGGCGGCCTCGGCGCCGCAACGTCCCGAGCGCCGCCACCCGTGGCGGCGTCATTTGTGGGGGTGGCGTTGTTAAACTGGTCCGGCGGAGACTCTTTAACTTCCGATTATTCGAGATCACACCCCTCTAATCTGTACTTATATGATTAAATGATCAATAAATGATCTCTCTCTTTCTCTCTCTCTCTCTATCTGAGAGTGTCTGGGGAAGGACGATGTTCTCCGAATAACTCATTCCATCCCGTCGCAACAGAGAAAAGCGAAAAGAGAGGAAAGGGAGAGGGAGAGAGAACCCTAGATGGCGATCCCCAGAACCTCTCAGCTCTTCCGATCGCTAGCGGTGCTTCTGGCGGCGGCGGTGCTGGTCTTCGCCGTCGTGCCCGCCGTGACCCCCGCGGCGGAGCCGTACGATCTGGTCTACAAGGGCTGCGCTAATCAGAGCTTCCCTTCAGACGGGCTCGCCTACCCGCAGGCCCTGGCCGCCCTCTCCTCCGCCCTCGTCGCCAAATCCGCGGCCTCCATGTTCTACAAGACGACCACCGCCGGCGGCGGCGGCCAGCCGTCCCTCTTCGGGCTCTTCCAGTGCCGCGGCGACCTCAGCGCCGCCGACTGCGCCGCCTGCGTCGGCCGTATCCCCGCAATGTGGGGGAGCCTCTGCGGCCAGACCACCGCCGCACGGATCCAGCTCTCTGGATGCTACGGCCTCTACGAGATCTCCGGCTTTCCGCAGGTCTCCGGTACCAAGATGCTCTACAAGGAGTGCGGCCGCTCGGGCGGCGCCGGCGGCGGCTTCGAGGAGAAGAGGGACACGGCCTTTGCGAGCCTCGAGAGCGCGATGGCAGCCGGCAGCGCCGGGGGATTCTACGCCGCCGGCAATGGGAACCTGCGCGTGATGGCGCAGTGCGAGGGGGACCTCTCGGTCGCGGATTGCGCAGAGTGCGTGACGGAGTCGGTGCAGAAGGCGGAGGTGGAGTGCGGAGGGGCCAGCTCAGGGCGTATGTACCTCGACAAATGCTACCTCAGCTACGGCTCCTTCCCCGACGGCGGCGGCGGCGGCGGCGGAGGAGGAGAAGGAGGTGGTGGCGGAGCTTCAGGTACGCAGTCGGTGCGAAGGGTGGCCGACAGCTCATCCTCACGATTCGGGAGGTTCCGGTAGCTCCATTTCACTGCTTACTGCTGTGCGTGTTCTAGATTTTGGGCCGCGAACAAGTGGCCCTGTAGGGAGGCGAGGTCGAGCTTCCTCTGGAACGGGCCGATTTACCTCATCTCCTCCTCTTTTCCTTGTTTCTCCCTCCTATTCAGGGCATCAGACGGGGAAGACGGTGGCGATTGTGCTGGGCAGCGCCGCCGCAGTGGGCTTCCTCCTCGTCTGCTTGCTCTTCGTGAGGTCCCTGTATAAGAAGGATCGTAAGTACCCATCTCTCTCTCTCTCCCTCTCTCTGTGGCACCACGTGAAATCGATAACCGAAGCTTGTGCATGAGCAGATTACTGACGCTGTGGGAGAGACGGCGTCCTTGGCCTTCGCGTGAAGTTCAGTGGACGAAAACTGCAAACGCACAGAGAGAGAGAGAGAGAGAGAGAGAGAGAGAGAGAGAGGGGGGGGGGGGGGCTTTGATCTCTAATGTTGTGACACCAAGAAGCGAGACGAAGATGAAGCGGCTGGGGGTCTATTCTCTGTTCTTTCTCTCTCTCTCTAGGCTTTCTGCCGGGGACTTGGTCTACCGATGTACGCGGTCCGGAATCTATTATTCTGATGCCTGCTGAAACGAGAAGAGCGTAAATTTATGTGGGGGAAAGTCTCCCCGCTTACTCCCCTTTTCTGCCTGGAACTGAGCAAAGCTGCGACTTTCCAGATCGTCTGACCAAGCAAAGCTGTGGCCTTTATCAGTGGCGGCGCCGCAAAACATCTCTCCGCCCTTTTCCTTCCTTACGATAATGGGCCAATTTTTCTCGAGTTTCATTCCGCTTAACGGCCAACATTGGGAAGCCACATCAGAGAACCATATATCGGGCCCATTAGTGGGCCCACTTCAGGTTGCTTATGCCTGGAGAGTAAAGGTAAAGTCATAGGCGTGCGTGTCAAAGGGCCCAATAAGGAGGATGATATGAGGTCATAGGCGGGTCAAAGGGCCCAATAAGGAGGATGATATGAGGTCTTTGAGGGGCCCTCACTATGGGCACTTTTGGAAGTAGTATTGAGAGAGTTGGGGGAACTCTCAAATTTGACTCCGAACTAGTTTTAATGTTCCTTCAGAACCCTACCTTTCTTCTTTCCTCCTCATCTATTTCATTCTTTTCTTCTTTAGATTCTTGTGTGTTCTCTCTTCATTTTCTTCGATCTCAAGCCATTATCTTAGGAGTTCTATGAAATGGTATCAAAGTCATCTGGCCTAAAAATGATAGGAAATATGAGAGACTGGAGAAGAAGGTCAAAGTTTTGAAGGAGATGCTGAAGGTGGACTTGTTGTAGTTAAACCTCACTGGAGATCAAGTTGACGTAACTTGCACACTTAATGGCTTCTATATTTGCAATAGATGAGTAGTAGCCTAAAGTCACTGACAAGGCATGAAGAAGACACCATGACCGTATAAGGGCCACTAGAGAGATAATGAGGGAAGGAACTGGGACAACAGGCCGTCCCCATTAATAAGAGGACACACAACCTTAGAAAACCCAAGTGGAGAGCTCCTTTGAATGACCTAATTGTGAGCAATTAGGGTGGAGTCCAACTAGATATTCTTCTTTTCAGAGGGAGGAAACCTGGATAGTTAAATATTTAAGGTGGAAATGTGTATTGAAGTGTAAGAAATCAACAATAGAGATAAAATGAAGACTAAGTCGACTTATTTGGGTGAAGAAACTATCATGTGGTACAATTGGGTGAATACTAATGAGTCTTTCAAGGACTAATATGATGTTAAGTATCCCTTACAAAAGAGATTTGATTCATAATTACTATGAAAATTATGAGAACAATGATTGGATCTCAAATAATTTGGCACAATATTTGACCAATGGAAGGAATTTAAATTTTATTCAATGTAATTCATGTCATTTCAAATAAAACTTTCAAAAAGTACATGTTAAAGTAAATGGCTTAGAATTAGTGTTGAAGTAAAAATTTTCAAGCCCAAGGATCATAAAGTTATTGATACATCTCAAATTGTGGAGTAGAAAAATGCCATCCTCAAAATTATGACAGAGTAGAGGAGATATAAGATGAAGAAATCACTAATTTTTGGGTAATAGTTTTCAATAAATTCAAAGGAAGAGCCCAATGATCAAAAGTTTCTCTTAGATATGATGAGCCACCAGAAGGATGTACCACCACCTTGAGGGGCATCAAAATCAGTATGCACCTGACTTTTACTGAATTTGATTACAAGATAGGCAAGTAAATGGGATTATTTTTCATGTGATGAAAAATTTCAATCTTGACATATTTATAAGAGGAAATTACAATTGTTTCTAGTGCATGATGATGAATGTGACTTCGGAGAAGATGTTGAATAATGTATCCTAACTTAGATAGTTGATAAACACAATGATAATGAAGAAATTAATATTAAAAATTTCATCATTCACTCATTGGCCTATTATATTGGGTGCCATGAAGTTGAAGGAGAAGATCAAGGACAAAGATCTCATTATGCTAGTGGATTGCAAACTAATACATAACTTCACATCTTAATAGTTAATACATGAGTTAAGTTACCCTTTTCTACCACCACAAATTATGAGATCATCATGGGAATTGAGATAATAATTAGAGGGTAGGGAAAATGTAAAGAGGTTGTCTTGAAAGTGTAATGACTAAAAGGGATTGATGATTATTTATCCTTGCAATTAGATAATACTATCGTGATATTAAGGATGCAATGGTTGAAGGCCTTAGACTTCATGTGGGTGGATCGAAAATGACTCCAAATAAAATTTTCTACAAGATGTATAGTGGCCACCCTTACAGGTAACTCTCATTTTAGTAAGTGGGGTGTAACTCTTAAGTCAATAACTTGTCATTTCTGACAAGGAAAGAATTATTTGATGAGTTATGTTGACTAATAAAGGGAGTCATATAAACACCCCACACTATACTTCTATCAACATTGTAAAAGTTGACAAACACCTTCCTAAGGATCTTTGTCTCATGTGAGAGACTCTCACTTTACATAGAGATCAATCATCACATCACACTAGAGGTGGGTAAGGGCCATGTTATTATATGTCATTATCACTACTCACAAGAATCATTATCTCATGCCAACTTGATTATGTTGGCTAAAAATTAAAAAAAAAAATGACAACTAAATGTTTTGAGTTGATTAAAGAGGACCCAAAAAGATTACCATCTCAAATAGCTTTTTGATAACTATTGTTGATGTATTATTAAATGAGCTCCACAAAGCTACAATCTTTTTTAAGATAGATTTAAAATTCATTTACCATCAAATTTAAATGTATGAGGCTAATAATGTACATAAAATAACTTTAAAACATTAAATACAATATAAGTCCATGATAATGACTTTTAAGCTAAAAAAATACTTCAATCACATTTCAAGTCTTAATGAATTAGATTTTCAAACCATTCCTCAAGTCTATAATTTAGACTTCAAACCATTCCTCAAGTCTAAAAAAATACTTCAAACCATTTCAAGTCTATAATTTAGATGCATAACAATATGACTAAAATTTTACTCAAGTGTTCCAACTTCTTGATTAATATTAACTCCATGTCAATGTGAAAAATTATATATTTTATAACAAAAAATAAAAGATCTTACTTGTTAGATTTAACCAATGAAATGATGGTTGGTGATAACAAAATTGAAGTGATAGTTAGTTGACACACTCTCTCAAAAATTCATTAAAATTACACATGTTACCACCATCATTTTGTAACAAATTATAAGAGCATCACTTGACTACTCATGTAGTTGTTCAAGAAGGAGGTGTTCACATAGCATATAGAGGCATATAGAACATTTCAAGAGCTTAAACAAGTTATGACAATAGTACTAACATTGATGTTGTTTGATTTTTCTCATTTATTAGAATCCAAAATAAATATTTTAAGAGTAGGAGTGACAATATTTTTGTAGAATCATTAGTTGATGACTTATTTCAGTCAAGCTTTATCTTTCAAAAACATGCTAAAATCAATTAAGGAAAGAAAATTCATGAATATGGTATTGGAAATTTTCCAATAGAAATATTATCTTATGAGTTGTCCATTTATTATTTACATGGACTAAATTAATTGAAAACACCTTCTTGACTAGATACCAATAAGGCACCAAATCCTCTCTCAAAAATTTCGAACCTCTATTGTAATAGATATTAATTGTTATAATATCTTTTTTTATTACAACAAATTAGTTACCAAAATTAAAGGTGATGACATATTAACTAAGATTAAGGACTTGTCAAATAAATCAATTGAAGCCCTCAAATATAAGTTACATCGTGACCTTCTATTGTACAAAGAATGATAGGTTATCCTTAAGAAATTTGATATTATTTCAAATATTATCATAGCATGACTAGGAGATATTTAAGATTCTTGTATACCTATAGACATATAACTCATGAATTTTATTGATATAGTATGATAGACATAATGTAAAAGTATGTATAACATTGTCTATATTATCAACATAACAAGTATGAGATAAGTATTGTTGTGTTATGGATTCACTAAATAAGAGAAAAATATAATTTTGATGATTTTAGACATTAACTTGATTATCTTGACATTGATGGTATTTGATGTAGGTTGAATACAAAATTGATGTGGTAAATATATTAATGTTTAAATTATTTGGATAATGATTTAAGGTCTAGATTATATGGCTAAAATTATGTCATAGATATGGCTATTAGATGAGTTTGATATATAGACAATAAAAATTCTGTGTGTGGTAAAGATGGTATCATCTCACATGTAAGCCTTAATGTTTAAATTTTTTGTATCAAATGGCTTAAATAATATATTTTTATAAAATTTTCAGACCCTATTGCATCCTTATCCATGTGGGTGTCATTGTCTACAAGTTAAGTCTACAAAACCTCTTCTTAAATACATCTAGTTTTTCATATTTATTAATTGAATAAAGAAATTGGTGAAAATTCTTACATCTAACCCCTTACTCTCTTCATTGACAAAGATCTTTAACTCAACGATCATTTAATCCAAAGTGTTGTTGAGCACTCATTAAGACATCATAAACGTTGAGGTTCTTATTAATGAAAAGGCCTACCTAAATTTGAAATTACTTAGTAAGTGATATCAATCATTTACCATTAATTCCTTGACTTCTACCTTGTGGACAAGGTGGAACAAATAGAGAGGGAGGAAGGTATTGTTAAGATCCAAATTATCAAGCCTACTGGTAAGCTCACTACTATGGTTACTTTTGTTTAGAGAGGGAAGTTTAAGTCATAAGGGGGCCAAGGGGCTAAATAAAGAGAATGGTATAAAGTCTCCAAAGGACTCTCACTATGAGCACTTTTGAAAGTAGTCTTAAGAGAGTTGAGTCTGCTTTCAAATTCACCCTCAAATTGGTTCTAAGGTTCATTTGGAACCCTCCCCTACTCTATTTTTTTTTCTATTTAAATCTTTTATTACTTAATTTTTCTAATTTTTCCTTTTCATATAGAGTTTTGTGTGATCCATGCTGTACAAAACATTATTTCACACTTTTTTGCCACAGACCAAAGTCAATATTTTCATCAATTTTTACAACCTCACATTTCGTCATTGATACCTTTGAAAAATTGAGGAATAATACTAGTTTGACTCTAATACCAAATGTTGTGTCTAAAGAGGTTCTTCAATAAATTAGAGCACAAGAAAATTCTACTAAATTATAAATTGAACATCAAATATAAAATTTATGTGATCATGCAAATCACTAAGCACACCATGTATATATTAAATGTCACAAGCACAAAAGACTAATGCCAATAATTATTTCTTTATAGTAAGAAAGGTTTCTAAAGATATCAAGAACATCGATTCCCTCACAAGGGGAGGAAAGGAACTTCCTCCTTTTCTGCTATTGGACCCTTGTTTCTTGTCCACTGTCTTTCGGGTAGCCAATAATAACAGGGGAAACAATGAACATTTTGCACTTTATTTGAGCATAGAACTATTCCAATATGCAATAGTCTGTCAGTACACTCAAAAAAGCAAAGCATTTATTGAGTATATTGTGCACAGAGATGGAAGGACCAGTCACAAGAGAAATGAAAATCGATATCCATAAAGTTTCCAACTTAAAAGTTTCTAGAATACCATTGAATTGAAGTACTTACATGGGGCTTTGTGTGTCTTCTATGTCCACATACTGACAAGATGGAGTTGAGATATAAAAGAACCATGGCTTTTGTTTGACCCGCTGAATTTTTGAGTTGCGAGTGACTAGACGATTCACAAATTTGTAAACCTAGTTATGCCTTACCGATTTTTGATGAACGAAAATTCTCAACAAGCTATCAAGCATCACCACTATACTTGTACATTGCAAATAAAATGTTTGTAGTCTATCTGAAATAATCTTAGAAGCAAAGAGAAATAATATCAATAAGGGAGGGTTAAATACATCTAAAATATGTGGGCATGGACTCTTCAACACAAGAAAGAGGCTAATCAGATTCGGAGTCACCGATATCAACTTCCTCCATATTGCGAGAGTATATGTACATCGTTCTCTTTATCAAATACGGCAACATCCAGTTACCGAAATACAACGACAAGACGTCTCACATATGTTTTCTTCCCTCCGTTCTACAGACATTTGGTCTATCAACTGCGTTTGCGATTTGCCACAATCTGTACAACCTCATACACCGGTTCTATAGGAAGACAATGCGGTGGAACGATAAGACGATCCGCGAACAATAATGTGGCCTCAGAGTCCCATCTGGACGTTGTGAACGAGATGATATCGGACTTTTTGGAGCAACGCGCTGGCTTCCTCGTTTGCCGTATCGAGCAGACGGAGCTCCCTGATCTCCTCATCCCACTTCTCGATTTGCTCTCTGTGAATGCTGGGAAACGGAGGAAAGCAAGGTACGAAAATAGAGCAGGAAGCACGTTGACACTTTGCAGAGGACAGAGAAGTGGGGTGAAGGGGGGAGAGAGAGAGAGCAAACTCACGCGATCAGACGCTCCTCGAACTCCGTGCTGACGTTTTTGAACATTGCCTTCCCCGCTTCGAGCATCTCAGAGACCTAAAGGAAATGTAGACGCGTACAGAAACAAGCATATCGACCTTCTCAACAGAGGAGTTAATGAAATCAGAGGAGAAGATTCACAAGGAGGAGGATGATCCAACGGAGCCCCAAATTGTGACCTGCAGTGTAAAGTGCTCCATCTTCACAAAGATCTGGCTAATGCGCTCCATAATTTCCTCCGAGCAGGAAATCCTAGGCTGCGTCTCCTCCTCAACCTCGTCATCTACCACTCCTGAACTTCCTTCCTCTCCCGCCGCCATCTCCTGCCCCGCTGCCAAGCTCTCCTTGGAGAAACAACTGAAATATCAGCATCTGCAGTACTTCCGAATCCACAGCCATCAAGTAAGGAGCGGACACTCACCGGGATTTTCGCTCGCTTCTTCCTCCCGCTCTCCGTCCCTCCATCGACCATCGGGAAGCCGGAGCGATGACCAGAGAGGACGTTCGGCGATGGCGGGAGCAGTGGGGATGGTGGTTATGGCGGGAGGAACAGAAGCGGACCCAAAATTTAAAAAAGTGGGGTCGATCTGCACAAAAGAGATCCCCTGGAGTATTTATAAAGACAAAATAATCCTGTGGCCCCGCCGACAGTGCTTTTTCAACTCGCGTGCTTCGGATAAGATTTGGTGATCCTCAGGTGCAGTAAAATCGGCGTGAATTGATGCTCAAAGGGCGAGAAGAATGAAGGATCGCTCCCGATAACCGCATTTGAGCCGACCGGGTCGTGGTCGGGGGGAGGTCCGGACCCATCACCGTTGACCCATAAGCGTGGCGCCGTTGACTGAGTGGAGCGTACAGTAAGAGTTCTGCTCACCACCGAATTCTCAACACCCCTCCTACCCGAAGAACACTGTTCCTTATTCCCCAACACCCCCCGCCCCTCCCGATGTAAGGCTCCAACGGCGGAGAACCTTTTCCAAAAGCCGGCTATGGGCCGGCCGCTGGAAGCTCTGGAGCCCTGGGGAAGAGGCGGCGAGATTTACCGTCCCCAGCCGTGGAGGGCGGCCTCCGTCGCTGCCCTCCACCGGAAGCCACCGGCGCCGGCGGCGGGACGCCTTCTGGGGACTGCGATTCCTTTAGAGGAGAGTAGGGTGTGCCTGAGACGTCGCTGGCCCCACCATCTTCGTCTTTTAGTACCCTTTTGGGGGATTGATGGGCATTAGTTCCTCGGGCAGGAGCTGCCTTTGATTTGGAGAGGATGGTGCTTTCGCTGCCTGCCCTTATCTCTCTCTGGGTTCTCTCCCCGAGGAGCACGATAACGTCTTGTGATATTTCTGGCGGGGTGAGCCGGGAGACGGAAGGAAGCGTATGATGTGACCGCCGCGGGTATATCCAAGAAAAACCCAACATTTTCCGTGGAGTGACCAGCGTTGTCCCGCCACGTAGGCAGTTCAACAGAATGGTCGAGATCCGCGAAGAACGTCAGCTACGAACGGTCCAGCACAGCGTCCGACAGGGATCCACTGCCGACTCGTGGAATTGGCGATGAAGTCGACGTGGAATTTCCGCCTACGTGGCCTCGTTCTAGACCCGCATCAGTGAGCCAGGCTGGCGGGGGGATCTGGGGCCCACCTTGAACGTCGCCCTCATGACCCCGCTAAAGCCGCGCCCCTGTCTGACGGCGCAAGGTCTGAACCCAAACGGCCGGGGCGAGTCACCGTTAGGGAGGGCGCAGCCCTCTCACGTGTCCAGTCCCAAATTAGAAGGCTCTATATATAACCGAATACCCGACCCGCGTGTTCTTGAAACCTCTCTCCTCTCTCTCACAGAGACACACACAGGCACACACTCTCTCTCTATATATCTTTCTCTACCCTCTATATATACGCGATGGAGCACATCGGTTTAGTTAGTTGAGCTTTTCCCCATTTTCTCTGCTTCCTCTGTTGCCGAGAGAAGGAAAGAAGGAGAAATCATGAGGTGAATTGGCTCTTCTTCCTCGTCCCCACCGGGGTTGAATCAGTTCTTCCCAGGTTGGAATCATCGCGGTGTTCTTTGCCTCACCGTTCAGTTTCCGCCTCTGCAGATCAGGAGACGAGAAGGAAGGCGAGTCAAGAAGAAGCAGGATGTTGCAGGACGTGGTAAACTTGCCGGAGCAGCTTCCCACGGTAACATCTCCAATCTCTTCATGTTCCTTGAATCGTCTGTCGCCATTTGGTAATTCATCTGCGGGAACCGAAATCTCTCTTCGATCACTCCGCAACACTGGCTCACGAGTCCTTCCCGCCTCTCTCGCGTTCATGTCTCTCCAACCTGTGCCTGGATTCAACACCTCTCCGTTTTCTTCTCCCCTCCCCCACCACACCCGGCGTCAATCCCGTGCTCCGTGTCGGAAGCTATTCTCCGAGCTTCGGTCAACAAAGAAATCCGCATCGCCATTTCTCCCCCCTTGTGCACGGTCGGAAAGTCTTGGTGATTTCCGCGTGCTTCGCGGTTTTCGGACGAGGAGACCCACCTCGTAAGATAGTCGTCCTCCTTCTCGGCCCGCGGCCTTCTGTTTCTCCGATGCCTTCGTAGCTTTCTATCATACAGAAAGCCACGTGTCTCCGAATTCCATAGATCGTACGACAGATGCTAAAATAAGCACTAAATCCATGCATCTCCCCTTTAATTATTTAATATCTTCCACACTACTCCTTGTGGCTAGTTTCTCCGACGAGTTCCTTCCCTTCCCTTCCCTTCCCTTCTCACACCATGCTCATCGAGGCAGACGACCCTCCACGGGAGTGGGCACGTAGATGCCGTGGTCTGAGGCTAAGGACGATGGATTCCGATCGGCGCTCCATCTCCTCTAGCGTCTCCCCGACTCTTCCCTCAGAAGCTGCCCAATACACGCTACGCTCTCCCCTCCCGCGACGATATGTCCCCGTCGTGACAGTGAAAACCCCATCGAAGAGAATTTTAGCTTCTCCTCTCCGGGCCAGAAGAATATAATGTGATCTTCGTGAGAGATGGCCTCCGTTGCTGCGGCCTTTATCGTGGATTCTGCCGAAGATAGAAGGGAGGAACAGTGAATTGGTAAAGGCGTTCCAGATTTGATAGCTTTGATCAGTTGGTCTCTCGAGTTGAAAAGGATGGGTTTCTCCTGAAGGCTGAGGAAAGCCCAAGCATGATCTCACTGCACAGTGGCTTCCCCCAGTTGCAGCCATTTGCCTGGGCAATGGCTCATCTCATGTCACAGTCGGGAGTTGGTCATGTGACAATTGCACCACCAAGTCGAAAGAAGATAGGAGGAGGTCAACCCGATAGTTGATCTTTGCTTCCGGTGGTCAACAGGAGATGATGAAGTGACCTCCCGGCCGTTCACCTTACTGTCGTCTTCGTCGTCACGTTGCGACATATGTCTGTGGTTTCTACTGACATTTCCCTTCGTCTCTTGGATCTCCGACAGGAGGAGGGAATCTCCAGCCCCATCGCCGCCCAGATTCTCAGCTTCTGCGACGAGGGCGACTTGTTCTCCGAGACCCTGAGGAATTCCGAGGTCTCTTCCTGCTCGGGCGGCGGCGGCAGCGGCAGCGGCAGCGCCGGCGCCGGAAGCGTCGGTGGAGACATCTGCTGCTACGACGACGGTTCCCTCCCTTCAGAATTCCCCCCATTCTCCTCCATCGACCCTTCCGCCCTCTCCGCGATTCTAGACCCGCAGACGCAGCCCGAACCAGGGCCAGACGTTATTCTCGCTTCCAGCTACCCGCCATTGCAGCGGGCGCCGCTTCCTCCGAGGGCCCTCTTCCCCAGCCAGTCCTACCTCTCCAACCCGCAGGGCCACTTCGACCCCTCGTCGATGGCGGAGATCGCCGCCCCCATCGGCAGCTATTCCTCGTACCCCGATTCTATCCTCCCACTCTCCGGCGTCCCGCTGCCACTGGGTCCGACGTGTCTGCCTTCCGTCTTCGACGACGACGGCGGTTTGCTCCCATTATCTGGCTATATGGGCCTGGACTCATCGCCAGCGTCCACGTCCTGCTCCTTCATAGACACTTCCATCGGAGGAGCCTTCTACCCCGGCAGCATTGGCGTAGATCGGCCGGCGTTCTATCCACAGGGCATTGTGGCGAGCCAACAGTCGGGTCAGGAGGCGGTGGTGGAGTACCAGGGAGAGACCGTCGGTGGCTGCGGAGGGATGGGGTTCTACGTCCCCGATGGCACTCCCAACCAACGAATTTTCTGCAGCCCAGGAGAATCACAGCAGGTAAATCTGATACCTTCTTAATATGCCAGTATTCTCACAGATTCATGTCACCAACCTGTTGTCTCTCATTGTTGATGAGAGACAACAGGTCTTCGGAGATATTGATGATTTCCTTTGTTTCCCTCCTCCCAGAAGCTCTTCGGGGATAGCCACCCCCTGGTGGGCGGGTGCGCCAGTCCCACGCCGCTGGCTTCCGACATGGCGTCCCTCAACGAGTCCAGCTTCAAGGTCGGGCGCCTCTCCATCGAAGAAAGACAAGAGAAGATCAATAGATACATGAAGAAGAGGAACGAGAGGAATTTCAGCAAGAAGATCAAGGTTCGGGCCCCTCTCTCTCTCTCTCTCTCTCTCTCTCTCTCTCCCTATCCAAACTCCTGCCACCTTTCTATATCTCTCTCTTTCTATCTCATGGTCCGGGCTCATAGTCTGTTTCTTCGGGCCCGAGCTCGGAGCCTCTGAACTAAGAAACCATGTTTTCCCTCCCACATGCACTGACGAAAAGAGCTTCCAGTATGCATGCAGGAAGACCCTGGCGGACAGCCGGCCCCGCGTCCGGGGGAGATTCGCGAAGAACGACGAGTTTGGGGAGGCGACGAAGGCCGGCTCCAGCAACCAAGAAGAAGACGACGAGGAAGAGGTAAGCTCCCCCTCTCCGTCCCCGCCCTCTCCAGCAAACTCTTAGGGCACTTCTACTCCGGCAGGCGGCGATGAAGGAAGAGTACGACACGATGGACTCTTCCGAGTTATTTGCCCACCTCGGCGGCATGAATTCGTTCAAGTGCAACTACACCCTCGAATCATGGATATGACCGGGCTCTACGCACGTCTCCGCGAATGCAATAAGATGGCCGGCGCGCAGGCCAATACCTTGTATGAGTCGCTCGGCCAGGAGCTCCCCAATTTTCCTTCCTCTTCTGGAGGGCGTTTTACGTCGCTTAACGGTGTTGATTCCGTTCTTGCTCTTCTCACGGGGGACGAAACTACACGAAGATGGTAATATCTCTCCGATGACGGGACGTCGGCGACCGCTGGTGGTCGCCGGAAGTTCTCCCGGCTGTTCTCAAGGGAACCGGAGGCGACGGCGGGTGCAACAAGGAAGAACTTGTTCTCGGACAAGCGAGGCCAGATAGACAGAAGAACAAGCTTCTGAAAAGTTGGAACCGTGTTCTTCTCCCTCCGTTGACTTCATTCCGATTGCTAGGTGCCCCCCCCCATCACTCTCTCTCTCTCTCTCTCGCTAGAGTTATTATCTGTTCTCGGGTGCAGTGATTACTGCAGACCCCCCAAAAATTCTGCACTCGAATGTCTGCTGATCACACGGAACGATGAGGGAAAGAGGGCCGTCCTTAACGTAGGTGTGAGACTGTTGTCTTTCGGAATGGTGGGGTAGTGGAGATCTGGAGGAAAGGATACGTTTAGGAGAGGGACGGGGAGAGAGAGAGAAGATGAGAGAGGGAATGTGAGTCAACGGGAGGACTGAATGTTGACTTGGGCGTCCATTCAGAAGGGTTCCTCCGGGAGTGGAGAGAAATGCTGTCGGGTAATTGCTGCTTTTGGGAGATTCCCGCTCGTGGGTGAAACAGTTGACTGCTGAGGTCGATCTTCGTGGAGCCGCCAACTGTTTTGGGCTTTTAATGGACTTAAACTCCCCGGTGAATATTATTGGGCCTTATTCCTGGAAGCCCAAGGCGACCGCATGGCTTTATATAATTAATGTACATACGAGGATTTATGAGTTGATTTTATTTAAAAGGGGGTATTTTACCGCTTTCTATCGGATCCCATCTAATAATGGGTACTGTGATATCGTCAGAGTATCCTCTTTCCAAAGGAGACGTTACAGAGGCGTCCCGCGACGTGCGAGTTTCATGGATGTTGCACTCATTCGCGGAGCAGCGTTGTTAGATGTCTTCGCGTGGAAATTTACCGATTATCTGGCATCGGACGGCTATAACAATGGCGACGACGATGCCGCAGGGAAGGCGCAATGCAAACCGAGATAACACCTCACACCGAAATCGTTACCAGCTTGCCTCAATTCGTACTACTGCTCCCTCACTCCCTCTCTCCCTCTTCGCTTGTAGTTCTGCTCCCGCTCCCTGTTCTCTCTCTTTCTCTCTCTCTCTCTCTCGCTCCCTCGTCTCTTCTTCTTCTTGTTCCCAGTTGTCTCCTCTCTTTCTACCCGCAACGGAGAGAGCGGAGGGGGAGAGTGGGAGCGGCAATTACATTCTCTTTTGACGGCTCCTTAGGCTTCTTGTCACCATGAACCGTAAAAACCTTCCTCCTCTTTAGGGCTTGCTTCTGGATAAGAAACGACGTTTTTCTGCTCTGTTTGACGCTTTCGTACGACGTCGGTGGGGATATTCGGCTAGTTTTTCTTCTTTACATTGGTGCATTTTCCTAGTTCATCTCTCCAGGCCATGCATGGTCTGTTTCCTATCGTCTGGCGTGTTATTGGTCTTCAAATCGGAACTACTCGGCTTGCTCGATTCCAATGACGAAATAGCTTCTTTTTTTGGTCCTTCTTCACCGCCGGCGATTATATTATCATTCGACGTTTCTCTTTTAGCTTCGTCTCTTCCATTTTTCGTGGAATGGCAGAAGACAACGCATAGACTGGGGTCTGCCATTCCTTCCGCATACCGGTTAGGCGATTTTTTTCCTTCACATTTTTATTACTTTCTATCTTCAAGTCAAACATGTATCCACCATTTGTCCCCCTTCTCTTATTAGGATTTTGTATATGTTTTTTTTGCTTTATTTTAATACGTTTCTTTCACTAATTTTTTTGATTTATTTTGCATCGATATATTTCAGGGAGGAGGTTGATCAAGGTGTAAAAATAATGGGGTCGAGAGCGGAAAGAGGGAAAAGGGCCATGGAGGCAATGAGGAGCATGGGATTTCCGAGTAGTAGAACAAAATCCGTACTGAAGAGACTTCTAAACGCGTGCGAAAACAATTGGGAGCATATTGAAGCTGAAAACTACTGGCTGCTCGTTGAGGCTATACTCGAGGAGGATGAACCTGAGGTGCAGTTCTTATTGCTTTTCCTTCATGCTGAGATTATCTTATTCCTCTCCCAAAATCAAATTCTTTTTTTGGTAGGCAAAGGATCCAAACGGGACGAATAAGAACTGTGAATATGTAAGGAACTTGATCTGTCCTCTGTGTGTAACTTTTACCAAATCGCCGAGATTTACCTCGTGAATGACCATTCTTTGTATTATTTACCTGCATTGGTGTGCTGGGAGCAGGATATGGATGGTAAGCAGAGAGAAGCAATGGTGAGTGAAGAGCCTGAATCCCGTAGAAAGAGACTGAGGAAAGGACAGGACGACCAGCATGCATCATCACCTTCAGTGCCAAGTGCACATATTTCATTGCTGAAAAAACAAAAGGTGGAGATCGATGATGGGTTACCAATGAGTTTTCCCTCCGAGAAGAACCTTTTAGCTCGAAGTAATAATAGAGAAAGGACTAGGCCCAAAATAGGAAGGGAGCATATGTTAGCTGATACTTCCCTCCAGCAAGAAAACATCGAGCATGTGGGACATTATCCTGACCTCCAGAGAAAGTCAGTTGCTGTTGTTGCAACCCGAATAGACCCCCCCATTCAGAGGCCCCAGGAATGGTCACTTGTTCATAGATCACCTGAAAAAGTTGAAAAGACTCTATGTCTGAGAGAGCCAAAGATTGAACCTGATCTTTATCCCATGCTTGGAGGAGATGCGCAGATGGACAACAATGATCCAATCACCTGTGAGCCTCCGTGTGTTGAATTACCAATTTCAGTTGTCCACCCACTACTTGCAGCAAAAGGTACATGTGATTGTTCTACCATTTCGTTGTATGTTTCCTGATTTCGGACAAGTAGAGCCGCATCTGAAGTAAATTGATCTTTAATGTTCCACACTTTGTGCGAAGCGTCAATTTATTTTTCGTGTGCCTGCTGCTGGTATCTTGAGTACACCTAAATGTTAGTCAAACGTCATGCCATCGAATTAAATGCACTGTTTGTGGATGTTAATGGACCGTAAGGCTTCTCCAAGACACAAGTCACCTGAAAATATGCTTGACCATGTCAATGCGCGATTGTCTCTGTATAATATTTTATCCTTCCTTTTACAGCAGTCAGAGTCCATGCTGTAGTATGTTCTTGGCCGAATCGTGTTTAGCATAGACTCAATTGGTCTTTATGTTTCCCACAGTCTTGTGAAACCTATGCTTTAATAAATTATTATTGATGTAGCTTTCATTTGGTCCAGAGCAATCATCAAGTTCTTCGAAGGCCCACTGTCAAATGCCTTCTTCAATCACGGAGCCTGCTATCTTAACCGCTCAAAATGTTAATGAAGATAATGACCTTACTCGCATCAGAAACAAGGGTGGAACAAATGTCGAGATTACGAATGTTGTAGAATCTACTAATAATATCGAGATAGCATCGTCAACCATTGGTGAAAAGAAGGTTTCATTGCTGTACAATGTTGCTGGTTTTCCAGATTTCCATATGCCCAGCTTTGAATCAGTTCTGAAGAGAGTTGAAGACAGATGCCTAAGATCATACAGGATTCTTGACCCCCGTTTCTCTCTCATGAACATAATGAAGGAAGTTTGCAAATCAGTACTGGAGTTGGGAACTGACTTGGCTGCAGATAAGCAGGAAGACCCCATAAGGATAATTCCGTCATTGGATTCACTGAAAGCATCGGGCATTAAAATTTTTTCAGGTGGTGCATCTTCTCGCAATTTTACTGGCTTCCAATCCATCAATGCCCCTTTTTCCATGGTTAATAATGAACTTAGGTGTAGTGAAGACTACAGGCATAAAGGAAAAGCCATAGAGGACACTAGCCACGCCGTGAAGAGAAATGGAAACGACACTTCAGGGTCCTCCAGTGAATTGGCTTTGGTATGCCAGCATGAACCAGCATTGGGCAGTGTCCGACCAGTTCATGATATCAGTGACATCAGTAAGGGTGAAGAAAGAGTCAGGATACCCATAGTCAATGAATTCTCTAGCGAACGATGGCCTCCCCATTTCAGCTACATTCCACACAGCATCGTCTACCAAAATGCTTATCTTAACTTCTCCCTTGCACGAATAGGTGATGAGGATTATTGTTCTGATTGTTTTGGTGACTGTTTGTCAGCCTCAATACCTTGCGCTTGTGCACGTGAAACTGGTGGTGAATTCGCCTACACACCAGATGGTCTACTCAAGAAAGAGTTCTTGGATGAATGTATCTCTGTGCGCCATGATCCACCAAAGCACCGCCTGGTTTATTGCAAAGATTGCCCACTTGAGAGGTCAAAGAATGATGTGAATCCTGATGACTGTAAGGGTCATCTTGTAAGAAAATTTATCAAGGAGTGCTGGAGCAAGTGTGGATGTAACAAGCAATGTGGTAATCGAGTGGTTCAACAAGGCATAGCATGCAACTTGCAGGTGCAGCTTCTCTTCCGGTTGTTGTGCAGCACACATCATTTCATGGGTTGGCTAATTGTTCTTAAGAGTATCTATCTTGATGTCTATTTTTAGGTCTTCTGGACACCAAAGGGGAAAGGTTGGGGTTTGAGAACCACCGATGATTTACCCAGAGGGGCATTTATCTGCGAATATGTTGGTGAAGTACTGACGAACATGGAACTCTATGATCGCACTCTAAAGACGACAGCGAACTCAAGACACACATATCCTGTCCTACTCGACGCTGATTGGGGTTCAGAAGGGGTGTTGAAGGATGAAGAAGCTCTCTGTCTGGATGGAACCTTTTATGGAAATGTCGCAAGGTTTATCAACCACAGGTATTTCTTTTACCGTAGTATTATTTCCGGAATATGATAGTTAATGACTTCTATGGAAATGTGCATTCTTCACACTTTCAATCATTCATTTGATAGAATTATTTTCCCCATACTAATTCTTTCGTCGGCCCTTCTGGAATCAAGATCTGAACGTGTTCCTCAAGTAGACACGACCTGAAGCCTCCTTTTCTTTTTGCAGCATCTTTGACTTTTTTGGTACATTCTTGTCTGAAATTGTTTACCTGTGTATCATAGGGTATTCATACCCTGTACTTTGAAGGTCATCTTTGGAAATTATCATCTAGACTATTAATTTATGGATAATGAAGGGACGACTGAATATGTTTAGTAGAGCCCTGGTTTCTAGGCGTGGGCTAGGGCGAGAAATCCTAATCCTCCACTTACCTGATAACTCTGTCAATGAAATCTTGAATGTCACCCTAATTTGCCTTGACATTCTCTCCTATTCGTTTTTCGCCAAGCAGCTCAAAGGGTGTGGTAACACAAGCTGAAATAATAAAAGATTAAATCTGGGGAAAGTTATACGAATGATATTTTTGAGGACTGTGATATTAAGTTAAATAAAATAAAAAAGAACAGAAAAGCGCAGGTAATAGAAGAAAGAAAGCTGAGAAGAAACATGATGCAGGAGCAGCTGAGATTTGATTATAATTCATACCAATTGCAATGTGGGGAAGGATATATACCGTCAAAATCTTATTCAGTGTGTGATTTCGACTTGAATTGTCTTCCTTTTAGACTAAATCTTCCTATGGAGAGCTTGCCTTCCAGTTGGGAATCCCAATTAAATATAGCTATAATGTTCGGATATGATTGGTTGTTGTTACCTGAGCAGACCTACGATGGATGGCCTTCTATTCATAGAATTTGTGACAGCGGTTCAATCATTGTGGCAGATGTTTTGATGCCAACCTGGTGGAGGTTCCGGTTGAAGTGGAGACACCTGATCGTCATTACTATCACGTACGGGAATTTATTAAATCTGCTTTAAATTATTAATTGTTTATTTTTATTCGATCTTCGCAGGTATCAATATTTTGTTTCTATTTTTTCTCTTGTAGATTGCATTTTTTACGGCAAGAAAAATAGAAGCTTTTGAAGAACTTACATGGGTAAGCGTCTTCATGATTAACGTGGGCATGCTCTTGATGAACCAAGGAGAGCCAGGAAAACCCATAAAATAGTTATCAGAGACAGCTTATATTTCAGCAGTTTCTTTTTTTTTTTTTTTTTTTTTTGTGTAGGGCTGATCCCAGGCTTTTTATGTAATATCTTCCGATATTAGATGCATATTCGTGTCTGCAAATAGAAATATAATATAGTTCTAAAGTTGCATATTTTATATCGATGATTTAAACGCGTTGTTGTTTATCGAAGTAATTACTTCTCATTATTGTCGTCTTTTCATTTTTAGTTTATATCCATATTAAGGTTAATGAGAGACTTCCTCTGCAATTCTAGGAATTTTTTTTAATTTTTTTTTCATATAAAAGGTCAGTGTCACTGTTATCGAATTCATCAGACTTTTCTTCTGAGCACCTGCCTTGCCCTGCAGGACTACGGGATTGACTTCGATGATCACGAGCATCCAATCAAGGCCTTTCGATGTCTCTGCGGCAGCAGAGGATGCAGGGATCGGCCTTGTTCGAGCAGTAAGATAATCATGGTCTACGACTTTGACCAAGAAACCCTCTTCTGGTCTTGGCTGCTTACCTTTTTTTTCCCTCTTTTGGCAGGAAGACATTCAGGTCCTAGCTGAAAATGGTAACGTGGGCAAGTCTTCTTGTCGAAAACTATCAATTTTTTGAGAGGTCGGTCAGCCGGTTCTTGTAGAAATCAGCTGGTTTTTGGGAGCTCACATCTTTTTGAGGAAGAACACGTTAATCTTTCCATACTTTTACTGATCTTGAGCTGAATGAGCTCCCGAGTTGACTCTTTAGCTCCCAATTAAGGTCGGCAAGAAAAGGGTGGCAAAAAAAAAAAGAACTACAGTGGAACAAAGCAGTTGACCTCAGCCGAGGAAGAGGCTGGGGAGACGAGACGAACACACACTAGGAATCCTTCAGACCGATTTCAAAACTCCAACACTTTCACGCGTATTCAGTGCGATAAGTAACTGCAGCTGGCCGAAAACCTCCCCCCCTTTACCGTCAGAATTCTACATCAGACAATGGCATTGGCAGCGCTCGCAATCCTGGGCCACAGATCCGCACACTCTTTCCCAATTGGGCCCGTGATAGCTGACCCTGTAAATCATCCGATTAAGTTTCATCAGCCTTAGCAATGCATAAGCTCTCTCTCTGTCTCTCTCTGTCTCTCTCTCTCTCTCTCTGTAAATCATCCCTTGCATATAAATTGGAGGGTCTCAGGCTGAGATGACTGTATGGAACGAGGGCAGGGATGGAAACGACGACCACAACAACGCATGAATGATCCGAAGAAGCATACCTTTCATTTCTCCTTTAGGGTTGACGATCACCCCGGCATTATCTGCATGATTTGAGAAAATGGTCGAAAAATGAGAATTCATGAATCAGGAGGGAGGGAGAAAGACAATAAGGGTTAGGAGAGGGAGAAGATATTTACTAGATGGTTTGATATCTCTCTCATGTAAAAACATAAAATCACTGCAAGGGATGGTCCAATTATATCGCACATGAACATACCAATGCATGATCATGCCCGATCATATCAAAAATTCTTTATCAAACAGGAAGACATTCGAGGTGGAGGGGGGGCACCAATTGGATCACAATTTTCAGCGGAAGAAGCAGAGGCCGAGTAAAGTACCTTCGAAGTACATGAAGACGCCATCCTTTCTACGCCACGGCTTCCTTTGCCTGACAATGACGGCAGGCATGACCTTCTTCCTCAGATCAGGTTTCCCTTTCTTCACAGTGGCCATCACCATATCCCCAACGCAGGCCGAAGGGAGCCGGTTCAGGCGGCCCTTGATCCCCTTCACCGAGATGATGTACAGATTTTTCGCCCCGGTGTTGTCGGCACAGTTCACGGTGGCTGCCACTGGGAGACCCAGCGACATTCGGAATTTGTTCCCCGCGGAACCTCCGCGACCTAAAAGGGACGACGAAGAAGCAGAGATCGAGTGCCAAATCAATCAAAAGGAAAAACAAGACCAGCTGGTAGAAAGAAAGAGGGTGAATCCCAAACACACACGAATCCGCACATCCAAGACATGATTGAGTCTGTGCCATCCGCCGTAGAAGAGACATATCTAACCGCTACCATCAGAAATGCACAAGAATGGCGACTGATAGAAAGCCATGCATGACCTCGAACAAACGAAAATCAAAATGTAGGCAAACGCCTAATGAGCGGAAATCACATCGGTGGAGAGCTTCCTCCGCTCAGCCACGCTTCCCAACACAGACGCGATTAAATCCCAGCATTTGCCCTCAATAGCGACATCGGGAGGTGACTCCTAAACAGCTCCTCCGGCACATAAATAAAAAAAGACAGGGATCATCGAAGAGTGCGAGGAGAAGGAACAATCATACCTCGCTTCGACATGCTGCCGAGCTCTCAACCTGTCTCCTCCGACGGTGCAGCCCTAACAGAGCTCCACCTCCGCAAAGGTTTTCAGATTTATACACCACCCGCTGGTGGCTAGGGTTTCTGGTCCTTCGAAAATATTCCCCAATGAAGTGACAGAATTACGTGCATGACCCCAAGACATTATTAAACGGACTAGTGCCCCCATATCTCTCAACGACGGCCCAATATCATGTTGTTGGGCCAATACGGGAAAATGGGCCCAAATGGTTTCAAGAGGACGGCAAGGTGCCATGGAAATATGATGATTGTATTATTTTTTTCACAGGGCTTTATTGATTATTTACAATTTTCAGGAAACCGGGCTGAACCCGGTCCACTAGCCCATCTTGTAGGCGGCGGCCCGCCGCTCCTCACAGTACTCGAACAAGCTCCCGTCGAAGCAGCGCCTGACGGCTTCCTTGGGCAAGAAGCCGTCGGGATCCCTCGCCAGCAGATACAGGACCCCCCACTCCAGCTTACTCGCCACCCTGAGAGAACACGAGGCCCCTAAAAGAACTCAGACATTGGCCAGGCCCAACATAACACGAAGCCCAAAGTCGGCCCGTTAATGGCGGAGCTCCTCCTCACCAGCCGAAAAAGTCCCAGGTGTTGCGGTTGCCCTCCGTCATGCTCCAGAGCTCCGCCAGCGTGAGCTTATCCGGCGCCGTCCTCGCGTACTTGCTGAAGATACTCTCGAAGTTGACCGGCAAGAACCTGAAACCGCCGCCGGCTTGGCCATCTGTCAACCCACAGAGAGAGAGAGAGAGAGAGAGAGAGAGAGAGAGAGAGAGAGAGAAATAGAGTTGCACCTCCCCTCCGTGTCGTAACTCGCTGAGTCGCTACCGTGCTTGCCCCTGTGAACGTTGCTGATATAGATCGGGAGCAACGGGGAGGGAATCCAGCCCTGGCCAGGTCCACGATAAGCCACAAACCGATCTCTATCGATATATCTTATATTTATGGGAAGGGAGGACTCACGGGTAGGGTGGAGTAGCTCATGGTGGCGTTGACGAAAACCGCGATGAGCAGGGAGAGAACCGGGTTGAATCCAATGGCCCGCGACCCTGAAAGTCAACGGTCACGGCGCGGCCAGCTGGAGCAGGAGAAAGCCAAAGCTCCACGAGGGTTACTACCTTCGTACGTCTCCCAAGGGTAGATGATGCCGTTGCCATCGCGATCGAAGAAGGCGACGTGCTGCTGGAGGACGCTCCGGTTGCAGTGCCTGTGGTGGTCAACGGTGCCTTCCGGGTGGGCGGTGCCCGACGCCACCAGCGCTCTGGCCAGATCTGGACGCCTCGAAGAGAGGAAGAGGAGCTCAGCGGCGCCGCCAGTCAACGGCGGAGCTCTATGTTAAAACCCTCTTTCTGTCATACCTTCATAAGCCACATGGGGAGAGACTTACAGGGCTTGGGGAGCGAGGGCTCAAGGTCCCCCTTGACCCGCCGCTCCAGCGTCACCGGGGCCTGCAGCGCCGTCGTCTCCATCGCGTCCTTCGATTCCGCCATCTCTCTCTCTGTCTCTGTCTCTGTCTCTGAAACCCCTTGTGTGCTTCAATCGACGTATATAGAAAACATGGGGAAAGAAGGCGGAAACGGGCCACGTGTTCCGGGGCGGTTCATACGTGGGAGCGTGCATGGCTCCTCAACATGCCGAATTTCAGGTCGGCTACCGGTTCTCAGACACGTGAGTGATTGCAAGAATCGGTAAGAGGCTTTCAGTGAGAAATTCGATAATTAACTTAACATGAAGGTTTAACTGTAAATGTATATAAAAAAGGGTTATTTAAGAAATAATTGTCCGTTGTGGGCCAGAATTCGGGTTTTGCCCAATTCGTGTTTTCCTGTAAAATTATGGTCCAGTTCTGGTGGGAGGTAGAACGGGCTGAATTCGGAGAACTATCGGCCTATTAGGCTACTACTATTGGGCCCATTAGGCTTTGCCAGATCTTCATTCAAGGGCTTCCTTTCTCAGCCTATCGGATCGTTCATGAGTTGCTCTCAGAGGAGGATTCATCCTCTTCGGTCGTCCTTGTGCCGCCAGGAGAGAGAGGCGCAGAGAGCTAGGTTTGGTGGAAGAGATGGCGGAGGTGGAGGCAGCGGAGACCGAGGTTACCAGTCAACAACAGCAGGGATCGGAGGGCAACGATAAGCCGCACCAGCTTGAGAGGAAGTGGACGTTCTGGTTCGATAACCAGTCTAAACCTAAGCAGGGTGCCGCCTGGGGCGCCTCCCTTCGCAAGGCTTACACCTTCGACACGGTCGAGGAGTTTTGGTGGTAAGATTGATGTCGCATGGGATAGCTCTATATCGATAAAGCTTCTGTATTGGTGGCTTTATGCTTACCTGTCGGCTTTTTGGCTTTAGTATGTGCATCGGGTTTACGTCGCGGAACACTAGATCTGTTTCCATTCATCTGATTCTTATTTACTCTGCTTATTTGGTTTGCAGCCGGCGTTATTTGACGTGCTCGTATTGGTTCGTATTGATTCATCTGGCTCGTATTGGTTTTTCTGATTTAAGTATCTTCAAATTCGATCACACAATTCTCAATAAATATCGTCCATTTTGGTTTGCTCCTCGATCCCTGACGCATTGGTGCAAGTTTTTGTGTTACCTACTCTCTTTGGAATTTTTACCTGAGAATTGTGACGTTTTTGTCTCGTACTTTTCATGGAGGTTAGAAAGATCCATTTGAAGAGGCTATTCATTTGAGTTAGTTGACGCCCTTACTATTGTTTATCTCTCAAAATTTTATCACCATTGTGAATCAGAAGGTCATAATTGACTGTGAAAGATGGTGGATAAAAATCTTATGCGAGCGTTCTACATTTTGGATCATTTTTATGATACACTTCTATGTACATACTCATGCCACGTAGGAGGGTTATGCCAGGTTTCCTGGGAGTTTTTTCGTCTACAGCTAAATACTGGTAGATAAAAACTGCTAACCTTCTCTAATTTTGGGTCACTAAACGGCCTTATTTTGATCAAAGATTTGGTTATATATAAAGGAAAGTTTCTGGTTAACTGCGGTGTTTTATCATGGATCAAATATGATACGTCTTGAATATTTATGTATTCTAGATATTAATTGTTCTCACTATTGATTGTATTTGTTTTCCTTGTAGATTTACATCATTCTATTTTTCCTATTACCTTTCATGATGCGCTGCAGCACTTGTATTATTCTTCTCTTGTTAGTTGTTCAAATGTCGAACTTGTGAGTAAGTCATATAAATGCCTTAGTCCCTTATTTTTCCTCTGATCTTCATGGTTAAAACGCCATATTGATTTCTGTGGGATGGCCCATCCAGAAAAACGTTCAGTTCTTTCACTCACCTTCAAAATAAAACGATTATGCGCTACTTGACACTTTCTAATGATTCTCTTCTAGGTAGGACAAGTTTATCTTTGTGAACTATCGACTGATCCTTTCTTATGCTTTTTCTCTAGAGTCTAGAATGTAAAATGGCATGACCTATTCTTCCCTCGAATATTTAGTGTGCCTTCCTTTGTCTGGGTTTTATTTTTCCCATTTCATTTTGATTTAACGTTTTTTTACAGTTTGTACGATCAAATATTTCGCCCCAGCAAGCTACTGGTAAATGCCGAGTTCCACTGCTTTAGAGCTGGTATAGAACCAAAGTGGGAAGATCCTGAATGTGCAGAAGGCGGCAAATGGTCTCTAGTTTTGAACAGGAAGTCCGATCTTGAAAGCATGTGGCTCGAAACTGTGAGTCTAATCTTCTGTGGTGCTTGCTATTATTTTTTATCTGGAGTCTACCTTTAGATGCAGTTCTAGGCGAACACAGAATGATTCAGGTATTACCTTGAACAATGATCCCCTTGTTCAGGAATTAGATCCGATTGCATATTGAGCCAGGAATTAGATCTGATTGTTTACACTTTCGTAGAATTTTACTGTTCAGTTCTTTTCCTTATCATCTGCAATCCACTGAAATGACTTAGTGATTAAATATCTTGAAACAGGGTTTCATAAGCTTTGAGAACCTTTCGTTTCTCATAAACTTTGTTTTGTCAAACCAAATCATAACGGTGCAACCAATTAGAAGAGTCAAGGTGTTACTTCATCAGAGTTCCCTTGTTTGAGTGCTGTATTGCTAATGAGCTGGGTTTGATAGTATAGTTAGGTTATTCACATTTTTATGTGCGCTTCTGCTATTATTGTCCAGTGTTTTCTTCTGACGTTGTGGGGCTTTGGTTATTAGACTTGTTCTATGCTATCATGATTTTTTTCATGTGTAAAATCAAATGCTCAAGTGGCTTTTCCTATGTGCAGTTGATGGCTCTGATAGGGGAGCAGTTTGATGAGAGTGAAGAGATCTGTGGTGTTGTTGCAAGTGTGCGCCAGAGGCAGAATAAGCTTGCTTTGTGGACCAAGAATGCTAGCAATGAAGCTTTGCAGGTAATGACCGTGAAGTGGTGTTATTAGGCCATGAATGCAATAACTGTATTTATTATCTGAAGGAAATTGTTGATGGATCTGACCCAGACTTTCTTAGAATGAAGCGTTCGAGGAAATGGGTTAATCTGAGGCTTCACATCGCATGCTGAAATTTAAAACTTAGCTGATGTGTTTATTTCTATCCTATTCTATTTCTCGTTATGAATTTAAATTAACCTTTTTTTCCCGTTATTTATCCCCTGTTTATTGTATGTTAAACTCTATGCGTAGTCATGGAAAATTTGAATCGGTGTTATGGTGATTCTAGACAAATAGGTTGCGTTTAGAGTGTTTTAGCTAATTTTGTAGAAAGCTAGTGAGTGGCTATATCATAGAAGGGGCTTCGTTTTCCATGCTGGCACTATGGTCTCTGAAGAAGTGGAAAAAGATGATCAATGCTTTGGTGAATGTTGATATTTAATCGTCCAATATGGCGACACGAATGAGAGTCCACCTACATGATCATGTCTTTGCTTTCTGAAAACCATTATTTCCATTAACGAACAGTTCGCCTGTGATCCTGTGCTTGCTTTTTGAAAAGCCGTGCTTTTGGACAGCTTTGCAAAATATGTTGAGACTGAGATTTGTCTGCCTATGAGGCGTTTCAGGATTAAGCCGGCAGAAAACTTGAGTGATTGCCTCTTTCTAATCTTTTGTCAAAATGTCAGTTTTTTTTTCGCCTGTTGATCATTTTTTTGCTGCCGGATGACTCTTTTATGCTGAAAACGAGACGCATCAAATGCTGCAATGCAGATGCTTTTTGCGCCTCCTGTCAGCGATATCTGTGATATGTTACACTGCCTTTTAGTATCGGTGATAACTGAGCATTCATGAATTATATCAAGGGTGACCTTTTTTGTCTTCCAAGTTAACATTCCGAGAATGAAGGTAGCTCTTAGCTTTTCATCCCTCTTCCTGGTGTTGTTTGGATACTGATTCTGATTGTGTTGCCATCAAAATCCCTGATCAAAGTTCAAACCAGAGTAACTGGGAAAATTTTATAACAAGCTTAGGAAATCAGCTAGAAATCGGTTGGTCTCACTAAAATCTGCTAATTCATGCTGGAATACTGTGGAAGCATACTATATACCCCTTGTGGGAGAAAAATATTTAGTCTGAGTATTCAACTTCTTTAGTCAATACTCGGATTTTCAATGTCACATAATCACATACACTTTCATGAACGTGGCCTTATTTTTCTTCGGCAAATGCCATGGCTAGCCGTTCCTTTCTGTGCAGGCGTCTAGAAACTTGCATGCATTGGACCATCATCTCCCCATGTTGGCTTCAATCTTCCATTCTATATCATCTGAAATTTCTTGATTACTTCCAATGTGGGACTATATCATGTGGTAGGTCTAACGGTAGTGTTTTCATGAAATGTGACAGACTACCATCGGGAGGAAATGGAAGGAGATCATAGATTTCACCGACAATATCACCTACAACTTCCATGTAAGCCTCCCCCTCCCTTGTTGATGGTCACATTCTACTCTGCTCATCCGCCCTCTGAAGATCACTCTCCCCAATCTGGTGGGTTTTCTGCAGGATGCCGCGAAGAGGGAGAAGCCGGGAAGCAGGTCCAGCCGCTACACCGTCTAATTCCCCACAGATTCCAACCCCTGATTGCTTCTCTCCTCGGCTTACCTTCTGAGTATCGCGTCTACATGAAATATGCTTGGCATTGCCTTTGGAGTATTATCATTGGGTTAGCTATTTTTATTACACCATTTCTGTGGGATTTCCGTTTCACCTGGATCTTTAATATAAAAGAAGATTTTTTTTGGCATAAATTGCATGCAGCCTCGATTTTTCGTGCCAAAAATGGTCAGTTAATGAGAACCATGTGGTTCTGATAATGGGGGGGGGGCGCAGATCCCCCTCCGAGTGCAAAAAAATAGAATAAAGATCGTGTACATAATCGCATCTGTGGTCGTGTAGAATCGAAGACTGGAATGGAATGGCTTGCTGGCTCTTCCTGGGAAAAAAGGCCAGAGAGCCTCGTGTCTCTGTATCTTCTGTGTGTGGATGCGGCAGGAGATGGATCTTCTCCGGAGGGGAAGGAAAGGTGCGCATCAGGCGAGGAACCCCAGCTTCTCCCCGTTCTTCTTCGCCAGTCGGATGAGCCCTTGCCGCTGCTTGCCGTCCGCGCCGATTGTGCGGCAGAACTCCGTGATCACCTGCGCGGCCCCCGCGGTCAGGTCCGCCGTCTGCGCCGGTGGGGAAGAAGAAGATGCGGGCGGCACCGGAGAGAAGAGGGTCTTTGGGGTTTACCTGTGAGTGGAGGGCGATGGCTTTGCCGCGCAGCTGGTTGAAGGCCTTCTTGCCGATGACATCGCGGGAGACGACGACGAGCGGTGCGAAGACGCCCTTCCCTTCGTTCACGTTCTTCATCGACGGGCAGGACCGGACGGGCCTCGCCGCACGGTGCCCAGGCGCGGCCGCCCATGCCGGCAACAGCGCGCGCTCGGCGCCGCCCGCGCCGGCCAGAGTCGAGCCCCAGTCACCCGTGAAGCCAGAGCAGAGGCCTCCTCTGAAACCTGCGGCGGTGGACATGGAGACGACGGCCATGAAGGATGACGGCAGGATCTCGTCGGAAAAGAAGAAAGCAAGCGGTCAGCTCTATCTGGCTCTCGTGGCTGGGGAGGACGGCGATGATGGTGGGGAAGAGAGCAGGGCCTCTCTATATCTCTCCTCTCTCTCTCTCTCTAATGGGTATGGGCAGAGGGAGTCGTGTACGACCGTTGTCCTCTGATTTGGAGGGGTTGCACGGGCCGTGGGGTCCGTCAGAGGACGATTCGGCCACGGATGTCCACAGGGCCACACCCACCGGGTAACCTCTTCCACCAAGTAATCTATTTTTCCATTTTAGATTTAAATTATTTTATCCGAAATTGCCTCCTTCTGACCCCAGAAAATACGTGGCGGCGCACGTGGACATTACATGGGGTGCTCCGTAAGACACGTCAGCGGAAAGGACAGTGAACCCATGTGTCCTGCTGCGGTCAATTGACACGTGGATGGAAGGCCATTTTTGACGAGTTTTTCAGGTGGTCTGATTCCCTATTTTGACTCTCTTTTTAAAATAAAGCCCTTTAATAATTATAATAATAAAATATTCTGTGGTCAGCCGGGGCTCGACAGCGGGAGCAGAACCCACATACGTCTAATGGTGGGTATCACATTTGGTCCATCAGTAAATCTCCACCGTTCAAAATCTTGGGGTGCCATCTTACGGATTATGTTCCCCTAAGCTATTTGACTCTGTCTCACTTCACTTGGATAATCAATAAATTCATACACTTGTTTTCTGCCTTACTAACCTCACATAATGCTGAGTTGACCAGAGCATTTCACCCTTCAATATTAGCCTGAATGGTGAATACTTTTTACTATGTTGTTATCAAGTGTTTTAACTCATGTGAGTCAATACAATTATCAGTTGAGTCAAAATAAAGTAAGAGAAGATCACGTAAGGGAATCAATGTGTTGTCTATGTATAGGTCAACCCAACAATTGAGATATCAAATCTCAAGAGAAAAACAAAGATTCTCCAATATATATCTAACATGCAAGATATTATAGTAAGAATTAACACGTGCTAAGCATATTAGATGAAATCAAAAGATCAAAATAAACTACATGATTCTTTGTTAATACAACTGCAAAGTGGCTTGATCAAGAGTCAATCAACTAAATAAGTTAATTATGTACACTGCTATGGAGGTTGACACAATAGTTAATAATTTAGAAGATCTTTCATTGACTAAATCTCAACTATTTGAATCCAATGATCAAAAGCTCTTATGGCTCTATAAAAAGTTCACCTTGAGAAAAAAAAAAATTCTCAATGACACATCAACTTGATCCATTTGTGTCTTAATCCACATCCCTTTTCTAGTTTAATGCAAGTATGCCAATACTTTTAAAGATGAATGACATTCATTCACCTTCATATTAATTCATGAGTATTCTATTATTGTTCTTGCATATGAAGTCATTAAGGATAATGTTGTGAGTCAAAAGAAGAGAGATGTGTCTGTGTATAGAATGGGGAGATAGAGGTATGAGATATATTGTGTAAAGGTGGGTGATTTATTGAGCACATGGATTCCAAGAACTATTTACAAAGAGATAATTGTAAAAACCTAAGATTGGAACTCATGAGAAGTAGATGTAGTCTAGGGAAATCAAAAGTAAAATTATAACTTTCTTTCAAGATGTATGATCAGTTTTGTTTCAATAAAATAGATTTTTATCACACCTATTGAAATCAATAAACTATGTGTAAATACATTCTTACCTAATAGTCATTCATGTTAGTTAAAAATTGGAGAATCTCTGACCTCGTAAAGGTCATGTCATATTGATTTATAGACATTCAAACATCTATCTGATTTTAGTATTTTAATATATGATTTGTCTATAAATTCACCACATGTTTAGTGATTAATTATACCTTTACCATCACATGTGACCCCTATAGCACCTCACATTTTTTGCTTATGTTTAGCAAATTACATGCAAATTTGAGTGATTTCATTTGTTAGGTCAAATGACTAGAAGGCGATGGTTCAAGAGAAACCAACCTAAGCCTTGCTTCAAACCCAATATGTCTGAAGACCGTAACCTTGCTTACTTGATCTGCCATGACATATTGAGTTTGAAGACCATCTCATTGTTGAAACTATGTTTCAAACACATTATGTAGTGTTTTTAGAATGAATAGTAACTAAAATAGCAAAATTTAAGGAAATAAATTTAGAAAATGACATGACATGAACGATGGACGATTGAGTCATTGATGAGATCCACGTCCTCCATGTTGCATGTCCCTTGACTAGCTCTACACTCTTTAGTCAATGGCCACTAAGAAATTCCACCATGCCCACGCTATCTTCACACCATGATCAGAAACGACTGCCAATTTGTTGGCTCACTCAATCCAAGCCCAATCCACTTCTCCTTCAAGAACTGTCATCTACTCTCCACCAATCCGATCTGCTTCTTATTGGTGCGGATCCATTGTAAGAGCATGGATCTGAAAAGCTTTTGGTGTAATAGGTAAGTCAAGCATAATAATCTGCACTTGAAAAGTGAAGGTAGTCCCATAAATAAATAAGTTGTACGGTGTTCTGATCTCTTTGCGAGCCCAATTCATGGAATGGAGCCTATTCGATAGTGTTATTACTCGTGCCCTCTTTTATATAGTCACATTCTTTCTCTTTCATTATACTTTCTAAGATCTACATATCAGATGGAGGATTAATTTGGGCCGTAAAAATAGGCAGGGTGTCTACGAACTCATTTCTGACGAACCCTCATTTGACATTCGGACTCTTTTTGTTGCCTATATGGCTACTTTTTCTCTTTTATGGTATTACTATTTAAGCCATCTTTATTTATTTAAATTATAAAAAACTTTATCGTGACTTTCTTTCTCTAAGTTTGTGTGAGAATTTTGTCAACTAGGCAAACATCACTGTACTTCTTATTTTAGTCGTGATGACATTTCTTCTTTCACTCTTTTTGACCTTCTCCATTGTGATGTATGAGGTCTATCTCGTACTTCCTCTATTTCGGGCCATCGCTATTATATCATTTTTATTGATGACTATATTTGTGTGAGTTAGGTTTACCTCCTTCACGATTGCTCTGAGGTCATCATCGTGGTTACCCATTTCATCACCGAAGTTATCACTCAATACATAACTACATCTAAGATTCTTCGTACTGATAACGTTCTTAGTTTGCCTAAACATCTCTTTGCACCTTTTGCAATGATCATGACATTCTTTACTAAATCACATGTCCTCATACTTCGCAACAGAATAATGTTACTGAGTGCAAACATCACCAATTCCTTGACATCACTAGCACACTTCTTCTTGAGATGAATGCCCCCCACTATCTCAGGGTTGACGTCCTTCTGACTGCCACTTCCCTCCATAATTGACTTTCCTTTGCTCCTCTTGGGAGGGTCATTCCTCTCCATCGCTTCATCCCTTATTCTCTTTTTTTTTCTCTTCCCCCTTAGGTCTTTGGATGCACTGCCTTCGTTTAGGATTCTTTTTCATCTCTTTCTAAACTTGTCCCTTGTGCTCTTAAAAAAGTCTTTGTCGGCTACTCTCGCACGTAAAAAGATTATCATGTCTACTTCTCTGATACCTGTTGCTATGTGACCTTGATCGACATTACTTTTCATAAAAACTCTCCTTTCTTCTACCCTATCTTGACTCCTCCTCTTCTTTGGGCCACTACGTCTCCTCTATCTGAGTTTCCTCCCTTAGTGGTTCTTATGGACCCTCCATCTTCTCTTCCATGCTGTCCACGCTCTTTGGAGTCGTTACCCATGCCCGCCTCTCTTCGGCCCATGTCTCCTATGACTTCTCTTGCTCCAGATGCAGTATCCTCCTATTCTTCTCCTATGATCTCCTTCGCACCTTCGGTCACTACTTCACCTAATGACCTTCATCTCTCTATTACCTTCCGCAAAGGTACACACATCTGCACCCACCATCCCCTCTCCTAATTTGTCTCTTATGATTGTGTTTTTTTCGTGACTTTGTCCTCTCCGTGGCCTCTAAGTCACTTCCACAATCGTATGTTGAGATTGCATAAATACTTGTGTGGAAGGCGGTCATGGATTCAGAGATAGCTGTGTTGGTCACTCGAGAGACTTGGGATTTGGTTCCACGCCCAACTGATGTCAACATTGTGATGTGCAAGTGAGTATTTACTATCAAGTATCACCTAGATGGCTTCATCGTTTGTCACAAAGTTTGTTTCGTTATTTGGGGCTTCACACATGCATATGAGATCAACTACACTGAGATGTTCTCTCCTATTGTCTGCCTCAACTCTGTCTGTGTGCTCCTTTCTCTCACCATCAATTAGACATGGTCTCTCCACCAGTTAGATGTATCTAATGTCTTTTTCTACAGTGATCTCACATAGTATGTCCTTATAGAGCAACCTCCTAAGTATGTTGCTCAAAGGGAGTTATCGAAAGTGTGTTCTTACGGTGTGTCATTTATAAGCTCAAGTAGAGTCCACGTACTTGATTCGTCAAATTTAATGGTTTACTCACCACCTTTGGCTGTCTCTTATATTGCGGACCCCACCGTGTTCATGAAGAAGATAGAGGGTGACCTTATCATTCTTGTAGTTTATGTCGATGATATTCTTATGATTGGAAATAATGAGGTCGGGATTTCTACTATCAAAGCTTACACGCAGTAGCACCTCAGTATTCATGACTTAGGGACTCCACAGTATTTTCTTAAGATTGAGTTTGCATATTAAGATGGGAAGCTCGCCCTCATTCAGCAGAAATATTCTCTCAATATACTTCAAGAGATATGCCTCCTTGGGTACAAGTCGGAGTCTTCACTTATAGAAGTTCATCCGTAATTATGGGACACTTCATTTCCCTCCTTGAAGATGCTAACTGGTATCAACGATTGTTGGACAAGTTGATATATCTCACAGTCATTCATCCTGACATTGTGTACACAGTTAGTGTCTTAAATCAGTTCATGCAAGAGCCTCGATGAGTTCATTGAGAGGGAGTTTTATAAGTCCTCACCTACATCAAGCGATCTCTAAGGAAAATGGCTCATCTATCGACAACATGATCATCTTTGCATTGTAGCCTACTCTGATGCTGAGTACGTAGGTGACAAAGGTGAGCGAAAGTTTACTACAGGTTATTATACATACATCAACGGTAACCTAGTCACCTAATGGTCCTGGAAATAGAAGGTGGTATCCTACTCTAGTGCGAATTTGAGTACTGAGTCATGACTTAGACAACACGGAAAATAATATGACTTCGATCACTTCTCAACAATCTCGGTATTACTTCTTTATCTCCAATGTCTATACATTGCGACAATCAAGCTGCCATTTTTATTGTTAACAATCCCACCTTTCATGAGTGTACAAAACACATTGAGATTGACTGTCACTACATTCGAGATAAGGTTATGTCTGAACTTATCTCTACTTCTCATGTGACATCATCTTATCAACTTGTGGACATCTTCACAAATAGTCTAATCAGCATCTTCTACGATGCCACGTGTACCAAGTTAAACATGTTTGCCTTATATACTCTAACTTAAGGAAGAGTGTTCGATAGTGATACCGAACTCTCAACCTATTATGGCTTATTATTTATCTCTCTTTATCATCTTTTCTCTCTTGTATATAAGAGTCATGTATTCTATCTTTTAACACTACATAGATTTTAATATTTTACTCTCTTGTGTCAATAGAGTTAGTAGAGGAGGCCCCATTCTTGGGCCCAAAAATGATGTAAACCTCGGCTGTTAGACGAAAACCTAATGAAGATCTATCATTATGCATAAGCATTGTTGTACTGAAAATGACTATTTTTTTCTTGGTCGGGCCCAAAAAATAAAATGGGCCCTGTGAAATATAAGGGCTTTTAAAAAAAATAAAGTTACTAAAAAATTATTTAGAAGAATAAAATAATGGGAGCCGTAGAAAAAAGGGGAGAAAGAGAAAAAACCTCCCCCAAACATTCTCTTCGCACAAGAAACCAAAAAAAAAAGAAGAATCCCCTCGTCACCATCCCTCCCTCCAATGTTCGTCTAGGTCCAAACATTTGACTTAGTCACACCTGTGGGTAAGTCAACGTAGTGTTGCAGGAACTGACTGCTGGACAGCGCTCGTTTCATCCGTACCTCCCTCGATCGGCTACTTCTCAAACTCGGCGGCATCGCCGACGGTAAGGGCGGGGAACGGCTCGGAGAGGTGAGCTTGGGTTCGGGCGGAGATCTCATTAGCCACGAACCTCATGGTGGGGCGGGCCGCCGGGTCCTTGTTGGTGCAGGCCAGGGCCATATTGACCACGAACACAACCTCCTTCGCCAGCTGCCCTGTCGGACGTGCCAGGCGCTGGTCGAGGACGTCCTTCAACAGCAGCGCCCCACCACCAGAGGACAGGAAGGCGATCAAGTCCGCCGGGTGCTTTCCCAGCATGACTTCAAGCGCCACCACCCCGAAGCTGTACACGTCGCACTTCTCTGTCACCTTCATCGTGAATGCTAGCTCTGCATGGCAACCACCCGGGGAGTGAGGGTTGGTCAACGCCGAACGAGACGATCGCAGGGCTTACAGAGGAAGATATGTGTGGGGACGGCGGCTGTCTCTTGTCTTACCTGGAGCCATGTAGCCGTAGGAGCCGGCGATGCCGGTCCAGTTGGAGGAATCGGCGAGGAGGAGCTTGGCGGTCCCGAAGTCGGACAGCCGGGGTTCGAAGTCGGTTTCCAGAAGGATGTTGCTGGTCTTGACGTCGCGGTGGGCGATGGGGGGGGAGTGGTCGTGGTGGAGATAGGAGAGGGCGTGGGCCACCCCCCGGACCACTCGGACCCTTGCTGCCCAGTCGAACTTCTCGGCGGCGCCGCCTTCCTCCCCGTAGACCGCCTTCTGCAGATTACCCTTCTCCAGGTACTCGTAGACTAGGTACATGCGACTGGAGCTCGAGCAGGAGCCGTACAGCTTGACGATGTTTCGATGATGGACCTCCGTCAGCACCCGGATCTCGTTCTCGAAACTCCTCAGGCTGGCCTCCGAGATGTCCGAGGTGTCAGCCAGGTTGAGACGCTTGACGGCGACGACGTCTCCCGTGGGGAGCCTCGCCCTGTAGATGGTGCCGAATCCCCCTTCGCCGATGCAGAAGGCCTCGGCGAAGTTGTCGGTGGCGTGGACGATGTCGAGGAAGGTGAACTTGCCCTCCCTCTCCCACGCGACCGACTCGAAGCTTTCCTCGCGGTGGCTCACCACCTTGAGGAGATTCCGCCGTCTCCTACGGCTCCAGAGGAAGAACACCGAGGCGATGACGACGACGACAACAACCAAGAAGGCCACGGGGACGGCGACGGCGATAATGATCTTCCAGCTGTTCTCTTCTTTCTCGCGGTGGAAATTTGCTTCACAGGTGGGCAACCCGGCGATGTCTCCACAGAGCGAGTTCCCAGCGAAAGTCTCGGCAGAGGCGTTCCGGAAGACGTCCAAGCTCGGTACGCGTCCCGTCAGATTGTTGTAGGAGAAATCCACGAGTTTAAGCTTACCATGCCGGAGAAACTATTTGGGATGGAGCCGGAGAGCTTGTTGTGGGATACGTTGAGGACCTCCAGCTTGATCAGTTTGCCTAGGTTGTAAGGTATGGGCCCGGAGAGGGAGTTGTTGCTTAGATCCAGCAAGATCTGCAGACTGACCAGGTTCCCGAGCTCATCTGGTATTCTTCCCGTGAGATAGTTGTCGCTCAGATCCAGTGCCTGTAGTTTATTGGTTTCGCCGAGCTGGGGGGGAATTAAGCCGAGAATCCTGTTGCCGGATAAATCCAGCTGTTGGAGCTCGGAGAGGTCGCCGATCGCCGGAGGAATCTCGCCGGAGATCTGATTATGGCTCAGGTTGAGACTAAACACCTTGCTCCCATTGCTCAGGATGGGCAGAAGCTCCCCTGAGAGGAGATTGGAAGATAAATCCACTTCTCCTAGCTCTGGCAAGCTCAGAATCTCTGGGGGGATCTCCCCGGTGATTCTATTGCCACCGAGAATAAGAGATTGGAGCTTCACGCATCGTCCCCAATCCCGCGAGAGACCGCCCGTCAACTGGTTTCCGGTGAGTTCCAGGTACCGCAACTCCGGATGCACGCCAAATGCTTCCGCTATGTCCCCGGTAAAGTGATTCAACTGCAGGCGGACCCTCGCGAGCTTCGAACAATTCCGCAGGCAGCTTGGGAGTCGTCCGGTGAAGTTGTTCTCGGATGCAGTGAAGTATACTAACCCGTAGCCTTTGCACAAGCCTTGCGGCAGTTCGCCGGATAATCTGTTGATCGAGAAGCTCACGCTGGCTAATAGCCCATTCTTCCCCAAATCGGGTGGGACTCTGCCTCTGAAGTTGTTATTGTAAAGGAATAAGAAGTAAAGATCCTTGAGTTCGGTGATGCTTATGGGAATCTCCCCGCTGAGCTGGTTGGTGTTGAGGACTATTGACTGGAGAGCCGTCATGTTGCCGATCTCTTCTGGGATCGGCCCCGTGAGATAATTTATTTGCAGGTGCAGCTTGGTAAGCCGGTGAAGCTTGACAATGGTAGGTGGGATCTGTCCGCTGAGCGAGTTGTCAGAGAAATCGATCTCTACCAGATGTATCAAATTCCCGATCTCCAGGGGGATGGATCCTGTTAACTTGTTCATGTAGAGGAACAGGGTTGTAAGGTTCCTCGCCAGTCCGATCTCAGGTGGAATCAGGCCGGTGAAGGAATTATTCTGAAGCTGGAAAGATATAAGGTTAGTCCAACTCCAGAAGAAGACCCCCGGAATCTCGCCGGAGAGGAGATTGTCCGAGACGCCGAATTCCATCATCGCCCCTATGCCCGCGAGGGAAAGCGGCAACTCCCCCGTCAGCTGATTGCCGGACAGATTGATGTAGCTGAGGTTCCTGCAACTTCCCAGACTTGTCGGGATGGAAGAATTCAACCCGGCCATATTGAGGCCCAGACTCTCGAGGAGCCGGAGATTCCCCAAGGAAGAAGGGATCGGCCCGCCCAGGGGATTTTGGTCGAGCTCTAGTATCCGAAGGCTGGGAATAGAACCCAGAGAAGGCTGAATCCCCCCGGTGAAGTTGTTCGCCCCGAGACTGAGCTTTTCAAGCCTGGTAAGGCTGGAAATGGAAGCGGGTATTTGCCCGGTGAACTTGTTCTCGTAGAGGTAGAGGATCTCGAGCATCGTCAGATTTCCGGCCACTGTGTCCAGGATCGGGCCGGTGAATTCGTTATGGGAGAGGTCAAGGTAGCTCAACTTGCGGAGACGGCTTATCTGGCGCGGGACCAGGCCCCCGAACTTGTTATGGTAGAGGTTCAGCTCGAGGATCTCCGAGAGCTGAGAGATCTCCGGGGGCAAAGTGCCGTGGAAATAGTTGTTGCTCAGATCAAGGTAGTTGAGCCGGGAAAGCGCCGAGATGTTGGCGGGAATGGAACCAGTCAGCTTGTTGTTGGCGAGGTTGAGGCGAATGAGATTGGGGAACGACCGGAAATCGAATGCTGCGATGGTTCCAGTAAGGTTACGGTCGGCCAAGTCGATCTCGACGACGCTGCCGGCGGAGTTGCATGTGACTCCGGACCAACTGCAGGTGCTGGTGGCTGAAGTGTTGGGGCCCAGCCTCCACGATGCCAGCGACGGCGCGGGATCCAAGCTGGCCTTCCATCTCGCGAGCGCCACGGCCTCTGTCGCCGCCGGCGGTGAGCAGCATAGAGAGAAGGCGACCACCAGAAGGAGAAACATGAGGTTTCCGGTCGATCTGGAATAAGGCTGGGAGCATCTGCATAGAGTGAGGGAGGAAAAGGGGACCTGTTAAAATGACAATCCACTACGTGAACTTCCAGCCGAAAGATAATTCCTCACACGAGGGAGACGGGATTTTCTCGGCATGATCTCCTACTTTGACTGCGTTTATGTATTGAAACGGTGCTATTATTTCCTTGAAAGCCGTCCCAATCGATGTGGAACCTGCTTCCCGCTAGAACGGCGGGCGTCGTTTTACTTATTAAATAAAATGCATTAAACTAGTCTTAAATACCTCCCAGCATGGACTTGGTAAGACTTGGTGGGGAAATTTTCAAGAGGCTTACTTATATAAATTAAAGGAATTTGAGGGATTACCGCTTATATATGTACAATATATGGTGGCCATCGTAACGAAGCCAACACGTAATATTAAAGAAGATGTGACCTATGCTGACGAACTTGAATACATGTTGACTCAAATGACAACTACGGTTGACATTTTGGCTGAAATCACTCGGTACCGTAAAAATGAGTTAGGCGCCCGTGTTGAAGTCCAAGGAATATCTCATTCTATTGTATTATCTAAGGTGACCTTCACTTTAAGTCTGTAACCTTTATTATAGAGGGGGCTTAGACTCATCTATTATTAAAAACAATGACGAGAGATTATGTTTAATCACAATGCTCGTTATGTCATGCACTTTGCCATGTAAAGTGCAATCGTTGCATCATGTCTTGCCATGTTACTTGTCAACTATAATACTACACCAAAGAAAATATTAAATATACCTTCTGACGTGACTTAGTCGTCGTATAGTAAATCACATAAATTTAAAATTTATAAAACTAGAAAATATGAATTTTTGGATATTTAGAAGTATTTATAAATAAATATATCAATTATAATTCAATACAACTTCTAAAAATAATGGTAATTTTTCAGTCGATCACATAGATGTAATATAATATCAGATAATTATTCAATTTTTTTTTCAAAGAATACTATTTTTTATGAATTTTATACTAAAAAATAAAAATGAAATATATTTAAAATTCACGAAAAAGGGAAATAAGGGTGCAGACGTCATGATGATGTCAGCACCCAGTGAACGTGAATCAAACAAAAACAAAGTTCTGCCTGACAATTCTTATGTAAATGATTACAAACGATTTAGTTCATCAAATTAAGATTTGTAAAAGTCGGAAGAATTGTAATTTAATGAAGTATATCTTGGTAAATTTAAATCACACAAATTATCGCTAAATGAAGCATAAATAAAGTTGAAAGCAAGAAAATAGAGTTCTGACGTCGCGGCGGCGATGCGTTGGCGATGCACCGAAATCCTGAGCGTTCAGGAGGATCATTGTGCAGTGTTCATGGCCTCAAAGACTCTTCTTAGACAAGGACAACATAGACAATCTCTAGATCTCTTTGTGAAGTCTAGAGATCAATGAAATAGGTGGGTCGTCGAATCATCTCCGGCGGCTGTCACCTGACGGAGAGAAAAAATGACGACTTTGCAGCTCTCTAGCAGCTGTCACCTGACGGAGAGGAGCTGGATGGAAGTGGGACACGTGTCAGAGAGCTTCATCCTCAAGTCCACACATCAAGATGAGGTTCTTCATCGCATTTGATATGCTCTCAAGAGGTGGCGAGTCATCTCCCGAGGGATCGTCCTCTTCCCGATGACGGCTTGTTCGTCGATCAATTAGAGATGCTTTACTCGATGGATTCGTGATCCTTTTATCGCGAATCATTTAGCAATTTTAATAATAATACTCCGCGAATCGCGTTGACAAGATTTTCGCCGATGATCTAGCGATTCTGGTGGCTTAATCCTTCACCGACGATCTGCAAGAAAGTCGCGATAATCAGATAAAAAATATGAGTTTTGGTTTTGGGAGGATTCGAACCCGCACTGGTTGCCTTACCTTTTTTGGGAAAGGTGTGATACGAGTTTAGTCTCACATCACTTGTGCATTGAAGTTTTTGACAAATATATAGTAATTATATTTACAATCAAGTCCCTTTTTTAGCATGTGTACGACCACTCTTTGCCTCATAGCCGGTTGGCCACCAGTGACGTGGAAGGGGAGTGGCACACATGTGCCCCTATTGGTCCTAGCCGTTCGAACCCCTGCTCACGCTTTCGACCCGCTTGCAGGCCCAGCTAGCTGGCA